TTATTGTTATACTTGACACTCGGTGTCACTTGCTCTTTTTCTTTCTCTATTGATTCAGCTTCCGTACGTGAATATCGGCAGGATATGCGAAACATAAAATTTGATTTTCCCATCTTTTGGTTTTTGTCTACACAGTACAAAAAAGCACATCTGTCATACAGAATTTAAGCACGTGTCTCATTATTTAAATATTCACTGTAACGATCGAATATTTTAAGTTTCTTTTTATCATGTCGATTGACAACGGTATATGGGACAAACAATTATCACTTCTATTGAAAGAGGCTGATATGTCTCTATAGAAAATAAAGGTGTCAATATAGAAATAGATAAGTACAGACAGGCAGAGAGAGAGAGAGAGAGAGAGAGTGAGGGAAAAAAACGTTTGAGATTTCAATCTAAATGTCTACATTTAATGAGGCAAAACAAGAAAGCTTCATAACGAAAAGAAAAAGAATTCCAAAGGTTAACAGATAAACCATCTGTCTAAATAGATGTAAATAGGTATAGAATGCTGTTTAATATTATTCGATTGACTGCTCATTATAAAGATGAGTATTGTTATTCTTTCGTGTTGTTATTTTTATTTCGAGTATCTATGAATAACAAGTAGAAATAGAGCAATACTAACACTTGACTCTTGAACAAATTCTTATTTTTTCCTAGTCTTTATTTTTCTAAAGATTGCTCAATTGTATACCTATATCAATGACGTAAAATGCACAGTAGGTGAACATTGTACGCTTCATCCTCCTAAGGGCATCCTTTTCTCCCTCTTCAACATACACGTGTGTGCACTCATTAAGAATAAATGAATGAAGGAAAATTCGTGGCAAAAACAATAAGTATATATGATAAAGCTTTTCCACCTTTCGTTTTTCTCTAGAGTGTATACATGTATGTATGTACGTATGTATGTATGTAGTTAGGTGATCAAATGTCGATGTGTATGACGTCTGATGAGGTGCAGATTTCATTAAACTGAATGCACAGCCGTTGGGCACTAAAAAATTAGACACCAACAGAGAGAGAACGACAGGTATAATGAATGATCGCAATTTTTTAAATTTATTCCAAATTCGAATAAACCTGTAATAAACATCGAGAATTCTTATCTTTTTGGCTCTGTCTGTTCTCCCGTTATGTCTTTGATCATGTCATAATAGTTAACCGTTTTTTTTCTCCTCGATATTTTTCTTTTTATTCATAAATATGTATTTAGATTATTCAACTTAATATACACCCACTCGTTTATAGTGACAAGAGACTTAGAAAAACTTCAAACAAAATACCAATTCACTCAATAGGAGGTTACATCATTGACGATCGTTGTCCTAACCATTAGTTTTCGCGCTTTATAAATGAGTATATAATTGAAAGGTACAGATAGATTCTTCAGTTGAATAACATCATAGGAAATGAGTGCGTGTTAGTTGATGGCATCAAGCAGCAGAAAGAGAAAAGTACCGGTTAAAAGTGTGAAAATTGTCGATCAATTCGCATAGAAAATTATAATTCACTTTCACGATGTTCGATCCGTTTCGGTTCAACATTTATTTTGTTCTACACTTTCAGATATTAATTAAATGTGCCGAAAAACTCTAAAGTAAGTTAAAATATTATTTGATGTTGCAAGATAAATTTTGTTTTTAGCGTGAATATTTACATCAAATGTCTCATTTTGGATTAACTTCTTTTATCAAAGATACTATTTGTAAACGGAAGGCAGCAACGCCTTGTTTTATCTTTTCGTCTTGCGACCTACTCTTTCTATGATCGTACATGACCTTACATACGTTTAATTACATAATCATATTAAGATTTTCTGATCAATAATACCAATGCAGCTATATATTTCTGTAAAAATATGTATGTAAGTATGACTTGGAATTTTATTGGTTAATATACGACCAAAATAAGAAAATCAAGTGCGGATATAGATTTGACACAGATGTGTCAATTTTCCGGCGTATGTAACAACATTTGCTTGTTAATACTCAATTTCAAGTGGTTATTTTTCGATACACACACTTATGATACATCTCTCATTCAGTACTGTATTGAATGAAGAAGAGAAAAAAAGAACGGAGCAAACAAATTTTCCGTTTTTGACTAATAACGGAAATGTATATGTGAATATTTTCACATAGTTCGCATACAAAAAAAAGCTGTATACGTAAGTTGTTTGAAATGAAAATTTCTCATTATGTAATGATTTTTCTTTCGCAAAATGATTTCTAAGAACGCCTCTAATTTTTTTGTTTGATATATTCTGTAAATAGCGGCTAAAACACAGCAGTAATCATTATAAAATGATTGCATGAACACATCAAATAAATGACAAGATCGTTTTGACTGATGATGATTATTACATGAACGATCTTTTGTTTCTTCATTCCCTGAGAAATCTATTCAGTTCTCCGTTTGCTCACACAGTGAAACAATTTTTTTTTCTTCTTTTTATCATTGATGTTTCACATAAACAATCTCCTCTTCTGTTATACAAATTAAAATTAACATTAAATTGCTAACTCAAAAAGCATGAAATGTAGCCGTTTGTTCTACATATAATGTTTTCAAATTTCGATGAATGAACGTTTGTGAAGTTTTGAATGTCGGCACATTGTTCATAATCTAACCGATTGTATATTTTAATCAAATTTTGTTTTTTATGTCAAGTGTTCATCTTGTCTCGCGTGCCGTAGTCCATAACGGATGACTTTTATGCATGCTCATTTCGTTGTGTGTTTTGCCCTATCATTACCTTTAAACTTAATGTCGGTTTGTTTTTTAACGACAATTAAATTCTCACCTTGAACCAACGAGCATGTGAACGAATACTAGCTTGTTCAACCTGGATGAGATAATCTCGTCACTCATCGTTTTTTTCATCTCTTTGTTCGGTCTTTTCAAGAGTAAAACAGCTTATCTTAATAATATTGGTTTCGACAATATTAAAAAAGAAAGAAAAAGAAAAGGTAAGAGTTTTGTGCTATTTTCACATTATAAGAAATTGGATCGTTTTAATATTTACTCATTCATTAGCTGTTTACATACTACCACCGCGCTAACTGAGAAGAAAAAAGAGATCGAGCATATTTTTGACGGTTTCGCTTTCTCTTTTTTCGCTTTTCGTTTTCTCTGTTTCATGTTCGGGATCATTGATGAATTTTGTATACAAATAGATATGACATTATCATCATGTCGATGAACGGCAGGTGACTATTTGCAAATCGTTTGATTTTGTTCCGGAGATTTGTCATTTCCGTTGAAATAATGATCTGTAACGAGAAATCGTTAGATGGATACAGAAAAAATAACGAAAGCAGACACGCACTTGCTTGAAAATTACGTGAGTAACAGATTAAATTTGATTGTCAAGGATAATTTATTTTATATTTTATAAACGACTGAATTCATTATTAATGTTATTCCCATAGTTTTAGTCATTCTTTGAATTTCAATAGGAATCGATTATTACAATCAACTTTTTATGTGAACGGCAAGTAAGAAAATTTCTTCACTTGTCCTTTTTTTCTTTGAATATTTGTTTTACATGTATGTTTGATCTTAACGTCTTTTGTTTATTAGAAAATGTTTCAGTAGTATACTGTTCATCTGTAGTAGTCGTATAAAAATATCAGTTAGATATGAAATCAAACTAGATTATCAGACACAGAAATCAGCTATTTATGATACCTATGGATTAGAAAAACTAATCCCCGGGGGGGGGGGGGGGGGGGGGGGGGGGGGGCGTGAACCCGTTGGCCGCCTTCCCCTGCACGCGCACTTNACCCCATCCTTTTTCAAAAAAAAACCCCCCCCCCCCCCCTTTAATCTTATCGATTCTTTTCTTCGAAAAACATTTTCATTTATTATTTTTCGCGAATAGTTTGACAAATGAATATTTTAAATATTGTCAAATATCGAAAAGAAGATATAGTGACGCATATGTATGAAAATTGAAGTAGAAATCACTGCAGAACCTATAAAATTTCCTTTATATCATAGTAAACTTTGATATGAACTGTTCTAATCAATCTATATAGTAATCATTTTTTCATAGTAGCTGATTTATGACACGTGTGTATTGTAGATACAATATAGTATTAAAGAATGAGTATCACATAATTTGAAAATTTAAACGAATATTTTCATACTCAATTATTAAGACATAGAGAACACCACTTTCATTTATTTGATAATCAGAAAACAAAACAAAAACACGTTTATGTGTGACACATTTATTTTTTTTTATCTATGTCCAAAAATTCGAATGACATATCATTGTCAAATACTTCTACGCATGCGATGATAGATCGATGGCATGCGTCCTAAAATAAGTTCAATATAAATGTGTGTATCTTATCACATTATGTTCATCAATACATCGGAGAGTTCATTAGTCTGAAAACAAAAACAAAATATAGCGTGAGAGAAGAAGATCATGACTATAAAAAGAAGAAAAAACAACATTTCATTTGAACATATGTTATCAGGATGTTATTGATCAAAAACGGAAAGTTTTTTTTCCGCTCGGTGAACTTCTTGAAAAATATCATTTTTCTTTTCTGTGGCAAAAGAAATCGAAAACTAGTGATTAAATGAATGATATAATATGACTGTGTCATTATAATCCTATTTTTCTTTTGCTCTATATACCCGCCCCTTTACCTTCGCTCCGAACACTACTGGTGTGCATTGGCCTCATCGTACAATGATCATGCCTGCATACTATATAAGTCAATCAGACTGTCTGTTGTAGTGATTAGCAGGGGACCTGTATTTTGCATGTCTCTGCTAATATCTGGATAGACAGACAGATTGACTGATAATTAGAAAAGGGACAGGGGGTTAAATTATCGAAACATATATATAAAGAGAATGATAGTATAGATTGTCTATCAAGTTTATTTTGTTTTTTGGCATGTAGAAAAATATACTCAAACAAACTCTTATTTCTATATATTTTAGATAAAGATTTTTCTTGTTCAATCATAATGAGTAATAATGATGAAGCTCTCAATTATGAAGGCTTATTAGTAACTTCAGCTTCGTCGAATAAACGCTCATTAACCAATCAATTTGTTGATTGTGTAAAAAAGTCTAAATATTTCGTTCCTTGCACACTATTATCTCCATCAAAAACTACAATGAATGATCAATCCATAAAAGAAAATCCAGTACTTTCAGCAAAAACTCAACTTAAAAAATCTATTGAGAAACAACCGAAACGAGGTAAGAAGAAAAAACAATATCATATTTCTTGTTTTTTTCTTTCCATGAACAAATCAAATTATTTATTCATTTGTTCCAGGTTCATTATGTATTACGTATTCAATCTCAAATGATGAACATACTAATAATTCAATTTTAACATTACATGGTTTGAAACACATGTCCATATTTTTGTTTTCGTTTTTCTACTAAATTTCTCATTTTTAGTAATACGTGCTAGACAATTATCAATTATTGATTCCGATCAAATGAATACATTTGTTCAAGTAACTTTAAAAACTTAAAACATCTTATAAGTAAAAAATAAAACTTGGACTTTTGTTGCTTAGGTCAAATATCCTCATCATTTTGAAAAATGTTCAAAAATTATTCATGCAACTAATTCTCCTGTTTACGATGAAAAATTTCATATGTAAGAAAATCAAAACAGACAAAATAGTATTTGATTGAAATTGATTATATTTGTTATGTTTTCTTTTTGAAGACCCATAAATAAAAATACTTTATCAACACCATCAAAACGTTTGACAATCTCTGTTTATAATCAATCAATATCAAACAATAAGTAAGTTGTGTTAAAAAAAATACTTAAATATTTTTTCCTACACACTATCTTCAAACGAACCTTATTATGACAAGTTTTAGTCGTGTGAAAACAGTAATCGAATCATCTTCATTTCTTTCCTATAACACGCGTAAGAAGATTCACTATCTTTTCTCCCTTCACAACACATATGTTATTCTGACGAATAAATATATCGATTACGAGCGATGATACGGAAGAAAAAGGACAAGAGAGAGAGAGAGAGGAACAATATATATATATATACATATATTCATTCGTCATATTGTTTATATTTTTATTTTAGAAGTGATTTAATCGGTTGTATGTCATTTAATATGAAGACACTTCTTAAAACAACTAGTTGTCTAAAGGTAAGAAAATCGATTAAATTCAAGTGTGAAAAAAGAAACTAATTATTAATTTCGTTTTTTTTGTCTAAAGTGATATATTCTATTAAAATAATATAAGGTGTAAAAGAATATGATTGATTGACTTCTTTTTCTTTGGATTCTATTTAGACTTCATCAAAATATAAATGGTATTGTTTATTACCGGAATCAATCGGACGGCATAAATGTATGACATTAAATGTGGATATTTCATCTGTGCATACGAAAAAGTCTACAACATCGAAAAAACCACATTCATCACAAAATTATAATCAATCCAATGGCATTGTATTCAATGTAAGTTATTAGAGACTTATGAGAAAATTTAGATGCTAAATTTGAATGTATCAATGTGTTTTTTGTTTTTCAACCACTTTCAACAGTTATTGGTAATTCCATGTCATTTCGTTGTGTGAAATGAGATTGAGATTTAACAACACCTACGAGTCTTGTTGAGATTTTGTAAATCTATTTTGTACTCGACTATTGATTATCAGTATGAAGCTAGCACGACGGAGCTAGCACGATGAAACAGAGATTCAACTATAAGTCTTCTCAGAAGTATTGCCGGTCCATAAAAACCAGACCATTCGACGCAGAATTTAATTCTGGATCGGATGGTGATACTTTTATTCCCCAGCAATACTTTGAGAAAATTCTATCCGGTTTTTCTTGTCCTATTTGGAAAAAAACAAAGGTGTAGGTAAAATTTCTTGCTACGTATTGCCGGGGAATAAAAGTATCACCATCCGATCCAGAATTAAATTCTGCGTCGAATGGTCTGGTTTTTATGGACCAGCAATACTTCTGAGAAGACTTATAGTTGAATCTCTGTTTCATCGTGCTAGCTCCGTCGCGCTAGCTTCACACCGATCTATTGATTCTACTAGATCTAATTATCTTTGAAATAGTATTAAAATAAATATTTTCCTTTTATAAATGTAGGTTGAAATATATGATCGTGATGAAATTCAGTTTTCTTCTGGATATCCATGTAAAATAAGTGAAGTAAAATCTAGTATTAGTTCATCATCAACACGACCGATGCCTGGTGATATACTTTTACAAGTTAATGAAATCAATGTTTCACGAACACAAGCTAAAGCTGTTAAGAAACTAATCAAGTGAGCTACAAATAAATTTATTGTTTCAGTTAAAAATAAAATCGTCAATCTTTTTTATTTTCAATAGAAGTTTATCATTGCCGATAACTCTGCAATTACATCGTCGTTCCGTTCCGTCCACATCAATTAAAATAGATAAAATTGTTCTAAATTCTGTTGAACAACATGAACCATTAAATAGAAATTTAATTTCAACCGAGTCTTTTTATTCATCGTCCGATAAACAATATAAAACACAAAATTACGATTGTTTTTTACCAAAACCGACTCCAATGAATATTGATCATCAACAAAGTTTACTTATGTCACCAATTGATCGAAAAATTTCTACACAAAGTGATGGAAGTGAATCGGGTGTTGGTTCTGAAAGTAATCCGTATTCTGATGGTGATCATGACAATCGACTAGTATGCTTTTATTATTGTCTATTTTCTAATTTTCTATTTATTTTTTTTCTTTTTGAAGAAAATTCTTTCGGAATCATACGAACGTGAAGTTTTACAATTGATCGAAATTGAAAAAGAATTTATTAATCAAATTGAACTTGGTGTTCAAATGTATTCACGGCCATTAAAACATTATTTAATATTATCAAATGAGCATGCAAAATTATTTCAAAATATTGAAAAAGTATGCATAAAACTCTCATCTTCTCATCACTCAATGAAAAATTATTTTCATAAAATTTTAGATATTAGCAATATCACGTTATCAATTAAATCGTTTAAAATCATTATCTGAACGTACAATAATAAATCATATTGGAAAAATCTTTCATGAAAAAGTTCAATTGATATGCGAAGCATTTAATCATTATATAGGTGGTTATTCTGACGCTTGTTTACAATTGAAACAATTGACAAAATGTGCTAGTTTTCAAAGATTTATCCATGGAAATAATTCTAATCTTACTATTGAACAGTTTCTAAACATACCATTAACTCATATTGATAATCTTGTGAATCAATTAGATACATTATGTTGTACTTGTGAAAATGCCAATGATGCCAATTATCTTTTACATGTTCTCAAAGGTAAAAATCATCAAGAGAAGATTTTTATTATGCATATATATTTATTTTTTTTTTCGTGTGCCCTATAGAATTACGTCAATGTTCATTGCATGTTTCATCTATTGAATCATCAACAAGTCAACATCATTGTACAACAACAATGTCATTGAACAGTGCCAATGGAATATCATCATCGTCATCAATGAATAATTCAGAAGATAGTGATATTATTGAATTACAAAATCGACTTCATTTTACACCAAATATTCAAGTATGAATAATCTATGAAATTCAATCTCTAATATTTACTGATTTTTTTGTTTGATTTTGCTAATTTAGCCTGTGATATTAACTGGTCACAATCGTCACATCATTTTTTCTGGTGTACTACTATTACAAAATGAAAACAAAAATTATATTGAGGTAAAGAACTAATTGAATTGATTCAATTAATGTTAATATCTATCGTGAATGTGTAGCAAGAGATTGACTTTAAATGTATAAAAATTAGAAAACTTATAATGATTTTTACTAATATTACCAGTATTTGAATCGAGAACATATTTAGTAGGCTAGTTTCACGTTTTTCTGTTCTATGAATATTCATGCGTATGATGTAGGCCATAATAGTTTATACATACTAGGAGAATAGAGATCAAACTGTTTATCTATTAGTACAGAGATATTCGATTGTAAAACGATTTTTAAATTAACTTATAATGTACGACAACGCATTCTAATGCCAGCAGTTTAATATGAAGAAAGGGCGGTGACTGTGAAATACATACATATATGGAATTGAATTATTAAAATCAGTTTTTCTGATATGCCAGAGTCACTGATAATCAAATTTCATGTCTGTTATAACTAATGATTGAAGTCAACTCTTAGGAAGTTAAGAAATGTCTCATTAGAATATCATATGCCCTATTAGCTTAGAGAAAATATTACGAATCTTAGAAAAAAATATCTATTACTGTATTTTAGACATGGTCTGTTCTGTTAAATGACATGCTTTTATTCACACAACGAAATGCAATTGATACACGTTTGAAATTAGTTTGCAATGCGATTTTACTAAGTGATATTGTGGATTTTCGATCAAGCGATGAACGTATGTAGTCTTGTTTTATGTTCTTTTAGCTGTTTATTTCTAATCTTAATCTTTGGATAGGCCAAGATGCATTGATATTTCTATCAGATAAACCGAATATACCATATAAAATTCGTTATCCAAGTAAATGTTTACAATATGCATGGCAAACAATACTGGAGCAACGTCTTAAAACTTGGCAACGATCGATTCATGATGAATCATCATCAGCTGATTCTGATCTTGGATAGAATTTTTTTGTTTTTCTTAGTATTGAACTTGTTTTTTTCGTTTGTATATATCTATACTTGTTTTATCACAAGAAACTGAAAAGCCATGTCCTATACATAAAGAATTCTTATTATTTTTTTCTCTGTTGATGTGTGTTTCGTGCTCTATTGTCTAACTGTTTTATTTGTATTATTCTTCTCGTTAATTCTGTTTTGCTTTTCTTAATTGACTTCTTTGTTTTCCTGTTCCTTGATGCTGTTTATTATTGTAGTAATATGTGCGTGATGAGAAACAAAAAAACGGGTAGATCATAATGATTATCTAGGTTAATTTATTACTATTATTACTATTATTTTTTTTGTGATGAAAAAATATGTTTGACGCTAGAAAAAAATTAATAAAAAGGAAATTTTTTTCTTCTTTTTTACGAAATTACTTCTTAAACGTGCTTATTTTCATTGAACAATATGGAGAATAGAATGATAATTCAAATATTTAACTTTTGTCGAAATGCATTGAATTTAATTGAAAATCTATCATCATATTGAGTATTGTTTTCTCGGTTGTATTAGTTTGAACAAAGATTTTGATCGGTTCATGATTTAATGAATATTTACAATTTAGTAATGGTATGCTATTGAAAATTCTTACATAATCACGACTCATATTCATACATGTCAAATATTCATTTTTTTAAATGAACGGTTTAAGATGTTAAATGTTCATATGGATGATGTATCTATTTGACGGTAGTCAACTGTTTGTATATTTTTCTTTAGGATTTCAATATTGTTCATAACTAGTTAATATCTAGTTCTAGCGATTTTAAAGATACACAATACATGTTGAACTTGACAAATGAATTCAACACAATGTTCAAAGTTTAACCGCGAAACGACACATATTCTATCTCATTTGCAAAAATATAAATTTAGGGAGAGTTTATTAAATTAAATTAAAGTTTCATGCTTGAAGCCACTGCAATAGAACATGATGTCTACCTTAAATATAAAATAACAACAGAATTTTAACTGTTCGTCTGGTGAATGTTTCAGAGAATTTAAGTAGATCTATTCTATTTAGCATTTTAATTCTGTAGAAACCAAAATGAAAGCATATATCTATTGACGTCTAGAGTCGAAAAGTCATAGAGTAACGTATCCATATTCCAATAATTTCACATTGAGGATATCTTGTTATCGTGCATGAAGTCGGCAGATGCTGCTGAAACCAATGAACAAACTCATCGTCTCCCAGTAGTGTTTGAACATCCCACTGATCATCTCGACACAGAACAGTTAAAGCTTGAAGATTGCTCATTTTATCGACAAGATCAATTACACATGTTCGATATTCAACAGCTATAACAAGTCTTTTACATTGGGTGACAAACGGCTGAGAACTTCATGTACAACATTGTTCCTTATTGTACCAAAACGTCTTGGAGAACAAGTCAAGATGACAGCCAGATGTCTGTAAGTTCTCAAATGATAATATTTTCAGAACCGACGATGGATGCGTATGAATAAGTAAAACCGATCGACGATGCATTTTATTAAGTAAAATTTGCAATTGATTTCGACTGTTTTCATGATCATCATTTAATGATAAAGAAAGAAAATTTACTTGATCAAAATTCGTAATTGCAGATCAAAAATGATTGCTGATGGAAATTTTGCAAGAAAGATTTGTAATATTTGAAAATTGAATATTAGATAAGCTCAAACAATTTGACAGTGACCTATCATAACCAAGTGAACGTACACAATTATATGATCATGAATTATTGTCATGTTAACAAGTTCTTTTCGATAAACGTGTAGAAGAGAAATAATATCTCTCGAAGCTATATGGAAGTGTATAGAAATAAACAATTTTCTCGTCTATATTCCAATTGCAATGCACAAACCAGGAATGTTCTTCGAGTCAAAAATTATTACGAAAAGTATCAAGTATCGTGTCTATCGCTTGTTCTTTGTTGTTATTATCTCGAATACTTTTTAACATAAGAAATTGTGGAATTTTCAGTTTTGGAAGATAATGACGAATAATTTTTTCCATTTGTGACCATCAATGCAATCAGCTTCTCGATATACTTGTAGATAGCATAGACTAGGAATCATCAGTAATAGTTTTATTAATTGGCTACATTCCCAAAAATACGATATACATTTAGTTTAGCTATCTGAAGAAAAGTTTGTAAATGAAAGCTGAACGGTGTCTGCATATTAAATCGAACCGGTTAAGATTTATAAATTCGGTGTTTTACATAGCAATTCAGCTATCTCAGGTGCAACCAGTGCGACACCTTCTAGAGCTAGATATTCTAGATTTGACGATAATCTAAATGATATAGGAAAATTCTCGCAATTTACAGGTTTAATCGATAAGTAGCAGTATTTAAACTTTTTAAAGCGCCAAACGCTGCTAACAAATAGACAAGCAACGAAATGAGTTCTTTTAGTAAGAAAAATGGTTTAACAGTAAGCTGCATAAAGTTTGGCAAATCTTGAAAATCATCTATTAACTGTATAGCTAATGCACCCGAACGACGATTACACACTGAAAGTGGTTGTGAATAGGTGAATCGATTGAGTAAAGAAGCATGAGTGAGAAATCGATCGACTACTCCAGGAGCTCGTTCAGTCAACATTGAAACGAATGGAAGCAATTGATCGATTGTTTGTGAAATATATATTTGACAAATAGTATCAAAATTAGATTGAGATGTTGCTTGAAAATCAAATCCTGACACTCGGAAATTATGAAAAAGAAAGTTAAATCGAACATCGAGTCCACGGAATGCTTGAAAGACATGCGTAGTAGATAAGTATCCGAAAAAGTCAGTAAAAAACTCGTTGGGTAAGGATTCGATATGCATCTGTATAGAACACGATGCGATAGACTTAAGAAAAAATTGAGATTTTAAACAAGTTATTGCTCGGAAGAAAAAATTCCAATTCGGTATGTTTAGTTTTTTCTCTCGCCCTTGTTACTTGTTAACTAACAATGAATGCAAAGAGAGAAAGACCGAGAACGAATCAGATTGCTTTTGAATTTATTTACTCAAATGCCGAAATCCTTTTAAAATCCTTTTAAGCATGACGTCTCATGTTGCTGCATAAAAATCTTAATGAGAGTGATGGCTTTGCGCTGGATATTTGTCGAGCTCTCTGTAGGTATGGATGGATAGAAAAATACTACAGCCATCGAAAGTTTAAACTAGATCTACTTAAAATTTCTGATAGGATATGTTCTTCACAAAAATATAAGAATTGATAAAACAAATGAATTATGAAAAATACAATGATCATACAAGTAATAAATAATGTTTATATTTTACCATTACTTAATTACTACACGAGAATAGATAGAGAATTTGTAGTCGTATGAATTTGTCTGTATACCAATTAATATCACAATCACTCGAGTATGATTTAAAGAAATTAATTTTGGAAATCATATACATGTAGGTTTAGTAAATTTTTAGTAGTAAAAAATTTTCCTTTCTTCATCATGAATTTATCTGTTGTAGCTTTTATCAAAATTTATTTTTAAAAGAAACTCGGATGTTTGATCTTCCTTATTCAACGTATTAAAGGATTGGCAAATATTGATTACGCATTCTGACAATCTGTTAGCTATTTTTTTCATCAATGATACAATAAAGTCTACGTTTAATAGTATAATTGAATATGGAATCCATATGAATTTATTTCATGTATAGCTGTATAATAAAATGTATGATTCTGTTTTAAATAAGAGTAGTCATAGTCACATATGTCCAAAAGATAGATAATAATATAGTCCATAAATCAGTATTAGACAAACGCGTGGTTCATTTTCTCATCAATTTGAAGAGTTCGCCTACAAAACAAATAGTAAAAACAGAAATCGCTAACAAAAAAAATCACTTACTAGGTATTGGAAAAACGATTGTTGAATTTTTTTCAGCTGAGATATGTGTTAATGTTTGAAGATAACGTAAATGTAATGCAGTTGGACTTTGGCTAATTATGTCAGCAGCTTCCTTCGTATATAAAATAAATTTTAAACCGTATGGTTATAGAAAATAAATTTTACTTTTAATGATCTCGATCCTTTTTGTTCTCCTTCAGCTGCAATGACTCCTGCACGAGCTATTATTCGAGTAGCTACAAGAATAGAAAAAAGCCCATTTAGTTTTTACAAAATAAATTAAGTCTGACCTTCCGCTTCAGCAGCCATACTACGTTGCATGCTGACAGGCAAACGAACATCTTTACTGAATAGAATAGTCAAATTTGTATTCATAGAGAAATAATTAACTTAATGTTATTACATTTCAACACGTTCAACCTTGAGTCCCCATGGATCGGTTCCTTCATCAAGACGTGTTTGCATTAAATGTGCAATATTTTCACGATCTGATAAAATTTCTTGTAAAGTCTTTGTACCTCTATTAATTAGAAAAAAATAAAAAGAACCATCTGATTGAAATTGAATATTTCTATGAGATGACTTGCAACATATTACGAAGTGTTGTAGCTGCTAGTAATTGTGTTGCATAACGTGCATTTGCAACATTAGTTACACTTATTATTGGATTAAACATTCGAAAATAGACAACAGCATCGACAGAAACTGTCTGTAAGAGAAAACAATACAATTGAAATTTGTTGTAGAGTTAGCTTAACTACAAACCACTGAATCTCGTGTAAGAATTTCTTGAGCAGCAACATCAAAAGTAACTTGAAAAAAAGTAATTAACACAATGGAATAATTACTTATGTAATGGATGACAAAGAAGAAACTATGACGAACCTGTTCTTAAATCGACTTTTGTTAGTGAATCAATGCTTGGCAAAACAAATAGTAAACCTGGACCTTTGGCTTCAACTGAAAAACCTAATAATAATAATACTTTCATAATATAGTGATCTCAATCTTACGAGTGAGAGTTCGACCAAGACGCATAATAACAGTTCGTTCATATTCTTTCAAAACCTACTAAACAGATATTCATTGATATAAAAGTATATGATGTAGATATAAATTGTATTCTCTCTTTCTCTTACTTTTATAGACACAAAAAGTGAAAATGGAAATGTTAGGACACAAAGAACATACGATAATACCACGAGGATTCGACCACATTTGCCAAGATCTGCTTCTGGATTTTGTCTGTCACCTAATAATTAACAAAAGAAGAGGTTGGATTACCAAAGAAAGCTTTACAACATTGGCATTACTTTAGATAGTTTATCATTATCAAAGAGCTCATGATTACATGGAAAGTTTAACGACTTACATTTTAATACAAAATTTCTTTCAGTTATGATTTCGTCTAAGGATTTACCAATAATTTTATTCAACTTTTAACTATCAGAAAGAATTTTTTTCAGGATTTTCTAATTTGAAGAAAACAGTAAGAAAACACATTGAAAACTCAACAGCATTATTCCTGTAATTGTCAATAAATCTTCATAACAGATATTTTCGACTCAATTTTTGAACTCAATTAGTATTGTATTGATAATTAATCAAACCAAACTTGAAGAAAGAGTCTCGAAAATTTGAGACCCGATCTATCTTGTAGATATAAACTTCTTTTAATCAATGAGTCATCGAAGGCTTCGAAACATGATGGGATATTCTAATGAGACAATCTTTTGCATAAGATTGAATAGTTTCATTCATAATATTCAGTTATTTTTCTTTTATTTTTCACTAAATTATGTTGAGTACTTTATATTACTTAAGCATTCCATCGTACAGAACCTAGTTGTGCTTGATTTACTACAGAAAACTCATATCTACCAAATGGACTGTTTTTTTCAATTTCATAGACTTTCACATCGATGCGTATTTTATTCGTTATATACGTGTATATATAATATATATATATATATAGAAATGTGTTTTTCGATAACGACCGTGCGAGTGAAAGACTAAAAGTATTACAACATTTGGCTACTAGGAGAGAAAATTATTTATTTATTTTTCTCTTTTTTCTCCATAGTACATAACTGAATCAACAGAGAATACTTGGTTCTAATAGAGTTGAGACTAAGCTGTACATATTTCCAAAAGACATAAATTACACTGATGTATGATTCAGAAAACTACGATTTGTCTTAAATTTTCTGAACTAATTTGACTTATTAAACCTATTTAAACAAACTTGACTTACAGAAAAGTTGAGTGAAGAGTTGCTACATCAATGATGTATTGAATATATATTTAAAAAACTTTTTAATATTATAACTTACTTTGAGGATGAACAGTGCTTCTAAATCGTTCTTTTGGCATCATAGCAATATGTTGTTCAAAAGTACTGAGTTTGTTCAAATGCTGAAAGTAAAACAAAAGCTTTTCTCATCACTACATTTATTTGTCAACAATGATGTTATCATGGTAACGACTATTTTTCAAATGAAAAAGTATAACTAATTCATAGCTCATCTCTTTTCTCATACATGCAGCATAAATATATATATATATATGATTTGAAAAACGAGGGGAAAACACTAGTCTATCTCTTCATGGATTGAAATTACGTTATAGCATGATTTACTGAAGATTGAATTAATTATTCCTAATTTTGAAATGACGCTTCAATGCGTGTCACGAGAATATCATCCATGAGGAGAAGGCAGGTACAAAAAAGGTAGATGACGTGTGAACAATTACATGAATGTAATATCGTTTACTTCAAAAATTGGCAAGATTTCACTTGAACAGTGTACTTCACGCTTTAAAAATTGGCATTACTCAACAAGACTACTATGTTTCGCTTCGCATTGATAATTGAGGCGTGTGTAATCATAGCAGAACAAATATTTCATAGAAAAAAAAATGAAAGAGAATTTTATGCACACTACGAAAACTGAAAGAAATATACCACTCTCGTTTCTATCGGCAAAACCTAATTATTATGCAATATCTAGACTCAGATGAATTTTACATTAAAAATAAGTATATCTCACACATTTTGAAAAGCACAGAAGGTAAAGGTCTACCACCTGTTACCTTTATTACTGTGTCATTATTATATACTAAATATATCAAAATAAGGGAATATTTTTCAGCCTATTTAAAAATGACGTAACATGGTCGGTTTTGATATACTTTATCAGTGTTGATCTGCTTCAGTCATATAGTCTACTCATAGAACACAAATTAGCTCCAGTTGCGAGATAAATTTCTATTTTAAATAGCTCTAACGTAAGAAAAGTTTTCTTAGTAAAATATATTCTTCTGCTATTCCCTGTGTGTTTTATTTCAGTACTCTCTAATAACTTCATTAGTTTCTAGTTAGAATGAAGAGTAGCAAACGCTACCACGAATTCTTACGAGTACCGACATATGTGTATCGGCAATAGTGTGAAAAAAGTAGGACAACAATTTTATCATGATGCAACACAAAATATATGCACTTCTAACTAACATTTCATCCTGTTCCACACAAGCATAGGATACATATAAACCATTTGAATAGTTATGATATGCTTCATGGAGAAAATAGCTTGAAAGAAATTATGTGACAGCATGAACATATTGATGTATTAAATCGAACAATAACAAGCATATTCTACATTCAAATCAGACTTGAATACACCACACGAAATATGTAGAATCTCTCGATTTTACATAAGATCCACCAAACATCTATAAATCAATCATAATAGTTGAATACTTTTATTGATTATGTGTAGCTATATGGTGCACACTATGATCATTGTAATAATGCCAAGCTCTTATCATTCGCTACAACATCACATTGGTGATTTAATTGTTATTCACACTAGAGTCACGATACCGATTCCATTGGAACGAACATCAATTCTTTCTTTTCGTATTTGCGAATAGTTTTCTATCATAAATTCATCTTTGACAGATACTACACGCCAGTTACCACTAATCCTACTCAATATATCTTATAGATTCAACTAATACTTATATTGATGATAGGTTGAATTCATCAAGTTTGGAAGTAGCTGAATATTTCTGCTCGAATCGATGATTCTTTCGAGAGATATCGATGTTACAAGTATTCTTATTGTATTGATTCTCAAGCAGCTTGCTAAAAAGTGATAACAATCAAAATGAAGATTGTTCTAATCGCATCTACTTTCTGTCATGGACTATTCTCTTTCAGTATTGAAAGCATTTCCTCGTCTGATATTTAATTATGAGTGCCATCTACCATTTCTCAAATGAATACTCATGTGCATAAGATAACTTGGTCGAGTTAGTCTTATGCATTAAATTGAGATATTTTGAACTTAGATAAGGAAAATATTTTTCAAGAATATTTCTAAGTTGCAATTGAAAATTTTTTCTGAAAGAACTTGACGATAAATTTTAATTTTTTTGAAAAAATAATTATATTATAATAGCCTATGAAATTATCTATGTCCTCATAGATGAACATCGTTAACGAACGTTTCAAGCACAATAAAGTCACTCTGATCGTTCGTCTGTTAGAAATTACAATTTTTTATTCTTTTTTCTTTATTTTATTGAATAATTTTATTTGTTATTGAAGGCAGTTGATACGAAAATAATTATATATTTAAATAGTTCGTGGAACACTCTATCACTCCAGATGAAAGCTCCATGAATTACAGCCAATCGCTAAAACCATTTTAAATACGATAAAGATGCTTTCAAATTGCGATGTTTATCATGTTTTCCTAGTGTTTTTCTTTATCAATCATATCATTTAAAGGCTTGACAGCATTTGAATGCAGATGAAAACTAGAAAATGAAAGAAAATTCAAAATTCGCATTCACACCTCCACATGCTGAAGAGCGGTTAAGGCGAAAGTATTGAATATTTTGTAAGAGTTTTTTCTGTTTTTGGTGTCGCATGTTAAAAATGGCAGCTTCCTATATGTTTTCTGATTTGTGTTTGTTTTACTTACATTGAAGATGTCTCATATTCGACTCAATAGTATTCAAATTCGATTCGAGATCTAGATCGATTCAGTTTAAAGCAGAAATCTCGGACTATATGATTATGATTGGTAGTAATTTCGAACCAATCTGTGTTTCAGCTGTTTTGAACATGTGAATGATGATATCAAATAAAGTAAAAACTTCTATAATTATGAACTGAAATAGGAAAATCTCAACTAAAAGACCTGCTTATCCGCTCAAGTCAGATTATTGAATGGGAATACTCCTACGATGCCTTCGTGAAGCTTTATTTTTATTAACTCCATCAGCATGAAATAAAATGTTTCTTTCGAATTTAATCATCTCTTTTCTTTTAGTGTTTATCCAATGAAAAGGATAAAATCTCATTTTAGAGTTCTGGCCTATGAGTTTAGATAATTTGTGTAAGCAAAATGTAAGTTCTCTTTTTAGGAAAGCGTTCAAATCTCTAAAAACCTGTTACCAATGAAGTTTATCCTTTTCAATGGTGTCGTTCGAGTTTTTTGATGACTGGTAAACTCACGACCGGTTTGTATTGTTCATTTAAAAAATAGCCATTATGAAATCCGTTCACTTCGTAATAGTGCGTTATTTATCCGATTGACAGGTTCATCGCTTTGGTTTGTATATGAATTATATTTTCATCGAATTATTAAATACGATTTATCTAACTTCAAACGATGGCGAAAGCCAACTGATGATTGATACGTATTTCAAGCACAACAGAACAATGTCTTACATGGTTTCCTCGCTCGATGTCATCAATTTTAATCCAAAACTGTTATTTGATCTTGTATTGGTATACACTAATAAACTCATAAAAACTAGGCAGCACATCTGTTTCTTAGCAAATAACTATGTACTTATCGATGTCAGAATATGATATCAATCATTTTGGTTCTTCTTTCTTTTTTCGTTCGCTTTTCAATCAGAGAATAAGAAAAACAAGATTGGGAGAAGGCGTGGCAATGAGAATTCTAATTATAGAGCCTCTATCATGATATTGAGGGAGAAAATACGAATATTTCATGCTCAACTTGAGCTTAACTATATATTTGGCAGCAAAATAATGAAAGGCAACAATACATAGAAAACTAGACATGATAAATAGGGGTGGAAAAGGTGATAGAGATTAACATTGAAAACGGAGCACTAGCAAAGCTGACGAGGGCAACCGGTATGTAGAAATTAATTACTGTTCGTATAAGCGAGTTCGTATGTTTGGTATTGTTGCATGATTTAAGATTGACGGAACACTAGCTAGGCTGATGAGAGTTTCCGCAGATATACATTGATTATCAAGACAAAGTATCGCAAGTCTAAAAGCTATTAGCGCAATCCCTGTGGGATTAAAATGTGAAACACGATGAAACTTCTTTTCTGGAATTCGACTATCACGGTCACTGATGGTCTGTGGCGCTTCTCTGTTACAGTCTGTATTATGATGTATGAAGTCTCTAGAAACCACCACAGACCGTTACAGAGAAATTTAATAATTAATTAATTTCTCTGTAACGGTCTGTGGGGGTGGGGCGTCCAAATTCCTATCCTATATACTTCAACACTCCTTTCAGATCGTGTTTCACAAAATATGAAAGTAAACAATTTAATAAGAGAAGATGGTGGGGTGGATGGCGGATAGAGTCAATAAACACGAATTAGTTATAGTAGAATAATGTAAGAATGATAGAATATACTGTAAATCTATATAGCAACAGCAAATAGAAATTAATTAAATAATATGCAAGAAGTAAAGGCGCTCATCATTGATCATGAACTAACGTTAGTGCTCGTCAATCACCAACTAATATTTCATGCTCAACTTGAGCTTAACTATATATTTGGCAGCAAAATAGCGAAATGCAACAATACATAGAAAATTAGACAGAATAAATAGGGGTGGAAAAGGCCACTTAGCTCTAAAACTCGAAGAGNCCCCCCCCCCCCCCCCCCCCCCCCCCCCCCCCCCCCCCCCCCCCCCCCCCCCCCCCCCCCGCCCCCCCCCCCCCCCCCCCCCCCCCCCCCAATCCGGGTAAATCTAATGAATTTGAATTTCAGAGAATGTTCAAATGAGTTTTCACCCTTGAAAAATTGGTTATATCAGCAATTAATATAGTTTCATTAGCTTTTATTCTACACGATTATCTGGCATTTTCCCCGCTTAATAGCACACATATATTTATAATGGTATTAGAAAACGAAATAAAAAACACTCGTAAGTTTAATCAGAACGAGAACTAAAACATCAAAATGCTAATGCATAACAGTATTGAGTCTTGCTAGTAAACGTAATAGAATTGATTTTGGTTTGAATCTTAGATACACAGGCATAAGATTGACTCATTACTATTTGTAATAATATAAGATTGAAAGAGACAGGCTTCGATCATAGCTATCGACGATTATTAAATCATGTTTCATGTGCTAGACAATACTTGACATGGAATATATTTTTGATTATCTTTTCTATTGATCAATGGAGAAAAAAGCATAGAAATAATCATGTATGTTCTTTGTTTTAGACAGTAATATCATTCCTTTTTTTATATAAAGAATACTTGCAAATATATATATATATATTATAGAAGCTGGGAAGAGTAGAATATATGTCGTAAAAAAATGACGTTTGTCGCTGTTACAGAAATGAAACAAGAGACGAAAGACAAAGAGAATGAGAAAATCTATCATGCGAAAATGAAAAGGTGAGGGTAAACAGGGAAACTAGCAAAAAACGAAGTCGTGATATGTAGCATTGCTTTGATGAGTAGTATAAACGAGAGAACAAATGTAAGCGAAGAACGAAAGAAAGAACGAAAGAAAAAAAGAAATTTAAATGTTTAACTGTTATCGCGCACTTTAGTTTTTGAATTTGAGTTCGAACGCATTTGTCTCTGTTGTTGTTGTTGAAGATTTGTTGGTGTACTTTGTCGTGGTCGATAATCAAGTTTATAGCCATCTAAAATTTAATTTATTAAACAGTTATTTTTATTTTAATTCAGAAAGTTTTCTTTACCTCTCGTGTTATGTGGATAGTTTGAATCTGATGAATACTGTTCAGGACAGGCAAATGCTAGATGTCCAAGATCACCACAAGTATAGCATGCTTTTGGTTTCATATGTTGCTGTTGTGGATAAGATGTTTGATTTTGTCGTTGTTGTGGATGAAATCCATTTTGTTGTTGAAATTGTATAGAATCAGATTGATGATATTGCTTATGACGATGATGGGATTGTTGTTGTTGATGGTATTGTTGTGATTGATGTTGCTGCTGCTGTGATTGCTGTTGCTGTTGTTGTTGTTGCTGCTGTTGTTGTTGCTGTTGTTGTTGCTGTTGATGACGTGATGATGACTGAGGTGGTGGAGATGGACGATGACTTTGTCCATTTTGTTCTGGTGGTGTATTGGTACCATTGGATTGAGTAGTTGAACGAGCATTAGATATAGATGCTTGTGAAGCATTTGATGTTTGCACAAAGCCATTATTTGTTTGATTAGTAGCCACTGTTGCCATATTTGGAGCAAACAATCGCATAAAATCAGGTGTCGTTGATGGAAAACCAGGTGGAATTGCTATTGGAAACATATACGGATCCACTGGATTATATAGAAATGGATGTGCAGTCAATAATGGTACATGATGCTGAGTTTGCGAAGGACAATTTGATGCTGATTGTTGTGATAGTGGCTGTAATGGTAGCGATGGTGGAAGTTGCTGAATACCATTTTTTCCTGATATAGCTGCTGCTGTTTTAGGCAATTTTGGGCTTGAACTTGACGAGAGAGATGGATGAGCACCTGCTAAATTTATTAAAATAGGATCATATTGATTTCGATCGAAGCCTGGTGGTGGCGTACGCGATGGTTGTTGCTGATGCTGTACAACAGTCATTAAAGCAGCATCTAACAATGGTGGTAATGATGTTGTTTGTGTTAGCGGAGGTGACGATGATGCCGATGAAGGCATTTGAATAAAATTACATGGTGATCTTGAATTTTTATTACTACTACTTAAATGAATACTCATTGGTCTAAATGGAATACAAACATAAAGAAATGGACGCTACAAGAAGGTTTTTTTTAGTGTCTTACTTTAAATCATCTAAAGCACCACAGATTAATTGAGCTGTAATTTGATCAAGTCCATCAACAACAAGATGTGTTGGTGTTAATTTTGCCAACTACAATAAAACAAAAAGAACGTTTTCATAAGAAGGAATAATTGATAAATAAGATAAAAATAATTCTCTTACTTCATCCATTGAATATCTTCGAAGATAATCTTGATGTTCAGCAAGAATAAAACCTGGTCCAGGCATTCGATCAGTTTGAGTCTCTTCACATCGAACTTCTAATCCAGTTTGTGTACCATTATGTGTTGGTATTATTGATCGAGCTTGTTTTGCTACATCCGTTTGTTGTTTAGATTTATTGCTACTTGATGATAATTTAGGTGAATAATGTACTTTATTCTCAGTTTCAGTTTGTTGTTGTACAGGCAATTCGCATTCTTGAAATAGAACAAAATGATAATTATGTAAGGAAACAAAAATACATATATATATATATATATTAGTTACGAATTGGTGTCATTCCATTAGAGAGTGATGAAGATGATGATGATGATAAAGGCTCATCAAAACCATTACTTGAGTTAAATAAGCGTTGTTTAGAATCGACAAGTTTCAAAGATGAATTAAAAAATTTGGCTAATGTTGATATTGTAGAAATATATGAGGAAAAATAGACGAGATGTCTAATAGAATAGAATTTGTACTTTTGTTGCATATTCAAAAATAAAATAAAACAATAATGGCTCACGTCATGTATATTCCAATATTCTTTTTCATTGATTCGATATCTGGCTCGGTTGGAGTGCCAATCTCACGTAAATAACCAGAAATATTCATTAAACGTTCTAATCGTACATCATCATGGTAAACAATATTCGATAACTAAAATAATTTGAAATGGTACTATTAAAATATGAAAGTTCTTCTCTCTCGAGAACATCAGTTAAAATTATTTACAAATTAAAATGTTTTTATTTCGAAAAATATATTATCTTGTCTTTTGAATCATGAAGGTTAATAGGAATTTTTTATTCTTTTCGGCGTAGAAATGTCAAGAGTGTGATTTTTCTTCGCATCTTTTTAATTGCACTGAGAAAATGTTCTTACTGCTACGCTATCATATCGTATAATTAGAATAGGGAAACTCTTGATATACCTATTTCTATTTAAAAAAAAGAAAGATGAGAAAACAAAGATTTTCATGAGTAGAATCATTGATTCACTACAGAAAAAAAATGAATTAACTATTTGTATTCTTATCTTTTGATATAATTAGTGTTTTGAATTTTACGGTAAGAGTATTGTTGACGGAAATCAAATAGAAGCCATAAATAAAAGTTATTTTCCTTATTGAATAGTATAAAGGAATTTCCTCATTTTTTTTATTGCATCCGGTTTTTTTACCCCCATAGAGATTTGTCATTTTCTTAGAAAAATTTTCTCAACAGTGGTTAAGAAACTAATCAACAATTATTCATTCTCAACAAAAATTCTCTTCTATTCAATGACATACTTGTAAATGAAATGATCGAATATCATTCGGAGTTTTCCATGTCAAAGTAGAATTATTATCAGACCAATCAGCTTTAATTAAAACTCTCATAGGAGTTGATTCTGTATCATAATTAACAACAGTTAAACGAGTTAGTAAAGCTAAAACAATAAAATAAAATTGATTATGATTGAAATAATGGAAACGTTTTCATACGAGATGCATGTACACTTAGTGCACTTGAATTCAATAATGATGATGATAAAATATGATGACGTAAACAACTTGCATCGTCTAGTGAATCGATTATTTCTTCATCATTATTATTGTTATTATTATTATTTTGTAATAATTTCATTTTGCGTTGTCGTTTTTCTAATTCTTTCAAAGTTTGTGACATTTGTGTACGCATATCAAAACTAAATGCTGGATGATTTGCAGCTAAACAAAATATGATTAATATTTCATCCATCGTTCTTTCATCTAGATCGTCACGTTCGAGGAGCATATCAACTAGTTTAACACTTTCACTGGCTTTTAAACGACGAAATAGACGTAATGCACATGGACGATTTTTTGCCCAAAGAAGAGCTAATAAAAAGATTTATTTTAGTTTTAATTTGATAGAGGAATGGTCGAAAATCTGTCGATTTGTTCTCTTACCAATATCAACAATAGCATGAGCTCTTGTGAATTGATCAGTTAAATCCAATTTTTCATCACCTCCAATATCAACTTGTGGTGGATGATTTGGTTCAATATTTGTTATTGCTGAATTTTGTGTTGGTAAATGATTTGTTTTCTGTTCAGCATGATACAAATATTCATAATCTTTACGCGCTATTTCTTCTAAACAAGTACCCAGATAACGTAATTCTAATGGTTGGCATAAATGTAATAAACCATATAAAAATTCAATACGTTTAGCTCCACTTAAATGATTGAAATATCGATGAATTTGTTCTTGATTTAACATGGATATTTTGTTCATAAACTAATGGAGTTATATTTCAACAAAATAATAAATAATAAGATTTTCTTGTTTAATAATTAAAATTCTATTTTCTAAGATTAACTATGACATGATTGGGCTCGTTAAATGAAAAATATGTTCTAAATAAAGAAATTGCGATTAAAAATATACAAAAATCAAACGAAATTCGATTGATACCATTCGTTAGAGAATGAAGAAAAAAACAGAGAACGAATACACCTCGATATCAAACAGATTTATCCTCTATCCATTCCCTGTCAGGCATATTATTCCATAGCTAACTTTAGCTTAAATATAAAATCGGGTAGACGATAGACCGAGAATTGATGTGCCCAATCATACAAATATCTTTCATAGATGTCATTCTTAGACAACCTTTAAGCGACAAAAATGATAGTTGTTTTGATGTCTGACATTCATGTATAAATGCCTATCATCATACATTGATCGAATGAATTCTTTTTTATACGTCTCATGTGATCGATTACAGTTTGTTTGAATAGTGACTGTTGTTAAACATGTTAAGAGAAAGAACGTAAGTTTCATACATGACATTGCTTGTTTTTTGTGTTTGTATTATTGAAAAAAACATCTCTAGTACATCTTACCTACGACATTTTCATTTAGTTGTACATTCCGAACAACAAAGGTTTGAATAGAGAAATAGTATTGTTTTTTCCAAAGATAAAAAGTGATGTTTTTAGATTAAGTTTTCCGGTTTATGTCATTCAACAGGAAGAATTATCTCCTCCTGTACCACAACATTTGGAATCTTCCAATGAAACAAAATTAGAAATATTTCGCAACTATTTACAGAAGGTTTACTATTTATTATTAATATATAATTTAGAAAAGCTAAATAGATAGAAAGTGGATACTTTTATTTATGAGAAATTCAATCAGGGACGGCGCGAAGCAACAAAAATATAGGGGGGTTACTTGAAAACGGGAGGTTTTTTTTCAAAAATCGGAGTAAATCAATAAAAATTTCTTCTATTTTCTTCAAATCGGAGTAAAATTGAAACAAAAATTTCCAAAGTTGGGGGGGGGGGGGGGGGGGGGGGCCGCCCCNGATTTACTCCGATTTTTGAAAAAAAACCTCCCGTTTTCAAGTAACCCCCCTATATTTTTGTTGCTTCGCGCCGTCCCTGAATTCAATATTAATTTTTGGAAAGCGAAAGTTGATTGAATGATATAAACTATTACTGCTTACTTACTAAGTATCTAATTTTTGATTAGAACATAGTTAGACTATTAAAAAAATAGGATTAAATGAGTTAGAGAATATATTTCTATAACAGATTAATTTAGTAGTATTTCTTGTGGAATCATTTACTAGATGTTTAAAAAAGAAATGATAATCATAGGTATTTAATCAAAATACTTAAACTAATTAATTTAGTCTAAAATAATTCTAGAAATCTTTCAAGTTCCATCATTGTATTCCACTTTCATTTTTAATATTATGTCTTATTGCTGCCATCGCTTTACTTTCTTCTCTTGTAACTAATACCACAAGCATTGAACAATGTCCAATCTACGATTGTTCCTTGATGAATACGACAACATATTCAACAATAAGTAATATGACAACATCGTATAACTTAAACATCAGTAATGATATATCATTTGTCACCAATTGGAATACATCAATCAGTTCGACAGTAACATCAACTAGTACAACAATACTTGACAGAAATTTAGTATATGGTGACAATTGTATTGACTATGAGCAATGTACACTATCAAAACACTTATTATGCCAATATGAATTTGATTTAAATCAAAAACATTGTTTTTGTGAAACAACTTATTTCTGGAATAAAAAAACACAGCAATGTGGTTAGATTTTAAATTACAATTTTGTAATATATTTTTTTTTTAATTTTGATTCTTTTTTAGAACCAAAAAAAGACGTCAATGAAAGTAAATACTATTTGATTTTATTCGTAGAAGAAAAAACACGAAGCATCTATGTTTTCTTGTCTTAGTCTGTGAATATGATAATGAATGCCGTCTTGATCTCGGTGTTACATGTGACCTTAAAACGAGTACAAATATTGGACATTGCCGTTGTATGGGTGAATACTACTGGTCAAAAATTAGTAATTGCGGAGCCTTGAAGATCCAAGATTTTGTTCATTGTACTGATGAAATCTATATTTCATCATGTTTAGTAAAAGAAATCGATAATGGTATTTATCATAATGTGAATATTCGACAAATTCAAGATGATGAAATTGAATTTGATTATTTTATTGTTGATTCACCTGAAATACAAGAAATTGAACGTATAGAATGTTGTTGGTCGATAAGTAAACGTTATTGTTTTGGTATTGACAGTGAAACAAATCGATTACTTATTGTTATTATCGATATCAATGGTATAGAATCATATCATCATATAAATCAATCAGTTATTGGCCTACCAAATGTATTAAGACAAGCTGATAATTCAGTCGTATGTTACATTGAAGGAGATGATTCAAATTTATTTTCTATTACAATTGATCCAAAGAATAATGATTTATTAACTGTACATCAACGCGGTGGTATGTAAATTCATAGTTATTTATTGTAAAATAATATATTGAAATTTCAAAGGAAAAACTTACGGCGAACGATCATGTTTTATTGCAATTAATCGTACAACTTATTGTTTTTATCGTGATATTGATCATCATTTAACCGTTGTAACTATGAATGGTACAACAACGGCACAAGATGCTCATATGCATATTCATTCAGGTGTTGTAAAGTTAAATAAGTTTACTTTTTACATTGTTTTAAATTTTTGTAGAAACAAATTTAAAAACAGGACCTTCTTGTGGTTGGGTAGGAGTGAATATTCTTTTAAAATTATATTGTTTTACTGTATTTAACGATGAAAAAATTCATCGTATTGAACAAAAAAATAATATTTGGAGTAATTGGATGATTATGTCGTCAGATAAAATATTTATTCAACGTCCACTTTTTGTTACTTCAAAACCACCTGAGGATGCAAGTACAGATCAAAGGTAAATTAAATTTTTCTGTTTTTATTAATCTCGACTAATTAGTAGAGACTTTTTTCTTTGAGTTGTCATGTATTAGCCATCGATACGAGTAATGAAGTTTATGTAAGTAGTAATACTGACTGTACTCATGAAACATCATTTTCAGCATGGTCATTACTTCAAACCGATATTGGTTTATTATCGTTCAATGGATCATTTCGTTTACGTGATGGGCGTATTGGTGTTTATGGAATTGGTATTGATGATTTACCATATTATACAACAATGAATCCTGTGACACATAGTTTTGAACCTATTAAATTAGCTACAACATTTGAATGATGTACTTTTCTCATTTTATTCTTTCGTTAATAAATCTTAGAGATTAGAGTATAATCTATTGTTAATCAAGATATGACTTATGTTTACTTCTAGTACATGTTACATCTTCCTTAAATTTTATTTTTTAAATAATCTGTGCTATATTTATGACTATTGTGTGTTGAATAGAATATTTTGGGATGTCGTGTGATGAGTTATATGCTAAATTTAATGAACTTCAATTCTACAGTTAATTTTAATGTTTGAAATATTATAGTAAACTAAATACATAGTATGTACAATAGGTTATAATAATAAGAATGTAACTATAGTAATACAAAAAATCTTGCTTTAAAAATTAAAAGTAAGCATTTCATAGTGGAAGGTTTCATATGTCGATGTGTTTTCTTCTAAATAATAAACATGTATTTACACTTGACAAATGTTAGATGAAAAGAAATGATCAAATATCAGCAAAAAAGTCGAATGGTCTGATTAAAATATAAAGTATTATTGAGAAGTTTTTAAGTACGAGTGAAAAAGTAAATCTTTCTTTACATGTTAAGCAAATGAAAGAATTTTTTCATCTCTTATATTTTACGATTCATCAATAATTCTGAACGTCTTTCTTTCTCTCATTTCTTCTTTTTTTCTTTTTTTGCCTCTTCGCTTGTGCACATGACAACTTTTGATGTTGTGTGCTCTTCAACAAATTTTCTCTCTTCATTCTTCACCTCACCTATTCTGTCGTGCTGGAGACAAAGAAGAGGAAGAAGAAAAAAGAATAGTTGCAGTTATAAATTTTGTGCTTAACAACGCAACACATATCGTTTGTTGGGAAGTATAAGAAGAACATAAGTTATAGATGATCCTATTTTATTGAACACAATGAGTATCAACAGAGATTCGTTTTATGATGATGATGAATTTATTCCTGAAGAACTATCAGAAGAAAATCGAACACCTCCAGTTCCTCCGGCAAGAAAATCTCTACCACACGATGTAACAACTACTGAAATTACAGAAGATACAACTGTAACACCACGTCCACCATCATCGCCTGTATCTCCACCACCACTACAACAACAACAACAACAACCAATAGCCTCACCACCACTAGAGCAACAACAACAACAACCAATAGTCTCACCACCACTACAACAACAACAACAACCAATAGTCTCATCACCACTACAGCAACAACAACCAATAGTCGCACCACCACAAATTATTCAAGAAGAAATTCGTGCAAATCAATCATCATCAAGTAGCTCATCTGAAACAGATTCATTCGAATCAGATGACGATGACGTAGATAAAGAAAAAGAAAAAGAAAAAGAAAAAGAACTTGAAAAAGCAACGACGAATCAAAACAGTATTTTACATAAGCCAAATGTTCATGTAGATACTAAAACTAATCCAGTGGCCGTTCGAAATGTATCGGTTCAAACAGAAACATTAAATAATATTGAAGTACATTCAAAAAAATCTATAATTTATAAAGACGATATTGTATTCGAATCAAAAAATGCAACAATACCTCTAGTTAAAACTTTACTTGATCAAACAATATCGTCTGCCCTACCAATAATTAGTTTTTGTCAACCGTTTTCTATGACCAGTCATATCGATGATATTATTTTAGCTATGCCACGTCATTTAATGATAATAAACAATCAAAGTTCCGTTAGTGTTTATCCATGGCAACAACCGCCAGAATCTCCATCAACAATTCTTGAATGTTTTTGGTGTTCATTTTTATATAAACTTCTTGTTACAACATTAGAAGATAACTGTTTATATGTATATGATTTTATATCTGTTACTGATTCAATTAAACTTCGTGGTCGACCATTATCAGTAAAACATCAAAGCTATCATTTAAGACAAACGAATTCGTCCGTATTATTGCCATCGTCATCCCGTTATAAACCAACACCAGCTATATGGTCTCAAACACGTTTAATGAAATCAAATTCATTAGGCATTTATTATTGCTATATTAGCGATCGCCAATATTCATGTATGCTAACGCGTATTGATCATAATACAAGAAAACATATTAAGGCAATTGATTGTTCAGGTGGTAGTAACAATAATAATACACGTATTTGTGCTATGGGTTTATCTGATGAACGAATAGCCATTGTTTTAACAAATCTTATGATGACAGTTTATGATGCAGAAACATTATTAGGTTTACATCAAATAAATTTATCCCGAAGCAATGGTTATAATATAGGTGGGATTAGTTCACTTATGTATTTATGGAAAACATGGCTCATATTAGATCCAATAGAAAATAAAATTGTTGGAATTGGAAAACGAAAACGACGATTCGTTAAAATTCTACCTGAACAACCAATTAATGCTTGTTCAATGGATAATGGAACATTAGCAGTGTGGGTTGGATATCCAGGAGCTCTGTTTTATTATCGGCTAGTTGAATAACTGTTTTGTTTGTATTTTTTTAAGTAAATAGTACAGCGATAACAGAAAATTTTATTTTTCACTTATTATCGTTTAGGATATCGAAATCAAAGGTTTTAAAAGAAATATCAAAAATGATAGAGTGGCATAAGAATATTTGTCTGTTTTTCTTTCCTTCATATGGTGAACAATCCTACAGCTTTAGATTTGATTTTCCCTCTGAGATATCAGTGTGATCTTTGTATTTAATTTTTTGGCCATAGTTTAAATCTACGAGAGCAATAATCAGTCTTTACAATCATTGACGATTTCATTATTCAGTCATTTTTCCAAATGAATTATCTAATTTTTCTAAAATCTCAATATGATTTCAACAGATTAAGTTCCGGTTTTTGTCAGACTATAGATGATGTTTTTTATAGTTTATCTGTTCATATCGTAAGAAATATTAAGATTGGTTGCAATTTATTTTTCATCTTCTCAAGCAGGAAGTTTCAATTGAAAACTAAGTGAAATTTTGTTTTTATCTATTTCATCTGTAGTCTACGATTAGAGCGACATTAAAACATGTCGTTTCTATTCTAGTACAATGCATATATAGCATAGAAAGTTGATATTTTGAATAGATAAACTATCAAATCAGAAATAAGTGTTATCAACAATCACGCAGCAACTAATTGAAATAAGTTTGGAAGCTAGTGATGAGTCTTATATATGATTAATTATCCAGCGTCAATATTACACTATTGAGGGGAAGACGCAGTTCTTTAGATTGATCAAAAGTATCAAAACACTATAGATTCTGAGAGATCAGTGAAATTTTTACGATATATTCTTGTTGAAATTGACGAACATTGAATAAGGCAATTTCATCCTTATGAATCAAAAATATAATTGAGCTTTCTAACTAATATCTTTTTTTTCATTTCTGTTTACTGTTGTTTTTACTTTCACAAAACAAAATTCAAGAAGAAAACAAACGAAAGACAATTATAACACTCTCTTTTCTTATATGATCATTCCGAATCTCTAAGTATCTGACAAATATATTTGTGCAGATCAATTTGGAACACAAGAGAAAAAAAAAACGAACCAAATGGAACTGAGAGAAAAAAACGGATAAAAGAATGCAACTATAAAAACAAAACGAACGGTCAAAACGAATGAGTTCTATCTTGAAATACGTGATTGTTCAAGATCGCATGCTGATATAACACGATCTGATGGCATACGTGGATATGCATTTGCATAGATATCAGAACCAAACCAACTTTCTAGTGTGGAACGTGTTTCTTGAGAATATTCATGAGGTATCGATGTTGAACTACCTTGTTGAATTTGTTGTTGTTTTTTCATGATATCTAATTGTTCATTAATTAATCGAAGTAGTATTGGTTTCAATGAATTTTGTTCATTAGGATTTAGTGATCCAACTAAACGAAGCATTTCATTTCGTTCATTCAAACAGCCCTGTTCAAGATATTGAAGTAATTCTTGTTGAGCAACATCTTTTAAAAATAATACGAAAAACAAAGACAAAAAAAGATTTTACTTTTGTTCAACTAAATGAATTTACTTTTAATGCCTGGAGACAAAAGACGAATAAGATTATACATTTCTGTATAACTTTCATTTTCTTCCACATTCAAATTTGTTGACTAAAATTTATCCAAAATATTAAATTAAAAAATTAAATCGTTTAGTTTTTTGTTTATTACTTGAGTATCATTTGAAAAACAAGATTCATTAGATGATGAATTTTTAATATTACTTTCATTGACCATATTACGTACAAGTGAATTCAATAATACTGCTTGATTATAAATACGATTATGTTCAGGAGTATCTGAATTATTAAATAAAGACTGTGAAGAATCTTGTTGTTTCATTGCTATTATTCAAAAAATTAAAACAAATTTTGTTTTTTAAATTAAGTTAATTTTTATGAACATACGTGAAGGTGGTGCTGAATAATAATTTTGTTCGTCATCATCATCACCATCAATGTTATCATTTTGATTGATATTATTTAAGTCATTAGTATCCATATTTGACGATATTGGTGTTTGCATAGTTGTTGAACATCGAAGTTGCTCATTGATTAATTGAGTTAGCAGATCCTTTGATGTAGATAAGATAGAAAGATCAATTAAAAAATACCGTATAAAAATTTATTTTCAACAAAGAAAGATAGACTAAAGTTTATAGATGATCAAGAAAAATTGTCTAAATATCATATTTTACTTGTGGAAATCGAAGATAATCAAATTCAAAACCCAATTTTAGAATAAAAACCTTCAAAAAAAACATAATAAACTCATTGGTAGTGTTATTGCCTAATTTAGAAGATTTTGATTTGAAAAAGAATAAATAAAATGAGATGAAAATTATTCGTGAGCTTGTTCAATTCTGAAAATCTTTTCTAAAATTTTCAAAACTCTAATGCCTATTTTATTGAAAAATTAATGTGATAATATATCTCGTATCTCGTTCATAATCCAAAATTTTCTAAGAGGTATTTCAAAAGAGTCATCCAACTGGTTTGCATATCCATCTTTCATTTTTTGGGCATCGCTCATTTCTTATCAGACAAAAGAAAGAAATTATATTACCTGATTCTTTTTAACAGTATTCTGAGTTGACATAGGTATATGTAATGGATGTGTTACAGGCTAATCAATAAAAAGATATGCGGAAATAGATATCAACAACAAATACTACTTTTTGATTTTGATCCATCGAAAATGGCCATGCTAATGTATTACATGAAGTCGATTGTTCTGGTGATCTAGGTGTACAAAATACAGATACATCTTTTTGATAATGTTCTGAAATTGATATTGGACTATTAACATAAGATGAGGTTTGTTTATTTCGAGCATCCATTTTAAGATGTTCATTTCTGTAAATGGAATATAAAGAAATTTTCTTAAATACACATTTTAAAAAATGAATTTACTGTTGACGCTGTTGAGCTTGAAATAATCGTTGTAAAATCGGAACTGTACTTGTATTTCGTTGAATATTATTTGATCGATAATTAGGTGGCAAAGGAGAATGTATTTCATTCGTAACTATACCAGATGAATTCAGATTTGATCTTTGATTAGGTGTTGGCAAATGATGTTGATATTTATTTCCATCAAATTTTGCTTTTCGATGACTATAATCATCAATCCAAACTTGTGATGGCTGTTGAATTTGTCGAGGAGACAATAATGGTGTTGGGTATGTTGATGATTGGTGTCGTGTTGCAACAGATGTTAATGCAGCTACTTGATGAGGTGTTAATGAATCTTTTGAACGACGACTTTTTACTTTCTAAACTGTATTTTTATTTAAAGAGAAAACTAAAAACAAGATTTACTTCGATAACGCAAGGATCTGAAAAATCATATTTATGTATTCTGGTTGATGTGATAGGACCATCACCTGCACCATCATGTATACCATATGAATCTTGACGAAATTTACCACCCTTTTCAGCTAACATTCTATCGAGATTGATATAATTTTCGTCACTAAATAGATATGAAGAAAAATGAAAATACGAACAATATAATATAACGTTTGACGGTTTCTTTTTAATAAAACTTACTCGAGAAAACGTCGTTCAACAAGATGATCAGGAAAAATAGTTACTTCGGCTTGTGGGCGCATAGAAAGTAATGTAACCTATTATTTGAGACAAAATGAATAAAAAAAGAGAATTGAAAATAATTAAGTAGTTTTGACAAACAGTTGTATAACGATATGACATGCGAGCATAATTCATTATTGCTTCTTGTGATCCTATTGACGTTTGATTACTCGTTGACATTGAAGTTAGAGGAATTTTTATTGTATCGTTTATTGAAAATGATGGTGTTACATGGGGTGCACTACGACTTGTTCGACAGTTCGGATGAAGATCTTCTCGAACGTTGCCCAACAACATAATCCTAACTTATACAATGAGATCAGGCTAGTTGAGAGAGAATTTGAAAAAATTTATCTATAATAATGCAAGCTATTCAAACATAGATATGAACTATTAGAGAAGAACAAAAGTATAACACGTGCAGTTGTTCGTTACTTTTTTTCCAATTCTTTCTTCTAGGTTTCTCTCGTCTGTCGAGCGAGAGAAAAGAAAGATAACAATTAAATATCCAGGTATCGTGTAACAACACGATCAACCAAAGATATGTTCTATTTTTAATTTTCTCTCAATACAAATAAATGAGCCTCGACGGATTTCGCGCGTTTACTTTCTGAATTGTTACTATGAGTGATATTAAAAACCTGGTTTATATAGTTTTTAATAGATAAGATTCAACTCCGTTCAAGGGAAAAATAACTCGAATTAGAAATAACTTGTAAGAGAAAAAGGCACAAAACAAAACAAATCTTCAGTCAAAACTTTGTAATATAATCAACAGAGATAAATCTAGTATGGAGGTTTCTGAAATCTAATCGACTGGCTATTGTTCATCAACCAATCGTTATTTCGAAAATAATTCAATGAAGTCTCGCTTTTTCCCGCTTGGACATATATGATATTTATCACTAGCTCTACCAAATGAATATAAGTAATCTAAGGTTTTAGCGTCTGTTTTTGCGTTATTGATATAGAGGATTCGTTCAGTTTCAAATCATGGATCAAACGTTTTATTTAATATATTTTAGCAGTACCATTTAGTAGCAAGTTATGTTATCGAAACAAAATCGAGTATTTATTAAATATTTTATCTTTCATGTATTTCAAATAGATAAAAGAGAGAGAGAGAGAGAGAGAGAGGGAGGGGGAGAGGAGGAGAGAGATAGGGAAAGAGAATAGAGCAGAATAAAATTAAATAGAGTATTAATTTCAAATATTTATTATTAAAGAAAATTTAATCAAAACTATAAAGTAATATTCAGTTTCTAGTTCCATGGAATTTTTTGTTCATCGGATAGAGATTAATTGAAATACAACACTACGATTATCATTGGACCAAGTTATATCACTAACAACTAGATCAAATCATATGTAAACGGAAAACATTGTATGTTTTTGTAATGTGTGTTCTATCAGAATGAACGGTTGCTAGTAAGATTTCTATGAGATTGCCGACTTGTCGAGTTCTAATCAAGTTACTTGTCAGAATTTTTAAGTGTATAATGCATATTTAATTGCATGGAAATAAGCTTTAAAAATTACTTTATGTTTTACAGTGTTCGATCGATTCTTTCTTCTAGAATATTGTTTTTTTTGCAATAAATAAATTATTGAATTTGAATACTCAACTCGAAATATATCGTTTGAATATAAGAAGAAATAAATTCTTTTCTCGTTGTTCGCTATCATACAGCGTCGCTTGAATATATATTCTGGTAACCAGCGTAAATGTTGAACAAATGCTTTCGTATCTTGCTAAAATTGTGCAATATAAATGCATTGACAATATTATTAGGTTTCAATGAAATTGTATTTATGCTATCATAATTGATTGAATTTTGAGTGATTTAACATTAGTTTGTTGAAATTTCACAAGATAATTCTACGATGGCCATTGAGATGAATGTTTACCAAGAAAATCATCGGACTCGTTGAGTTCATTTCTTTGAAAAATACCATCGATATGTTCGATCAAATGTTTTAATTTCCCAGGATATCCACAACGACCAACTGATATACGTAAACAACAATGATACGCATAACATATTTTGAAATGTTCATCAAGTTCCTCGACTGATATATCATCTGGAGACGAAACCCAAAATGGTACTAATGGCCATGACAAGTAGTCGCTTGAACGTATTTCCATTTGCCGTAATTCGCCGATGAATTTTCCTGCAATCAATTCACGTACACTATCACTATGTACTGCATTGGTACTTTTCAAATACGGATTATCCATAACGAAACAATCCAATGAATGACCTTGTTTTTTAAGTAATGCCCACAATTTCGTTAATAGACATTGTCCATCTAGTTCAGATTTAAGCATAATAATAGTTCCAATAAGATCTTCTGTAAATGAATATCGTATCGGACCTCGTGCATGTTCAGCAATCTTCTGTTGAGATGAAAATGAGTAGTGAATAGCGAAACGCAATTCATCTTGAATTGGACATCGCCAGTAATGCCACCAAGAAGAATTAACAAGATCTTCTAAACCATGTGCAAGACCTGTATTTGCCATATTGACGTTAATATATAATTGAGCTAAGATGCCAACAGGAAAATTTGTACTAACTGTTAACTTTGTACGTAATAGTGCATTTTTTGCTAAAAATATTTTATTAACTAATCCAACTGCTCCTGTTGTCGTAAAACGTTTAGTATAAATAATAATATCAACTTCGGTAAAAGCTTGTGCATCTTGGCATCCGTCAACAATTGTAGTAATAGATGAGAATCGTTTACTAAGCTCTGAATGAATTAAATCAACATCGATTCGATGACCATATCGATTTTTTGATGTAAGAAGAATAACAATCAAGGGTTCAATTGCATTCTTTTTTTGAGCATATATATTTGAACATTGTTGTTTAAGATTATCTAAAATCCACTCTGTATTGTGTTGATCGGGAATTTTCATATTAGACCCAATAAATTTTTTAGCAAATATTTCTCGAGCCGAACTTACAAATGGTATGTAATCACATGAACTACTATTAATAAACCATGTATTTTTACGATCTTTGAAAAAGAAATAATGAAAGCATTTATCTATAATTGTATTCGAGGTAGTGCATGGAAATATCTCATAATCAGGCCAATATATTTGACTTTCTTGATGTAATAATGTCGCAAGAGCTTCAGCTAATGTATTACGATTTTCTTTGTAAAAAGGCCATAATCTATCATAATACATACTCATTAAGGCTGCAAATTCTGTTACTTTTTTTAAATGAAGTGGCCGAGCAGCGCCACAAAAAAACATTCTTTCATTTGCTCGAAAATTCCAATTCCATAAATGTTCAATTTCATCGAGTCTAGAATTTCTTGGTTTTTCTCTAAATCGCTCAACAAAACACCGGACAGTTTCATTTTGCCACTGAACGTAACTAATAATCGTATTGAAATAGTTCGTTGGTTTAATCATGGAACGCATTTTTAACTTAAATAAGCGTTCTAATAAATTTGTACCTTCGATTACGCCTTCTAGCGAATAGGAATACATTTCAATAATTTGCCAAATATGATCAGCATCCTAAGTGGAGGAAAAAATGAATTTGATTCTGAAGTTTCCTATTTTATTAAAATATTACTTACACGGGAAGGTTCAGGCAGTTGATTGTTCATCAAATCGTCAGTTAATGATTTTACAATTTTTTGAATACTGCACAAATTTCGAATGAATGGCATTGCACGTATATTATTGTGTTCAAAATTCTCATTCAATCTTGATCGAACTCGAGTATGCAAACTGTTTAACTTGCTTACGACGTCAGCGATTTCCTCTTCTACGAGATAGAAACTATCTATTTCCGATACTTCAGACATTGCTTAGTACACTTTGTGATTTTCTTATGATAAAAATTCAGATTTTATTTTTCTAACTTAAAGACTTACAAACAAGTTTATACATGTGCGTATACATTTTTCTTCTCACTTATATCTGTTTCATGTTACTCATTCTTTTCTTTATATACAAAATTTAATGTTTTAAAACTAGGAAGTATGCCTCATTTTTAACTGCGTAGAACATGTTTATGCCCGTCATTCTCATTCTATCGCGGAATATATGCCATGTCATGTTATATTCCCTCGCGTACACTATTGTTTAGAATGACTCAGTATTTTCACATTATCGACAAAGTCGGTATCAATAAAACTTTTTCTTTTCTACCAATATTAAAATTAAGTTATAGATGGATTTCTTCTGGCTGCATCACACATTTATTGATATCATATTTGGCAAGTTTATTTCTCTTGATTTATTACGTATGTAAAAACAATTTTGTTGAATGAAAATTTACCTATCACAGTTTTAATATCATAATTAAATTATCTAGTACAGCGTAATCGTAATTTTTTCATTCATCTAAATACGTTCTCTCTCTTATTCCAGAAAAAAATCGTGATATTCTTCAATCAGAAGTATAGTCGTATTTATTTCTTGTTTCAAATTTTATTCTGCAAACAGCACGAACATTTTATTTTTCATCAGATTTCTGTCTTGACTTCTACACAATGACGATTGCCATTGGTAGGTTAATTAGCACTTGAGGAAATTGATTTTGAAATTTGCTCATTATATTAGGTATGATTAAGCTTATATATGTTGGACTGATTTTGATTCTAGGCATTCAATACTGACTAAAAAACAAGCAAATGTTATAAGATATTATTATCTTAATTTTGTAGACTGTCGTCGTCAAGGACAAATTCCACTTGAAATGATACAATTTGTAAATAAATTGTATATGGCAAACTAATATTCTTACGTCAAATTGTGAATAAGCAGAATGATTAAGTGCTAAGCTGCACATCTAACATATTCTCACAGTAATAGAATTCAAACAAAATTCAATTAATTATTGAATATTTTCAAACTATTTTGATAAAATTAGCTTTGCGGTAAGTAAAACCTATTGTTGAGTATACAATCAAAAATATATACGGAACAATTAGATATACGTAAGTCGAAAAAGATTGATATATTTTCGTTATTTAACGAGAATAAAAAGAACTATTTAATCTGCATTATTTTGTTTATAGCATCAAATAACTGAGTTTTTTCGTCCAAGACTTCTGAATTGACTTTTATCGTTAAAAAATGTTTTTTGTTTTGTTTTCATTGTGAATATACTTCAAGAAAATCTATATTAAGATTCGTGTTGACAATATAAAAATGATGAAAAAATAAAGGATGAGTATACAATTAAAAATCAATCGGAAGAATCGTTTATGCTCCTGAAAGCATAGTTGCACCGCCACCAGGTGTCATATTAAAATAATCATCTACGCTGCGAAAAAATGCATCTCGTTGAGGTGGAAGATTTAACACCTGTGAATGATCATGATTGGGTTCTGCGTCTAGACGCATGCCAAGTTGAGTTGGAATGGCTGACTTTGAAATAACTGTTTGTTGAACATCAAATATTTCTTCTTTGGCACCATTCGGTCTTGATATACGTTTGAATGTTGGTACATAACGTGTAGCAAATGTATGATCAAGTGGAAAAGTAGCATGAAAACTAGGAACAGTATGTGGTCGAGATAAATATACCATGGTCGGTGGTGATGGCTTCGAATTCATAAAACCTCTGGTTGGTAAGAGTTGTTTAAGATTTTTTATTGATGGTAATCCTTCAGGACGATCTTTTTCACTAAAATGTTTTCGACAAAACATACAAGGACATGCTAATAATGGTGATACTAATCCATCAATTTTTATTTGAGAAAATCGATTCGCTGCATGAGCAAGACAAGGAGAAGAGTCATCTTTAGATCTTACCACAGAGCAATTGCATCGATCATAAACATGACTCTCATGTAAACTTTCAGCCAATTTATATTGAAGTTGACTACGACGAAATTGATTCCAATCGAAAATTGGCTCAATACAACGTGTATAAACAGGTGACCAATCGAATTTAAATCGATTATCAACCGGTGGTGATGAGGAGTTACTTGTACTCATATCAGTCAGAATGACTGATTATCTGGAAAAAATAAATAAAAAGGATCAGCATTAATATATTATAGACAAAAGAACTTTGACAAACTAATAGAGCAAGAAGAAGAAGAAGAAAAACAAGCAATTCATTCGTTCTGTTGCAAGGAATTAATTACACACGCACACACATACATATAAGAAGAACGAGAGTTTTTTGTTTTGTTTTAATTAGCAAGGTAATTGGGATAGCTGACGTAGATCTTCAATATCTTACTCATAAAGCCATATCATAAAAATAATTATTACGATGATAAGATCTTGCTGTGGACCTACTAGTCGTTGAATTTCTTCTTCCTGGTAATAATGGAAGAAATTTTCGCTCCTTAATCGTCTTTTTATCTTCATCTTGTGGTGTCGGAGTTGGTGGTGCTGATAATGGTCGTGATCTTGATTCGTTCGTTTCTTCTTTTAAAACCCATTGTTTTTGTTTATGATATAACTCATTTGCACATACACGATATGGTGGTACATAATTAAATCGTGAACCTTTCTGTCGATAAAATGTATCACCTGTTTTTGATGAACCGCGTAAAAAATAATGTGGATATCGACCAAGTAATTCATGAAAAAGTATATAATTGCCAATATGTTCCGCTCGATTTAATTGATCTTCTTCTTGTCTGTATGACCAAATTTCAGATTGAGTTGAAAGTGGATCCGAAAGAAGAAATTTATATGTTGAATAATCATCATGCATTGAACATTTTGTTATCATTGTACAACCACAACGTTTATAAACTTCAGCAGTACCTTCATTTTCTGGCCAGTGACGAGTTCTTTCCGTATCACGATCAAATAATGTACCAGCGCCTTCGCCAGCTAAAGCATATTCTACCATTTTTTTTTGTATCTACAATAGTTCCTTAAAATAAATATAATTATAAAATAAAAAAGTTTTGTGTGTGTCTTGTCATTTTCTATAAAAGCAATTAGGTACAAAGTAAACCTGTGGCAATGTGCTAACATGTTTAGATCGATTCGAATAATTTTTGTGGAACAATGTCTCTCGTTCCAGTTCTATTGTTATGATACTAAGTATATTTAAGTTGTTGAAAAGCAATTAGTCTGCATAAGTAAATCAAATTTTTATATTGTCTTACAATCAAAACGAATAAGATCAAAGATAGATTATTGTTACATGATTGCCAAATTTATATAAATAAGATTTTTCATGTGTTGTCTAAAGTGAACAATTTCAAGGACAATTATAAGATGAAGATATTAGTCGATCGCGTGTATATTTGTATCCATTTGATTTTTAATGAAGATCTCTTCAACGCGTCAATAATAAATCAGTTAATATCTTTCAGATGATACATAAAGAATTAAATAATGATGATTCTTGTAATAATAATGAAATCGATTTTTCTAAACTATTATGTTTTCAATCAAATATACCTGATTGATTTTATAAATTGCACACGAACTTCTTTTAAATTCATCTACATTCTATTGAATATACGACGAGAATAACGTACAATTATATATAAATGTTAAAAATAACAATAATAAAAAACATACCTTTCATTCTTTTTCTATTACATCGTCTACACAACGGAAAAAACAAGATGTTCTCTCGAGGCTACAAAAACATTCACTTCCATTAAAATAGAGCAACAATTATTACTGTTTTCAAATATTTTTTTTATTACAAACTGTTCATATGCCATTTTTCTTTTCTACTCCTAGGCAACGCTCTTTACTATGATTGCTTCTCTTGTATCATTCGATAGTTAAAGCAGCCAATGCTAGTGCAATCATTTAATAGTTAATTTTCTTCTTTACCTCGTCCTAGTATTCGTATCATATAGAATTTTTCTTTTGATATTTAGCTGCTTTCGAAATTTCATTACGACTTCGATTATGGCACAACAATTATACAAATTATTTATTCGTAATTTGCCATGGACAGTATCGTCTCATGAATTACGTACTTACTTTTCACAATTTGGTTATGTAACACGAGCTACTGTCTTATACAATAGTGATACAGGTTTAAGCCGTGGTTTTGGTTATGTTGACTTTAATAAACGAGAAGCATTTGAAGCAGTTATGTCACAACCACAACATATTCTTGAAGGACAACGTTTACGTGTGGAAGAAGGCTCATTAAAACGGCGTAATTCTACTAAAGATGATTCATTATCGACGAATTTTGATAAAAAACGAGAGAATTCAAATAGTCAACCGGATGAACAATTCTAATCTAGCCCTACTTTGTTTTCTTTTCTTTTTGTTTGAAGATTCTTCATTTGTTTGTTTTTTTGGACAAAAAATAGAAACAAAAACAATCGTTTTTATATTGTTGTAATAATGATTGATTTTTGTTTTTTTTAGATATAGAATAATTTGAATGAATTTTCAAAACATATTTATATAATCATGTTGATTAAAAATGGTATTCCATGCTTCGAAATATGAATGTTTTAAAATAGATATTTTTCATTACTATTTATACGTGAATAATCTGACAATATCCGATGTGAAAAAAAGAATGATTTCACGGATAGATTCAAATCTTCAAATCTGATGAAGTTTTATAGTCTCTATTGTTTGACAAATTCATATAAAATAAATTTAAAGTGATATGTATTTGACGCACATTGATAACAGACTTTACAGAATTTTTTCTTTTCGCTTCATGCTTGATCAACATAGGAAAATGTTATATTATTATTATTAAATAAGAAATGGTTATTCTTATGATTTAGTAAAAATTATTTGTTTACTTTTAGTTTAAGTTTTTATTTTGCTATAAATTAGTAGTGCGCTTTTTTACGATCTTTTTCTCTGCTTGTTATACTAAAAATTTGCTGATTCACAATGTAAAATTGTCAGAATGACAGTTATCATGTTCTTTTCTCTTGATTCATATTTACTAGGATATTTATCGATGATATAAAAATATTTTTCATCCTCCTTTATTGATAATAAAAATTTTTGAAGAATGACCGTATTCGTTCTTTCATTGACCATGTCTGGTTCATTCCTATCCGTATTTGTAATAGGAATCTAAAATATAATGTATGTGCAAACTGTTTGTTTGTCGGAGCAGAGTGTAACTGTATGCTTTGTTTCGAAGACTAAAATGTTAATTTCTAGAGATACAACAAAACTTCTATTAAAAAGTTACTTTTATTTGATTTCTCACCATGATGAGCCTACGAAAATGAAAAATTTTCAAAACACAGAAAAAAACAAGATGTCACTTAATACAAGATATTAACTGACATTTTTATCGAATATTATCTATGCCCACTAATGGATGTGTAAATACCTAAACAGAAATATAACAAAATATATCACCATCAGGCATGATTAGATATAGTTCATATACTAATATTCAATTATAAAATAAATTAATATAAACAATAATTACAAAAAAAACAATTGGTTTTAATTCTAAAATTCGCATAATAAAGATGGAAATCTTTATAATAAAAAACATGAACAAAAAGCTCAGATTTGTTAGCGGTTGAAAATCTTTAAATTTTAACTAAAATTAATTTATTCTAAAATGGTTTCTTTTATCACTTTTTCCAAAAATTACTTCAATAGCACTTCACATTCATATCAGATGGCCAACGAGCGAAGCGATATACTAAGTTATATGAACATGGACGATGTAATAGTACCTTTAACCATTGTTGTATAAAACTAGACAACAAATTGTCTTTCTTTTCATAATGAACGCACGAAAATTCTCGTATTAGAGACTGTAACAAGAAACCTCCCCTGATCGAGCAATACAGCTGTAAATCGTTAAATACGGCCCGTAATTCAGGCCGGTGTTTTACGACTGTATTTTTACCTTGACATTGCCGTAAGTATACTGTGTACGACAGAAAAAAACGGTCATAAAACACCGCCCTAGATTACGGGCCCAACGCTTGACGGTCGAACACGGACCGCATTGGTCGACCAGGGTAGCGAGGCAGAAATTGCATAGTAAGTATCTCTTGATAATCTCGATCGAATGCGTCTATTCAGGATTCTCTATGATGCTTCATTCATATCATGATTTTAGCAGGATTTTTACTCCTTTTTCGTATTTTTCAGATTTCGCATGATCGCTGCTGTATGATACAGCAAAGTCATAGGGAATAAGTAATTGGTGCTCTCAGTAGATTCCGAGTAACAGCGGTGCTTGATAAAATCTGTGCGAAGTATGATTCTGAGGTTTTTTGCTGCTGACATCTTTTAGCGCGGTTTCTATTGAGGTCCATTGGCATTAATGTATGCAGTGTAGAGGTGGGCATCCCCATGGAAACAAGTCATCTTGGGACCCATAAATTGTCCACGTAGTTTTCGAATTATTTTGAAAATTACGTGGACGCTCCATATAGTTATTGAAATAATCTGATAACTACGTGAACAGTTTAGGGGTCCCAAGATGATTTGTTTCCATAGAGATGCCCACCTCTGATGCAGTGTGATTCTCATTTAGTGCAGATCTGCATTTCTTGTTTTCTGAAATACGGTCGTAAACGGTACAGTGTTTGGTCGGTTCCAGTTTATAATGCGACCGAATTATGGCGCATACCAAAACATTAAAATATACGGCATCATAATGCACGACCTGGGATAATATAATACTAGCTGTTATCGATACTAGAAATTATCAAATTAGAAATAGATCGTTTTTGAATAAATATCAAATTTTAATTATTCTGTTAAGAGAGCACATAGTCCATCGATCCTATTAAAAGCATTTGCCCTAAAAATCAGACAAAAATACTGAAATTGATCTGAATTACCAAATTTTGCATTGTTATTGCTGTCATTTTACAGCATTTATTACAACTGGACAGGAGCAGTGCTGATGATTCGTGTCATTTGGTCGCCATTTTCATCGAATATGAATCCGATAGAACATTTTTGGAACGAACTCGAACGCCGTATGAAAAAACATCAGCTAAAGAACAAAAAAAGAACTCCGAGAAACACTGTAGGCTGAGTGGGAAAATATTGGACAGAATGTAATTAACTAATAAACTAGTTGAATCAGTTTCTAATCGTCTGTACGATTGTGCCCGTATTATCCCACGAAATGCTAAAACTGTTAAAACACATTGTTTTTTTTTATGAAAACAATTCTTTTACTTTATTGTAGATTTATTTTGCAGAGATAGAAAATGGTAGATAGTTAGACTTTTTTAAATAAAAACTGAATAGATAAAATTTTTGACTTGAAATTTTGCCCATGAATACAAGATACATTTGGCTACAATACGGTGAAACCAGATCTTTCAACCTCATTTAGCTTTTGAGATATGAAAAAAGCAAAAGAATCCAATAAGGTGGTTGATCAATTTTACAAGTCACTGTATATGTCAGGCTAAATTGGATTTACGCAAAATTAAATATACTTATATACATTTTTTTAATAAATAGTGTCTTAGTAATAACTTAAATTTTCCCTCAAGTAGCTAATTGTTAAACGTCATTATTCATATACATGCAAGGATTTTTAGTAGTTGAAAATAAAATCTGAGATTTGTGAAATTCACATATATTTTCGAAGAAAATTGTAAGTATAAGTTTTTTAGGTGAAGTTTTTGCGACTCACGCTCACCCTTCCCATTGCAGATACAGATATTAAATAATTAAAAGTAGTCTTGTTACTAAGAGATCAGTGCAATTATAGTCCACCTCCATCTTCACCATGACAGAAAATAGAAAAAAAAGCTAATTGTACCCGATACAGACTCTAGGAAATAAGTAATGACCTAACTACAGATCTTAGCAATAGTATAGAGTATAACGACAGCTTTCTACTTAACCTGTTCTGGATCAGCTTGGTGAACCTAAAAATATATGTGAGCACCATATTTTAACTCGAAAGAGGCTAACCTAACATCATTTTTGTCGTGCTTTTACAAAAAAAAAACTTTATCTGAAAAGAAAACTATGCAGCCTTTTAGGATGTTCTTGCCAGGTCGTGGAGGTACGGCGGAAAACGGCCGGAAAGTACAGGATAGTACTGAAAAGTGGAAGCAGTATTCCGGTTGGAAATAGCCGGATTATTTTCCTGTGATTTCCGGTTGCAAGTTGACCAGAATACACCGAAAATGTTTCGACAACTCCCGACCAGAATACAGCTTCCACTTCCCAGCGCTTTCCCGTGCTTTCCGACCAGATACGGTGATTTTTCCGCATCATTCCGGCTGGTTCGTACAGTATCCGTCGTCCGGAATTATTGACCTGGGGTGTATTTTGATCGTTTTTATTTGAATTCAGAAAGGCAGAAATATATAGAGAAAAAAATTTGACACGCCAACTCATCTATATCATTTTTTTAAAGTATTGTAGATTAGAAGCGGCAGCAATTAAATTGAGCGCTTTTTAGCAATTGTAAAATGACTGAGATTAATCTTCTAGAGACATCTATTTGTTGATATTTGTATTTAAAAAAAAATGTCGAATGGTAAAGAAGTAATATTTGATAAAAGATAACTTCATTATCAAATATGAAAACCTGAATTTTTTAGAAGAAAGTTTTTTAACATTATATTTCTATTAGTTGTTTTTCATGTGTAATAAATTTACGAACATATTCCTATTGATGTAGTCCGAAGAAAAATAATTCGATGATATTCGTCTTTTTTCTTTCCTTCGTCCTATGTTGTTTATGTTTTCTGTCTAGCGTTAGATGTGTTCATAATAGCGACAACCGATTTTCTTCGATGGAGTATCATTATTCTTCGCTCGATCGAATAACAAAGTACATATGCACACAAGGATATATATATATATATATATATATATATATGCTTTAGTAAAGCTTGTGCTTTTCATTCGATGACTCATCGAAATTCCATTGTTTGTTATTGATGAATCATTCGAATACAATTCGATCGGTGTATATGATTACTTTATATTTCACTTTCTAGATTACAGAAATGGATGATCCATCGATAGATGCAAATCCAAATGCACCTGTTGGAAGTAGTACTGTCCCATCCACAGCGAATGTGTCTTTAGCTGATTTAGACACGTTTGTTAATTATTTAAAGCGTGTTTGTGCACCAATACTCGATTCATCACTTGAAAATACAAATGACATTGAACGTCTTTTTACGGATCGTTCATCGACTGAATGTATTAAAAAATTTATAAGTGATTCTCAATGTCAAACACTTCTGGTTTCAAAAACAATAACACCTAAAGAAGATCCATCATCAAATGAAACTGATTCTACAGCAGTAAATTCATCTGGTGATATAGCAGTAATGAATCCATCATCGTCAACAGCAACACCAGATGGACTTTATACATTATCAACTGAAGTTCATTATATAAATCCTAAAATGCTTTCACTGGTTGTTCTTAAACGTGGACAATTAATTGAAAGTGATAAAAAATTTCATACGCAATTACGTATTATTAATTTGGTTGATTCAAGTCCATATGAAACTTTACATGCTTACATATCACATGTCATAGGACCATATTTTAAATCTTATGTTCGAGAATCAGGCAAAAATGAGCGGTAAATTTCGATTTAAATATTTTTATTTTATTTTTATCGAAAACAAAATAATGTTTATTTTTCTTCAAGTGATGGCGATAAAATGGCACCAACAATGGAAAAGAAGATAACAGAATTAGAAATGGGTTTACTTCATTTACAACAAAATATTGAAATTCCTGAAGTCAATCTTGCTATACATCCAATAGTTGTTCAAATAGTACAAAAATGTTCTACTGAAAATCGTCGTCCAAAAGTTGACGATTTTAGTGAATATTTAGATAATACTGAATTTCTTAATTCACTTCAATCACATGTTAATCGTTGGGTTAGAGAAATTCAACGTGTAACTAAACTTCATGAAGATTCAATGAAAGGCTCAACAAGACAAGAAATTTCATTTTGGCTCAATCTTGAACGTGCATTAACACGCATACAAGAAAAACGTGAATCCGTTGAAGTACAATTAACATTCGATATACTTAAAACAGTGAAGCGTTTTCATGCAACTGTTGGTTTTGATAATGATACAGGTTTAAAATCAGCTATGGAAACAGTTAAAGATCATTCTGTATTAATGAAAGATTTTCCCATTAATGATCTTTTATCAGCTAATGAATTAGATAAAATTCGCACTGCATTAACAACAATATTTCAACATTTGAGAAAACTTCGTAGCACACGTTATCCAGTTAGCCGAGCGGGACGTTTAATGGAAGCTGTTTCACAAGATTTAATGCAGCAAATGCTCAAAGTATTGAATACATACCGTTTAATGCATATTGGCTATACTGATTTTGAACGTATTGTTAAAGTATGTGATGATGTTTTTGGAACATGGGATGATGAATATGAACGTTTATCAACACAAGTGCGTGATGTGCGTCGTACTGCACGTACAAGTGACGTTAGAATGGCATGGCGAGTATCATTGTCACATAAAAAATTACAACAACGTTTAGATCATATGAAGCGCTTTCGTAAACAACATGAACAACTTCGTTCAGTCATTGATAGAGTTTTACTTCAGCCAGTACCAACACCGCTTCAAACACAGACATCGATAAATGATGAACAAGATAAAGAAAATAATCAATCTTCAGGAAATGGACAAGCTGTTGAAAATCGACCAGCAATAACAGCAGCTAATGTTTTGAATGATGTTAATGCTATTGATGAAGTTAATTTGGCTTATGAAAGTGTTAAAGAAATTGATGCACTTGATGTTAGTAAAGAAGGACAAGATGCTTGGGAAATGGCTATGAAACGGTAAATATTTTTATCATTAAACTCAAGATATTTTATTGAGGCAGCTGTTAATCACGTCATTAGATTTATATTCCTGTGTATAGAGAAAAAAAACAATGCTCAGAATCATAGAAACTAAAATAATATTCTCAAATTTCAAGTCAATTCTTATACGAGACATCGAATTTTTTTTCTCTGATTTCCCTAGAAAAATCTTTAATCTTAACACTTTCATTTTGAGTCCCTACGGATTCTGTCAATTATTTTGATCATTCTTCTATAAGTTGACAATAGTACGTTGATGATATTGTTAAATTTTATTCATGCTCTACTGAAGAGTTATGGAGTGTGCTGATCATACTTGCCCGAAAAACTAAATTCCTCTTGATATAAATTAATCATTCTTAAAGTTTATGCAAAATCTTGCTAATTATTTAGGCATCACTAGATTTCAGTGAAATTTATGATTATGCAGTATAATTTTAGTAAACAGTTGGCTCACATCATTTAAAGTATTAAGAGATACTTAACATATCTAGTTATTTTTCTTTGTGTTTGAGTAGTTTTAAGTAGTCTTGTACTACTGAATAGTAGCACTTGCTTTCGAAAAATTCGAAAATAGAAAAAAAATGAGAAAACCATGCAAAAGTAATTAGATAACTATACTTCAACTGAGCTGCTTTCTTTTTGTTTGTTCTATTTGTACAATATTCAGTCTATTCATTGACATGTTCACAGATCTAAATATTAATTTTATTCTTCAGTTATTTACGGGTTAAACATGCTTTCTATTGATTATTACGAGAACTATTTTTATATTTAGTTACGATGGACGCATTGACCGTGTTGAAGCCCGTATAACATCATTATTACGCGATCAACTTGGTACGGCTAAAAATGCCAATGAAATGTTTCGAATCTTTTCACGTTTTCATGAATTATTTGTTCGACCACACATTGGTGGTGCTATACGTGAATATCAAACACAATTAATTCAACGTGTCAAGGATGATATCGAATCATTGCATGAAAAATTTAAACAACAATATGTACATTCGAAAGCCAATCGTATTAGTCGTTCGAATGATTTACCACCGACAAGTGGCTCAATCATATGGGCTAAACAAATTGAAAAACAATTAAATACATATTTAAGACGTGTAGAATATGTTCTAGGTAAAAGTTGGGAACAACATGTTGAAGGACAACGGTTAAAACAAGATGGTGATAATTTTCGTAGTAAACTTAATACACAACCATTATTTGAAGAATGGACAAAGAATGTTCAACAAAAAAATCATGGTCTAACAGGAAAAATTTTTGCAACAGAATCAACACGAACATTACACGGACTGGTGACAAAATTAAAAGTAAATTTTTCACCAGAAATTATCATGCTATCAAAAGAAGTACGAAATATTCGTAAGTAAAAAGAATTTTCATTAGAAAAATTTTTCTTTTATATCTATAATTTTGTCTTTGTTTCTACTTAGGTGCACTTGGTTTTCGTGTTCCGTTACCAATTATTAATAAATCTCATCAAGCAAACGTTCTATATCCATTTGCAGTATCACTTATTGAAAGTGTTCGAACATACGATAATGCAATTGCCAAAGTAATTATGAAATATAGATTCTTTCATTCATATACATATGGTAGATGAAAAAGTATTGTTCGAAAAGAGAACTAAATTTTTCCATTTTATTCATGTGATACATTTTATTTTGACATATTACAAAAATATACATTTTTCTATTTTATAGCTCGCTGATCGTTCATCATCTCAACTACTTGTTGCATCACTTAAACGTGATATTCAATCTCATATCAATGAAGGTGCAAATTATGTATGGGAATCTTATCGTTTGGAACCGTTTGTTCATAAATTCTCCGAAGCTATTTATACATTTCAAGAACGTGTTGATGAATTAATATCAGTTGAAAATTCAATTGATCTTGAGTTAAAAGCATTGGATACATGCGGATATAAACAACAATCATTTCAAGATATTCTTGGAAAAATTCAAAAATCTGTTGATGATTTATCGCTTCGTCTCTATTCAAATCTAGCTCAATGGGTACAACAATTAGATGAACAAATTGAAAAAAAATTAGCCATTCGACTTCAAACAGCTATTACTATGTGGACAAATGCATTAAAGCAAGGTAATAATAATGAAAATAATTTTGATGACCAACAACAAAAACGACGACGAAGTACATTTGCTGATGAAGACGATGCTTTTGTAACATCAAAAGGTAATAACGATCAAACACCAGCAATTCGAACATTATTACATCAAATACGTACAAGTAATCAATTACTTTATGTATCACCACCGATGAATGATGCACGTGAACAACTTATACTTGAACTATATGAATATGAAGGTATTATAACGAATCAAAAACGTATACAACATTCACGTTATCAACTTGGTATTGAATCAGAATCGGAATATAAAACAACATTTAAAAGTTTACTTAATAAATTACCAATGGCTTCAAAACCGTTGGAAGATGCATATGAAACAGTTGAATCATTAATAACTGAAGCTGATAATTATGTTAATACTTGGCTTGATTTTCAATCATTATGGGATTTACAAACCGATCAACTTTATACACGTCTTGGAAAAGATTTAACAAATTGGATGAATTGTTTAAATGAAATGAAGGATGCAAGAAAAACCTTTGATACACAAGAAACATTAAAATATTTTGGTCCTATTACAATTGATTACAATAAAGTACAAACAAAAGTTACTATGAAATATGATTCATGGCATAAAGAAATTTTATCAAAATTCGGTACAATGCTTTCACAAGATATGCATGAATTTCATGCACATGTTAGTAAAGCACGTACTGATCTCGAATCACAATCATTAGAAGCATCAACAACAGCTGAAGCCGTTGGAGTCATTACTTATGTGCAAGCATTAAAAAGAAAAATGAAAAATTGGGAAAAACAAGTAAGTTTAAATTTACAAAAAAATTAATAAATGAAAATTTTATTTGGCCGACGACTAGCTGCATAGATCTAATTTTTCTATGACTTGAGAATAGTCAAAATATACTTAAAAGAAAATAGAATATTGTATTTATTATAATCTAAATAAATGTTTACGTATATTCGAAGAGTATATTTTGAAGTTTTGCCATGTAGGTTTTCTTTCCCGTTACCGACGAAACAATTTAATCTTGATTCTTTATTCAGGTCTAATTTGATATAATTATTTCGGAAAATCGTTGTAAGGAAAATTTTGCTCGATGATAATTCTTAGAAAAGTCTCTTCTACGTGCTTTGATGATTACTAATTTAACTGAATAAGAAATTATCTATTGAACTAATTTCAGTACATATTTAACTTTGAATAATATTTCATCTAGGTTGATGAATATAAAGATGCACAGAAGATTCTTGAACGTCAACGTTATCAATTTCCATCGAATTGGCTCTATGTTGATAATGTTGATGGTGAATGGGGTGCATTTAATGAAATTCTTGGACGAAAAAATTCTTCCATTCAAAATCAAGTTGTACAGTTACGAAATAAAATTGCCGCTGAAGATAAAATTGTTGAAACACGTACAAATGATTTGTTAGGTGAATGGGAAAAAGATAAACCAGTTGCTGGTCATATAAATCCAGACGAAGCATTAGCACAACTTGCAACATATGATATTAAATTAATGAAATTAAAAGACGAACGTGATAATATAATAAAAGCTAAAGAAGCATTGGAAATAACAGATTCAACATCAACAACAAACCAATCAGCACAAAATCGAGTTCGAGTACAAGTTGCATTAGAAGAATTATTAGATTTAAAAGGTGTCTGGAATGAATTAATGTTAATATGGAAACAAATAAATGAACTAAAAGATAAACAATGGATTACTATACAGCCAAGAAAATTACGTCAATCATTAGAAGAATTAGTTCAACAATTAAGTAATTTACCACAACGTTTACGTCAATATGATTCATATCAACATGTTAAAAATGTTTTACAACAATATATTAAAGTAAATATACTTGTTACAGAATTAAAATCAGAAGCATTAAAAGAACGTCATTGGAAACAATTGATGAAACGTATGTCAATTATATGGAATTTAAATGATATGACATTAGGACAAGTATGGTCAATTGATTTACAAAGACATGAACCAATTATAAGAGAAATTTTAACAATTGCACAAGGTGAAAAGGCTTTGGAAGAATTTTTAAAACAAGTTAGTGAAATATGGAAAACATATCAATTAGAATTAATAAATTATCAACAAAAATGTAAAGTTATTAAAGGTTGGGATGATTTATTCAATAAAATAAAAGAACATATTAATTCTATAACTGCTATGAAATTATCGCCTTATTTTAAAGAATTTGAAGAGGAAGCTAACGTTTGGGAAGATCGTCTTAACCGTATCAATGCATTATTTGATGTATGGATTGATGTACAACGACGTTGGGTATATCTAGATGGAATATTTGGTTCAAGTGTTGATATAAAACATTTATTACCAGTTGAAACAAGTCGTTTTCAAAGTGTATCAACAGAATTTTTATCATTAATGAAACGTGTTAGTAAATCACCACTTGTTATAGACGTTTTAAATGTTCAAGGTGTACAAAAAACATTAGAACGTTTAGCAGAATTGTTAGCTAAAATACAGAAAGCGTTAGGTGAATATCTTGAACGTGAACGTGCATCATTTCCAAGATTTTATTTTGTTGGTGATGAAGATTTACTTGAAATTATTGGTAATAGTAAAAATATTGGTCGTTTACAAAAACACTTTAAAAAAATGTTTGCTGGTGTTCATACATTACTAATGAATGAAGACAATACAATTGTTCAAGGTGTCGTTTCAAAAGAAGGTGAAGAAGTACATTTTTATAATCATATATCAATTATGGATTCGTCAATTAATGAATGGTTAACAAAAGTTGAAAAAGAAATCAGTTTAACATTGGCAAAATTACTTTCACGAGCTATTCCAGAACTTATTAAAATTCAAGAAAATCTTGCAGATACAAATGCTTTTATTCAATGGCTTGATCAATATCAGGTAGAGCAATTATCTTGATATTAGATTTAATAGAAAATTAGTGAAGATTAAGTTTATCAAGGCTTTTCTCATTGGCATAACTCATTTTTATCTTGAGTGAAAAATAGAATGTGCAATTTTAATACAAATTTCAACATTTAGACTTACGGAATTGTCCATCCGTATCTTAAAGTTAATTCCAACAGTAGGATATATCAATTTATTGTTTTTTTCTTGCATACAAGAGTTTCTTCATAAAAAATACAAAAATAATGAAATTTTGATTGTAATATCTTTGAACTGTTTTTCTGACATAATAATAATACTATCTTTATAAATATGTACTCTCATAAAGAAATATTTTCTTCTTTCTTTTTAAAACTACCTCCATGAGTGTACCAGATCTTGTACATTATACTATACATATTTGTACTTGTGTTCTACAGTAGAACATGGCAAACATATATCATTTGATTAAAAGCAATACATAAAAGATTCAACAGACATTTTCTAAATAGGGTTAAGTTTTCATTTCAAGTAGTAATTATTAAATATGCAATGATATTTTCAGTATATAGAAGATAAAGTCTTGAAATATGGTTCATTTGTTTAGGCACAACTGGTAGTTTTGGCATTTCAAGTTTCTTGGTCCGAAAGTATTGAACGTGTTCTCGAACAAAAATCTAAAACTAACAATAATGACATATTACCAAATGCACTTGAACGCATTGAATCAACACTTGTTATACTTGCTAATATGGTTTTAGGAGACCAACCAACAGTTCGTCGACGAAAATTAGAGCATTTGGTTAGTATTTATTTTCAAATCTAGTTTTATTATCGTTATTTTAATATTAGATTATTGAACACGTGCATAAACGTGATTGTACACGAACATTAATTGAAAAAAGCATTGGAGATGCACGCAATTTTGAATGGCTCTCTCAGATGCGTCTCTATTTTGATCCAACAATCAGTAATGTTCTCGAACAACTTAAAATTCGTATGGCTAATGCAGAATTTCATTATGGCTTTGAATATCTTGGTAAGTTCAATGCATTTTTTTGTTCTGATCGAGTTTTCATTATGCATATTTTATTCTAACAGGTATACAAGATCGGCTTGTTCAAACTCCATTAACTGATCGTTGTTTCTTAACAATGACACAAGCATTAAATGCTAAGTTCGGTGGATCACCATTTGGACCTGCTGGTATGTTATTTAAATAGACAATAAAAAAAACAATCTTAAAATTATATAATTCAATATTTTCAGGTACCGGAAAAACTGAATCAGTTAAAGCACTTGGTCATGCTCTTGGTCGTTTTGTACTCGTTTTTAATTGTGATGAATCATTTGATTTTCAAGTAATTTACTTGATAATAATCTATTTCTATTTTTGGTAACTATTTTATTTCTAATTTAGGCTATGGGTCGTCTTTTTACTGGTCTTTGTCAAGTTGGTAAGTCGTTTTAATTATTTCATATTTCGTTCAAAATAAAAATGAAACTATTTGATACTTTAGGTGCTTGGGGTTGCTTTGATGAATTTAATCGTTTGGAAGAACGAATGTTATCTGCTGTATCACAACAAATTCAAACAATTCAAGAAGCTTTAAGAGAACTAACACATTCAGACAATAAGAGTAAACTATTTAGATAAAACAAGTTTTCTTTTTTTAATCTTAATGTTCTATGTTTGTTTCAGGCACATTAAAAATTGAACTCGTTGGAAAATCTGTTTGTGTTAATCCTAATATGGCAATATTTATTACAATGAATCCTGGCTACGCTGGTCGTTCAAATTTACCCGATAATCTTAAGATGCTTTTTCGTAGTTTAGCTATGACTGTCCCAGATAAAGTTTTAATTGCACAAGTTATGCTTTATTCGCAAGGTTTTCGTCAAGCTGAATTGCTTGCATCGAAAATCGTTCCATTGTTTACATTATGTAGTGAGCAATTATCTCAGCAATCTCATTATGACTTCGGTCTACGTGCTTTAAAAAATGTACTGGTTATGGCTGGTAATCTTAAACGTGACCGTATTAAGTCTGATGAGCAAAAAACTGATAGTGAACAAGAAATTGTTATACAAGCTATCATGGATAGTTTTGTACCACGTTTAGTAGCTGATGATCTTGTTTTGTTGAATAGTTTATTAAATGATGTATTTCCACGTGCTGCTTATGTTAGACCAGAAATGACGAAACTTAAAGAAGAAATACAAAAAGTAAGTAAAGAAATGTTTTTAATATGTGATGAATTATGGATGGAAAAAGTTTTGCAACTTTATCAAATTATTAATTTAAATCATGGATTAATGTTAGTTGGACCATCTGGTTGTGGTATGTTTCAAAGATATTCAATTTATTCATTATTTCAAAATTTACTCTTTTATTTTTGTGTTCAGGTAAAACAACAGCTTGGAGAGTTCTCTTAACGGTTTTAAATCGATTAGAAACCTCGGATGGGCAAGCACATGTTATTGACCCAAAAGCTATTTCAAAAGATGATTTATATGGATTTCTTGATCAAAATACACGTAAGATTTTTATAATACATTCAACATGATATATAGAGGGAAAAAACAGAACTATTAATCTGATTTAATACTACATCGATATATTGATCGAAAGATTTCTACTATGGATTATTAAGATTTATAGCTCTCATTATAGATCTTACCTACAAGAGATAGATAAAATAGTATTAAAAGAAAGACTAATAATTATATCTATTCAAAAATATCTGTCTTTCGTTTTTGTTGATAAGTAAATAGTCCATTGAATTTTAATCACAAAGTCAATTATTTTTTGTTAAATAATCTCAATTAAGTTCTAGCATGGAATTCTTTACTCTATTTCTGGAGTATATATTTCTTTTTTGTTTCAGTATAGAAAGTTTTTTTTTTTATGACGTATGTGTTAAAAAGGGTTTTAACATATTCGATAAAAGTTTCGATTTTTTGCTTCATAGTGAAATCTAGAGAAATATTTTTACAAATTACCTAGCGAAAAAAACTACAAAGTGATTTGGTGCATAATTCTAATTGCACAGATAAGCCTGACTCTAATAAAGTATATGATCACATACAGTATTGATTTTAGTTGATTTATTCAATACGATTTTTCTATTCGTTATCGTATTTTTTTTCATCATGTACATTTTAATTCTGACAAAAATGAGATGAGTATTGTTTTTAGTAATTTTTGCATATATTAAAGTTTGAAAAATTTGCAATCTCTCATTCTATATTTAGTTAAAATTCGTAGAGCAAAAAGAACAAATGTTTCTAAATCGAAAACAAACAGACTAATGCGTGCACTATTAAAAATATAAACCGACTAAATATCACTATTTTGTATTGGGATTACTATGTCTATATGAAATGATTTGAGTTGATAGTGGATTGGTGGATGATTCTATCAAACGAGGACTTAAACTTATAAATGATTATTATTATTCTTTAGGTGAATGGACGGATGGTTTGTTTACTCATATTCTTCGTAAAATAATTGATAATGTTCGTGGTGAATTAAGTAAACGTCAATGGATTATATTTGATGGTGATGTTGATCCTGAATGGGTTGAAAATTTAAATTCAGTTCTTGATGATAATAAATTGTTAACATTACCAAATGGTGAACGTCTTAATTTACCGTCAAACGTTCGTGTTATGTTTGAAGTTCAAGATCTTCGTTATGCAACATTAGCTACAGTATCACGTTGTGGTATGATCTGGTTTAGCGAAGATGTTCTTTCTTTATCAATGATATTTGAAAATTATTTTCTTCGTACACAAAATGTACCAGTCAGTGATGACGATATTGATACAAATTTTACTGGTGGCTTACCAAGTGAAAATGTAAAAATAACAGATGACAACAATCAAACAATGTCGACAACAGTTGCTTTACAACGTTTCATTGTTCAAATATTAAAACCACATTTTCAAAGTGATAATAGTCTTGTAGCAAAAGCACTAGACTTTGCATTAAATCAAGAGCATATCATGGATTTTACACGTTTACGTCCATTAAATTCTTTGTTTTCAATGCTTAATCAAGGTATAAGAAATATTCTTAAATATAATCAATCACATCCAGATTTTCCGATGCCACAACAACAAATTGAACTTTATATAACACGTTGGTTAATCTATTCACTTTTATGGTCATTTGTTGGTGACTGTAAATCAAAAATAAGGTAGAAGATTGTTTATAGAAGTATTAAATATCTATTGTTTATCTTAGACATGAATTTGGTGAATACATTCGTGCTATAACAACTATTCAAATGCCAGCTAATCAATCAATACCTTTAATTGATTATGAAATAACTATGGATGGAGAATTTTCTCCATGGATATCAAAAGTACCATCAATTGAAATTGAAACACATCGTGTTGCAGCTACAGATCTTGTTATACCAACAATTGATACAATACGTCATGAAACACTATTAAATACATGGCTAGCTGAACATAAACCATTGGTTTTATGTGGACCACCTGGCAGTGGTAAAACTATGACACTATTTAGCGCTTTACGCGCTTTACCAGGTAAATGATTTGAAAACAAATTAGAACTAGAAAATATGTTCAATATTTTTTCTATATAGATTTTGAAGTTGTTGGTCTGAATTTTTCATCAGCAACAACACCCGAATTAATGTTAAAAACATTCGATCATTATTGTGAATATCGAAAAACTCCAAATGGTATTGTTCTTTCACCTATACAACTGAATTCATGGATTATTGTATTTTGTGATGAAATTAATTTACCCGATGAAGATAAATATGGTACACAACGTGTCATATCATTTATTCGTCAAATACTTGAACATGGAGGATTCTATCGTACATCAGACCAACAATGGGTTAAACTTGAACGTTTACAATTCGTTGGAGCTTGCAATCCACCAACAGTAAATATTATTTAGTTGATTATTTAATGAAACATATTTTAATCATTTCAGGATCCCGGACGAAAACCACTTTCACATCGATTTCGTAAGTTGTCTTTGGATTGAGAAGAAAAAATAAATAATTCTTTTTGTTATTGACTTTTGTTTTATTTAGTTCGTCATGTGCCAGTCATTTATGTTGATTATCCAGGTGAAACATCACTTAAACAAATCTATGGTACATTTAATCGTGCAATGCTGCGCATCGTTCCACCGCTTAAACCCTGGGCTGATTCATTAACAAATGCTATGGTCGAATTTTATCTTCTTTCTCAAGTAAATATTTCTCTTTTCTTCTCGTGTTCTATATAGACATAGATCAGTTCTTTTATCTTTTGCAATCATATAGATTAAATCTAGACTTCGAACGACTTCAATCGTTTCGGTTTTATTTTGAATTCGGTTCTTTTGAGTTAAAGGAAAAAATTAGCGTTTTAAATTTACTATTGGAAGATTTAGATAAAAATAAGAGTACCGATTCAAAATAGGGTAGAGTTATAGTATGAGTTTATAAACTCTTGGGCTATTCTAGGAATACTTAGTTATATGGAAAAAAAAACTGGAAATTTTGTGAAGTTGTAATTGTAAATTCCAAACATCGGTATAAATTTTTCTATTATTCAAAATCATTTTCTTCTCGTAAATAACTTAATTCGATTTTATGTTTCATTCGGAAGTCTTCTAATGTGACTTAACTGACAGCAGCAATCTTTCAATTAAAATTCTATAAGAATCGTAACCATCATTCTCATATGTACTATATTTTTACGTATTTGCAATGTCTCCATAAGACAGAAGAAGATTGAACTACTAGAAATTGTGTAATTTCTTCTTTTTTTTCTATATATATAATTCAATTTATTATCTTCAATCTAGGAACATTTTACTGTTGATATGCAACCACATTACATATATTCTCCACGTGAAATGACGCGTTGGGTTCGTGGTATATTTGAAGCAATTCGTCCCTTGGAAAGTTTAACTGTCGAAGGACTTGTTCGTTTATGGGCACATGAAGCATTACGTTTATTTCAAGATCGTCTTGTTGGTGATGATGAACGACAATGGACAGAAGAGCATATTAATTCAATAGCGCGTAAACATTTTCCGAATATGGACCATTTAACAGCATTACAACGACCAATTCTGTATTCAAATTGGTTATCAAAAGATTATTTGCCAATCGAACAAGAAAAATTACGTGAATATGTTCGTGCACGCTTGAAAATTTTCTATGAAGAAGAACTTGATGTTCAATTAGTCTTGTTTAACGAAGTACTCGATCATGTTTTACGTATTGATCGTGTTTTTCGTCAACCACAAGGACATGTTCTATTAATTGGCGTGAGTGGTAGTGGAAAAACAACATTATCAAGATTTGTTGCATGGATCAATGGTTTACATGTATTTCAAATTAAAGTTCATAATAAATATACATCACAAGATTTCGATGAAGATTTGCGAACTGTCTTAAGACGTACTGGTTGTAAAGGAGAAAAAATTGCATTTATATTAGACGAATCAAATATGTTAGATTCATCATTTCTTGAACGTATGAATACATTATTAGCTAATGGTGAAGTACCGGGATTATTTGAAGGTGATGAATATACAACGTTGATGACACAATGTAAAGAAGGTGCACAACGTGATGGTTTAATGTTAAATTCACCTGAAGAATTATACAAATGGTTTACAAATGAAGTTATTAAAAATCTGCATGTTGTCTTTACAATGAATCCATCGTCGGAAGGTTTAAAAGATCGTGCGGCAACATCACCAGCATTATTCAATCGTTGTGTTTTAAATTGGATGGGTGATTGGTCATTACAAGCACTTCATCAAGTTGGAAAAGAATTTACAAATAGTATTGATTTAGAATCTGCTTCATCATCAAATAGGTAAAAATAAAAACAATTATTTTAGAAGGAAAAACAATTTTGATTTTTTAAATAAATTTTAATTTCTATTATTTTTAGTACACCAAACGATCGAGAAGCTGTCATTCAATCATTTGTCTATGTCCATCAAACTTTACAGCAAGTTAATTCAAAATTACAAAAGAAAGGTTCACGTACTGTATTTATAACTCCACGTCATTATATTGATTTTATCAATCATTTTGTTAAACTTTATCATGAGAAACGTGCTGCATTAGAAGACGAACAATTACATTTAAATAAAGGTCTTGATAAAATTAAAGAAACAATGAAGGACGTTGAAGATTTACAAAAAAGTTTAGCAATCAAACGTAATGAATTAGAACAAAAGAATACCGCTGCTAATTTAAAGCTAAAAGAAATGATTAAAGATCAACAAGAAGCTGAAAAACAAAAAATAACAAGTCAAGAATTACAAACACGTTTACAAGAGCAATTAAAAGAAATAGCTATAAATAAAAAACAAGTAACAAGTCAATTGGAAAATGTCGAACCAGCTGTTATTGAAGCACAACAAGCAGTAAAAGGAATAAAACGCCAACATTTAGTTGAAATACGTAATTTACCAAATCCACCACCATTAGTTAAATTAGCGTTGGAAGCTATCTGTCTTTTACTTGTTCAAGAAACAACGGACTGGAAAACTATTCGTGGTGTTATTATGAGAGAGGATTTCATCAATACTATAATACAATTTAAAACAGAAAATGTTCAAGAAGAAATAAGAGAAAAAATGCGCACACGTTATGTATCAAATCAAGATTTTACATATGAAAAAGTTAATCGAGCATCACAAGCATGTGGTCCTATGGTTAAATGGGCACTTGCACAACTTGATTATGCTGATATGCTTCATCAAGTTGAACCATTGAGAAATAAATTACAACAATTAGAAGATGATGCAAATATCAATCGTGTTAAAGCTGATGAATTAATAAAATTAATTGATAATTTAGAAAAATCGATAACAAAATATAAATTAGAATATGCCGATTTAATTGCACAAGCACAAGCTATTAAAACTGATCTAACTAATGTTGAATCAAAAGTTGAACGTTCAGTTGCTTTACTTAAATCATTATTTGCTGAACAGCAACGTTGGGAATTAACAAGTCAATCATTTTTAAGACAAATATCAACAATGGTTGGTGATGTTTTATTATGTTCAGCATTTATGGCATATGCTGGCTACTATGATCAAATAACACGACAACAATTATTTAAAACATGGACACATCATATCGATCAAAAGAAAATCAATTTTCATCATCAAATAGCTCGTGTCGAATATTTATCCAATGCTGATGAACGTTTAAGATGGCAAGCGAATTCATTACCTGTTGATGATTTATGTACAGAGAATGCTATTATGCTCAAACGTTTTAATCGTTTTCCATTGATTATTGATCCAAGTGGACAAGCAGCTGAATTTATTATGCATGCATATCAAGATAAAAAAATTACAAAAACAAGGTAAGATTTTTCAAGTATTTTTTAATCAATAGATTTTTATATTTTTTCTACGAAAAAAAATAAATTCTATAGTTTATATTGTATTATCATAGTTTCAATTAAAATTCTTACTAATTTTTATTTATTTAGTTTTCTGGATGATTCATTTCGAAAAAATCTCGAATCAGCACTTCGTTTTGGTAATCCATTAGTTGTTCAAGATGTTGAACGTTATGATCCTATATTAAATCCTGTTCTCAATCGTGAAGTACGTCGTACAGGTGGTCGTACATTAATAACCATTGGTGATCAAGATATTGATTTATCACCAGCATTTAGTATATTTCTATTTACTCGTGATCCATCTGTTGATTTTCCGCCTGATATTTGTTCACGTGTAACATTTGTTAATTTTACTGTAACACGTGCATCATTACAAGCTCAATGTTTATCACAAGTATTAAAAGTTGAACGACCAGATGTCGATGAAAAACGTCGTGATCTATTAAAATTGCAAGGTGAATTTCAACAACGTTTAAGACATTTAGAAAAAGATCTATTAGAATCATTAAATAATGTCAAAGGTCGAATATTAGATGACGATACAATCATAACACGTCTCGAAACATTGAAACGTGAAGCATTTGATATAACGAAAAAAGTTCAAGAAACTGATCAAGTTATGAAAGAAATTGAAAATGTATCAAAACAATATTATACATTATCAGTTGCTTGTTCATCAATTTATTTTACTATGGAATCATTGAATCAAGTTCATTTTCTCTATCAATATTCATTGCAATTCTTTTTTGAAATGTTTAATGCTATATTTACAAATAATAGTCATTTAGTAAATAAAACCGATGCATTGGAACGTTTACAAATTATAACACATGATTTATTTCAAATGATCTATACTCGTATTGCACTTGGAATGTTACATGAAGATCGTATTGTACTTGCTTTATTACTAGCAAGAATTAATTTAAAAACATTAAATAATGAACCGACTTATGATGATGAATATGATATATTAATTCGTGGTAGTGGCAGCACAACAGTAGAAACAACTAAACATGATCAAGTAACTATCGAAGGTTTAACTAAACAACAAACTGATTCAATGATAAAATTATCTAAATTACCAGCATTTAAAAGTCTTCAATCACAAGTTTTATCAAATCCAGATTTTCCAAAATGGATTGAAGAAATGAATCCAGAATTGAACGTACCACATTTATGGTCTGAATTAACACCATTAACACCGATTGGAAAGATGTTTAATCAATTATTAATGATACAAGTATTTCGTCCTGATCGTTTCTTATCGGCTGCACGAATGTTTGTATCGAATGTATTGGGCGAAGGATTTTTAGCAGCTGCCGATCAAGTACTTGATCTTGGTCCTATTGTTGAAAATGAAATTGTTTCCAATAAACCTATATTAATGTGTTCTGTACCAGGTTATGATGCTAGTTCACGTGTTGAAGATTTAGCTACACAAACAAATCAACAATTAATATCTATTGCTATTGGTTCAGCTGAAGGTTTTAATCAAGCTGAAAATTCTATTGCATCTAGTGCACGACAAGGACGTTGGGTGTTGTTAAAAAATGTACATTTAGCACCACAATGGTTAGTGACATTAGAAAAACGTCTTCATGCTATGCCTGCACATAATCAATTTCGATTATTTTTATCAATGGAAATTCATCCAAAATTACCATCAAATTTACTTCGTATGGGAAGAATTTTTGTTTATGAACCAGCACCGGGCATTAAAGCTAATTTATTACGAACGTTTTCAACAATACCGTAAGTTAAATTATCTAAATTTTTAATTTTTAGTGCTTAATAAGGTGTTCTTTAAAACTATTGCATTAGAAGTTAGAAGACCTTTAAGATTGGATTATAGTAAAAGTTTCTTTTGAAAAGTTTTTGAGACTTCTATTTTTTCGTTCTACTCTTTAAATTTATTTTAAAATTATATGCAAGAAAGAAAACAAGATAAGCCTAAGCAAGTAAGAATCAATAGAAAGTCAAAATAGACTCAGAATTCAACTGAGATATTTCCTATACTATGTTGTGATGAACTTTATCTTTTCTATGAATTCCGGTGATCTTTTGCTAGTTCATTGAAAATGATTTCATTTCATTTTATGTATATTTCAATTAATTGTCCATTGAAACTGAATCATCAACGAAACCGTTCATATGTATTCTAATATGAAGAATAAACCTATTTTGTTTTCAAACAAATAACTATATTCTATGTTGCTGTTTCTTGTTATAGTTCATTACGTATGAATAAAATACCCAATGAACGTTCACGTCTTTACTTTCTTCTTGCTTGGTTTCATGCTGTTATTCAGGAACGTCTTCGCTATGTTCCACTTGGTTGGTCAAAACATTATGAATTTACTGAAGCTGATCTTAAATGTGCATTAGACACTATTGATATTTGGATTGATATTATTGCCATGGGCCGTACAAATCTTCCCATTGATAAAATTCCATGGGAAGCATTACGTACACTTCTTTCTCAATGTATTTATGGTGGTCGTATTGATAATCCATTTGATCAACGTTTATTAAATGGTTTTCTATCAAAACTATTCTCATTAACATCATTAAATACTGATATGAAATTAATTATTGAAGAACAAGATGACAAATTACAACAACCAGTCGTTGTCACAATGCCCGATGGTATCAAACGTGAACAATTTGTAAACTGGATTGAACAATCATTACGTACATTAATACAACAGCCATCATGGCTTGGTTTACCGAATAATGCTGAAATTGTTTTATTGACAACACGTGCACGAGAAACATTAGCCAAACTTCTTAAGATGTCATCAATTATAACAAATGATGATGAAGATCAAACTGAAAATATTCTTGATGATCAAGCAACAATCGATGCATCAATGCAAGGTAAAAAACGTTCTGAAACAGGTGATGCTCGACCATCATGGATGAAACAATTACATATTTCATGTGTAACATGGTTAAAATTATTACCAGCAAAAGTTACAACAATGCGACGTACAACAGAAAATATCAAGGATCCATTATTTCGATTTTTTGAACGTGAAGTTAACACAGGCTCGAAATTATTAGGTGTTGTTCAATTAGATTTACGTGACATAACGGCTGTTTGTGAAACTAAAAAGAAACAAACAAATTACCATCGACAATTAATTAGTGATTTAATTAAAGGTAAAAAAATAAGAGAAAATAAAATATTTTCATTCTTATTTTACTATTATTACTTCTTTTATATTAGGTGTAATTCCACAATCATGGAAGCGTTATACAGTTCCGAAGAATTTAACTGTGATACAATGGATAACTGATTTTAGTGATCGAGTTAAACAACTTGAATCAATATCAAAACTAGTTGCTGATCAAGGATATAAATCATTAAAAGTAAAATTTGATAGATTTAAAATAAATAATAAATAGAATATATGATTGCTTAATTTTTTTTCCAGTCATGTCCTATTTGGCTTGGTGGTCTATTTACGCCTGAAGCATATGTAACAGCATCACGTCAATGTGTTGCACAATCAAATCAATGGTCACTTGAAGAACTTATCTTGCAAATTATTGTACAAGATTCAACTGATCAACAACAATTTATTCAAGATGATTGTACATTTGCTATACGTGGTCTTCGTTTACAAGGTGCAAAATGTCGATCGAATAAACTTTCTCTATCATCATCGATATCAACAGAACTCAATTTAACATTATTTAAATGGATACGTGCAACAGAAAGAAAGCAAACCAATGCAATGATAACATTGCCAGTTTATTTAAACGCAACACGAAGTGAATTATTATTTACAATTGAACTTGAAGCAGCAGATAATTCATTAAATGAATTTGATTTTTATGAACGTGGTGTAGCGGTACTTACGTCATCGATTGCTTAAAGCAACAAAATATAAATTTAGACTGTTTATTACTTATTGAAAGACTTTGTTTTGTTTTGTTTTGTTTTACGTACTAACATACTCGCATTTTTATCTTATCTCTGTCTCTTATTCTTATTCTTATTCTTATAGCTATGAAATAAACGACACATTTTCAAGAAGTACTTGTAAAAGTTTTCTAATTCCAATGCTCATTCTTTTAGATGTCAAATGTCGCTCCTACAATAGATCCACCTTCATCGCCAATCAATCCATCGAATTCAACTATATGTGAAAATGAAGACGAATGTTCTAAACCAGCACTTGTAACATGTCATCATTGTCCAAAACGTTTGTGTCTTAAACATGTTATTGTGCATAATGAAATAAATATTATTCGAACATATGCATTATCTGATGAAATAAATTGTTTGACACATTTACTTTCAAAACTTGATTGTCAACAATCTGTTGACAATGCTCGAAAAAAATTAGATGCATGGAAAGAGAATATACTTGCTGATATCGAACGTACATATAAATATTATTCAAGTGAAATCGATGAATTACAAAATGAATTAAATCAACGTGTAGATATTTTTAAAGAAAGTCAAAAATCTAAAATGTCAGTTTTACAAACACAATTAGCAGCATTACAAAAAGTTGGAGAAATATCTCAACAAGTAAATTCTAGCTTTACTCTTGTTCTACTTTATTCATCTGGAGATTTATTTTCTTTTTTTTTCATCTTAATCAGCAATTGTCGCCAATTGAACGCGATTTGAATCAACTTCGGCAATGTCTCGAATCAGTTCGATGTGAAATATGCATTGAAACAACTGATATTTCTTGTAATGATTTGATTAACGCACATAATATATTTTCATATGATCGTATTTTACCCAATAATACTCTTATGCAATCATATCGTAAATTATCTGTTGAAAACTGTAAGAGATTTGTCTCAAGTAAACAAAATGAATCGATTTTATGGTCGGATAGTCGAAGACAATTACATTACATTGATAACAAATTTCATAACATTTTAATCACTTGTATGTTTGATTGTTTTTTGATCGGTTAAAATATGTATATTTTCTTGTTCAGTACCACCAATAACAAACAATCCAACAATAACAGCGTCCACTTTATTACCATATCACCAAACCAATATAAAAGATGCGGAAATATTAGATTTAAAATGGTGTCCATCAGCAGAAGTCTTTTTTATTGTTTTTCAACGACATTTATATTCATATGAACCTAAAACAAATAAATTTACTCAAATAAATTTAACTCGGCATAAAGATTATCCGTACGAAGAAGAAGAAGAATTATTTTTTTATAAAATAATTTTTTTATTTTAGTTTTCGTTGTGTTTGTTTTCTCAACGATTCATCGCTTTACATATCATATTGTGTTTATGGTATGTGCATTGAATTATGGAAATATCCAAATAACAATAATAGTAATGTGAATATTCCTGTCAAACGTTGGGATCGTTTAGCTAATGATAAAACGGAATGGGTATCACACATGGACACAAATATTGCATCGCAAATTGGTTTACTTATTCGTACATCAACATCAGTTCATACACGTCTTGAATTACGTGATGAAAGTTTAGTTTTACTAAAACAAATTCACTTAAATGATGATTTTGTTGATATATTTTATCCATTTCGATTAAATCAATGGTTTATTAAAAGTTTATCGGGCAAATATTATATCTATTCAGTTGAAACAAATACATATGATTTATCATCATTCGAGTTTCCGTTGGGCTTACAAGAATATGGTGTCAATTCAATACTTATTGGTAGTGGTCAAAATGAATTAACATTGTGTGATGCTTAAAAAAGTCACATTTATATATATATATATATATGTAGAGAGAGAGATAGACAGATAGATATAGATATTTACATACTGTTTTATTTTATTTTATTTTATTTTATTTATAAAATAGATCTCAACAATACTACAAATTAATATGTAGTTATAAACGTATTGTCAACAGATCGAATGATGAAATAGGTAATCGAGCTGTTTATGAGCTCAAACGAATGTTTTATTAGATAAGATTATCAGCATGTTGATGTAGTTGAAAGAATATAATGTTGTTGATATATGAAATTTGTATAAGACTGATTCTTTTACTTTCGTTTGATTCTCGATGATTTTATATCGTTCAGAAAAAGGAGAATGGTAGCTGTGCTTCGTTCGGGAATCGAACCCATATGACACGATTATTTTGAATGGATCTGGTCAATATCTTCTAAAAAATGATTAAGGAGTAGACGAAAGTTTAACTATAATAAAGAATAATAACATATTAATTGATGATTTTAAAAATTTTTATACAAATTTGCAATGGAGCATATTTCTATAGTACTGTTCGGTAAAAACATGTTACTTTGAGCTAAGATCAATAATACATTTTTTTATTCAGCACTAGAATAAGTTTAAACTTGATTTTCATTTAAAACTCATATCACTCAATTTTGTACGGAACAAGTCGATATTTATGTTACTGATAAGTAGCTATTTATGGAGAAATGATTATTGACTATGCGGTCGTTTACGGTGCATATCGTTTGGATTTCTCTAATTATCATTCAAATAAGCAAGATCTATAAATATTCCACTATACTTCTAGATACTGTCAATTAATAAGATCAGATTTATAATTGAAGTTACTGTGAATGAGACCTATATTTCGCCTACAGCTATATTCGCTCACACATCCACGTTTATTTAGAGTCATCCAAGTTCATGGCATATAATGTATGTGTAGCCTTGAATCGACGAGGAAAAAAATTATTCTATTAATGTCATATAATTTTTTCCTTGATTTTTTAAACACTACGTGCACTAATTGCTAAAATTCAGTTGAACTCAAACTTTTAGGAAGCATTCCTTATTATGTAGCCTGCTCCTATTCATAGTGTTGAGAAACATATAATCCATGTGAATGGTGTTTACTAATATTAAAATTTTGTGTTCCTATTCTAAATCTTCGATGATAAGCCACAATAGATGGAGATCAGATGCAAAAGCAAAATTTGATTTTTATCACAACTGTAGATTAATAGCGAAGAAAATTACGGAAAAAAAAGAATTTTTTAATCATGCACATAAACCTATACAGATATATAGTGAAGAAGATTTATCATGACTTATGAAATAAATTGAAGCATATATAATGATATTAGTTTATTATGGCCTTTGTCGATCGCTTGATTTATTGGAGCCGACCAGACGATACAATCATGCTCATGAGATGCTTTTATACGTATTTATTGGAGTCGTAATAAAATGAGTCCTAGCTCAAAAGGAAAATTATCAGTAGTGATAAATTTATTAAATATTTGTGAAATATTTCAAGAAAAACTTTACAATAGTTCTCGATATATTTTTTCAAAATGTGAATTTACTTGGCGTATCGTGTGTAAAACTGTGGAATATATTGTTTTCAAGATAAATAAAGCTATAGAATAATTTATTTATTCGCACTAAGATAGATATATATTCCACATCGTTTGATAATTTAGATAATAATATCTAAAACTAGTTTATATATATAATTTAGGGTGTATATTCGTATTGAAATGAACGACCATAATAACAAGTTTCAGTCGTCAACATTTGCGACTAAACAATCGTGTCTGACTAATTCTATTTGGTTCCGATGGATAATAATCTCGGATCTTGACAACAAAATCTTTTACAATATGTCAATAAAATAAAGCCTTATTTTGTTGACAAAATAAACGAACTCGGCTTTTCTCTTGATTGTTTCATCGATATAAACTTTAAGTCTTTTCTTTTCTAATTTCGATTTAACCACAAAAATTACAACGGGCATCTATAAATGTTATTCTTAGTCTTTGTAGAATATATACTGTAAAAATATTTTATTCAACGATTCAGGCAAATAGATACGAACGAAAGAAAAAAAATATTCATCCCATCAAATTATATGAGAATAGCGAGAATCAGTACGATTATGCAGAGCCGATGGGAAAAATCACACATGCACGCGTTTCTTTTTCTTCCTCCTCTAAATATAATGTATGTTCGATCATAAGGGAGAATATCAATAGACCATACACATATTTTTACGAGCACTCAGTTACAGTCGAATGAGCACGATTAGATAGAAAACGGCAACCTTTTTACTATTAATATTTGTCTCACCTATCTATCTCTCTCTCTCATTATCGAATATATTGGGTCTATGGTAGATAACTATTCTTCGGGTATATCCGTCTGTTATTGATTAATTGTACAGTATCATTAATTCTTTATTAATACTTAGAGGCGGATGCTCTCGGTTCATTATCGTCTACTGCTCCAACATCATCAATAAAAAATGATACAACAAAGACTTCTCATAATGAGTCGGAAGATGAATGCAATTATAGTATTATGACAATTGATACCAACGATTTTAAAAAACTATTGTTACCCAAGTCAAATATTAGTAGTGACAATAAACTTAATTTTGATGCGTGTTCTAGAGAGAAACCCTTTAAAACTGTAGCTTATGGTCCGATAAATGTAAATGTTCGTCAAACTATGGCACCAACATTAGCGACTGGACGTCGTTCAAAATTTACTAAACTTGAAGGTGATGCAGCTGTAAAACGTGAAATACGACGCAAAAGAAATCGTGAAGCAGCAAGAAAATTAAAAGCAAAACGAGAACAAGTTGAGCAACAATTACAAACAGATATTGATGAATTGGAATCGAGAGAAAGAGAATTATTATTCACAATCAGCAGTCTTGAATCATATAAAACAAAACTTGAACTACGATGTGATAGAAACATGGTTTTTATTGAGGAAAGACTTGCTCGTGCAACCGCACCGACTTTAAAACAAGAACATATTCGACAAGCACATCAAAGTGTACTCGTTCATAACGATGATGTACATGCAAAAGAGGAAAAACGTTCTCCATCTCCACAATGGCAGTTACTCTTTAGTATTTGAAGATATCGTTATTTTTAGTAGCTTAATTTCTAAAAGCTTTTTACAAGTAACATATGTATATCTTTTATATATTTAAAATGATTTGTTGGATATCGTGAACATATGACTTACTGAAAATAGAATTTCCTAGTCAAAACGACATGAGAAACATCATTTTTATTGAAATCGCTTGATAATCACGAAATTTGTTATAGATATAAAAAATGAAAAAACAACAATAAAAATTTGATCACTACAATATTAACACTCTTTCAAGATGAATAATAAATATAATATATTAACTTGCTCGAAGTTTTCAAAACTTTTCATAGAATAATAAAATAGTTTGTACGACTCATTCAAACTAAAATGATTAAAAAATTTAGAACTTGATTCTAAGATTCTTTTTAATTAATAATTATTATTCATCATCATCGAATTCACTCAGCTACAGGATTTGTCATAATTCTCTTTAGAATTCATTATAATTACTATCGTTTTTATTATTTTTCAAATATCGTTGATCCATTATTGTTATTATACAAAAAATAACTAGATTCAACAAACAGCACGATTTATATTTTTGTGTATAGTCAATGCTTGCGTACATTGGCAAATATTTGATTTAAAGCAGTATGCCAATAACGATAAGGATTCGCCGAACTAATAAATATTCCAATAATTGTGGATGACACGAAATATGATTGTGAGATATTTTAATTGTATATTTTACAAGATGACTGAATACTATAGGTAAAGTACTAAAAGTTCGAAATTTGTAAAATTCTACAAATTCTTGGTGAAATTTGCTTTTCTAAGATTTTATCAATGAAATGTAATACGGTACACATACACAAAGTACAACAGTAAGGGTGAGATCTGATACCTCAAATGATTTGAATTTTTGACATTTTGCCTTTTGACCTTGTATCACCTATTCAATAGTATTCGACATTTCTTTTTTTATATTTAACCATGTGTGTAATTAAACGAAAGCAAATTGGCTTATTAATACCATTGTAACGAAAATAGAATCAAGAATATGTAAAAAAAATAAAACGTGAATAAAATAAGACCAAAGTCAATATGATACTGAGCTAAAAACAATTCTTTTTTGACAGTTTTCTATCGGAATGACTATTAAAATGTTAAAAACGAATAAAAAGTTAGCAAAAAATCACGAACACTCTTTTGGTGTGAAAGTACCGAGAAATCTTGTTTTTTAAAATTTGGAGCAATAAAAAATTGTTTTGGTGTGTAGTTTCAATAATCGTGTTCTAGTTTATCTCTAATTCCTCTGATCATCGATTTTTCGTGTTATTTTATTTTGATATAAAATGATCAGTTTAAATTTTATTAAATTCAGATCTACTAGCTGCTGTTGATCAGCTTCATTACAGTTCTGTAATGTTAACTTTATTGAAGTATGACGATTGTGTCAGGTGTTACATTTATGAGATTTTCAATGTCAAATCTCGTTGTCTCCAACTATGATTGAAACCAATAAAAATGATTCATGGGTTGTTGAAGAGCATGATCTATAAAAACTTGTTGTCGACTTTTAATATCAATTACGATTTTACATTATAAATATACAGAGAACTGACATCATGTTCTCTATTATTGATATATTATTGAATTGATTAATTTGATCTGGACTTTATAGCTACATGCACTGTAACATAAAATTTCATATATTTAGTTCTAATAAGGTGAACGTTTAAAATAATAAAAACACAATACATCCAGGTAGATTGCATTGGAAAGATTTCTACTACCTAGACTGTTTGCTAATACATTTGAAACTGAAGAAACTCAATGAGTAGCCGTGATGTATAATCAAGAATATGTGAAGTTTTGAGTATTTAAGAAGTATGCATGTAATACTTTGAAACTTCTATGCTAAAAATGTATGTTGATTTGGTCATTATTACAAGATTTATTAATCATATTTATTTCACTTAACGATGTGCAATCGATTTCAGATTTTGATCAATGTATCTCATCAATAAAAAGACTTTTTTTTTCATAATGACTTGTTTCTAGATAGTTGGCTTAGATGAACTTTCTATTTTGAAACTTGTTGTTCTATTTAATGAAATTTATTCTTTCCTGCGTGTTTTCAATTTTTTGAAAGTACATGTTGGCTGTTTCAGCATAAGAAAACATTGATTGCACAAACAAAAAAGAACTTTTTTCATGTCAATTATTCTTGCCAATTGCTTTTTGTTGAAACCATACTTCACTTAATTTCCATTTATACTTATTTGTCTTGTTACTTTCTTTGTAGTGCGAACTTTTCTATTGACAACAATAATGTTTTTCGATGTTTTAGTAGTCAAAGCATCTACTTGAAGTTTTTGCTAGTTTTTCTTTAGTATGTTGATTTATTTTCTCGTTAACAAATTTGTATTTCTTCGTCTGTGCAGAAGAAGAAGAAGAAGAAGAAGAAGAAAAGAAATTCTTCATATAAATTTGCAGTCATACCTACAGCATAATCGTTGAAGTGAGAAAGCATACATATCATGGCTTCAACTGAACGTGAACCATCGCCAAAAAGAACTTCAACAGCTGATTCCCCATTGAACACAAAACAACGGCAGAATCAGGATCCATACATAGCAAAACCACCTGGAACACGTTTTCCTACATTAACTCGATCTGCTAGTATCTCTCGTCTTAATAAATTATATCGTTGTCCAGAGACACCACCACCTGAAGTACATTTTGATCGAGAACAAAGTTTTGTACTTGACTGTAAAGCTGTTTCACATATTTCCAATGATTATTCAACAGCTAATCCAAAATTAGGTTCCGTTATTCCACCATATAACTCACAGATAGATCAACATACTGAAAGTTATTTTAAATTTTTCGGAGTACCTAAAACATTAGAAAAAACTGGTCAAGTATGTGATAAATTATGCGATAGTAATTATATAGAATTTTAAATCAATTTAGGCAGCTGCTCAAGAATCGATTGCTGGCCGTGTTCATGATCGCTTTCATACGAGTGGACATGGTTTTCGATATTTGTCACTTCGAAATAAATTTGGTTCAGGTAAAACAAACTAAAACGTTAATAACTATTTGTAACAAAAACAAAGACAGAAAAATATAATTTCAATTCAAGGACATTCACTGGAAGACGTTCGTGGACATGATTTATTTTTAAGTGATCCTAAACCTATAACTAACTATAACGGACTTTTCGGTATGTTAATGAAAAACAAGAATAATTATCTAAATAATTTTCTTTTCTAAAATACAGGTTATCGCCGAAATACTCCATCACTACGAAGACAACCATCAATCGGTACAACAACAATTGAAAAACGAGGCATTATACCATTTGGTCGTTTTTCGGTTATTGGTTGTGGTAAATCCTATTCATTCAATTGTCAATGTAAATTTGATCGGCCATGTCGATGTCACAACCAAGATAAACTTTGCCCATGTGTTAAAGCATAAGACAGTATAAAAATTTTGAAAATAATATACGATCTATAATGAGTAAAGAGTTTATTCGATACTTGATTTTAACAATTGTTCCTCTATTTTTAAACGATATTCATCAATACTATTATGAAGCACATTTTCATTTACATATTATGAATATTTACAATCGATAAGATATGTGTTTGGGTGAATCCCATATTTTGTTATTTTACAATAAATGAAATAACAAAACTCTTTAAATTATTAATGATATCTAATTACTATCATAAAGTTTCGAAAGTATGATAATTGAATTCATTCTCGACAGTTAGTTATAAAAATTGATCGAGTTTGATAATTATATATTATTGTTATATGATACTAAAGACATGATTAATAAAAACAAATAATTCATATAGTTAATATACATCTCAAATTCTTAGGCATGCTACTTTTGGTATCAATGTTGTATAGGTTTTACTCAAGATTATTTGAAACATTCTTCTCAACACCCAAGAAAACAAATAGAATTTTCTCGACCATAGATGCTCATCATTTTACAGGACAACCTTCGCGTGTTATACTTTAATAATCATTTATACAGCAGAGCGAACCACAGTTTTTAATTCTGATTATATTTTTCTGACGAAGATTTCCCATGGATTACATACATAACTATACGCCGCAGGATATTAATCAGAAAAAAATCAAATTATTTATAAAGCCAACACACGATAAAAAAAAAGAGCTTATAAACATCAGCCAAATTTTACATTCATTTAATTCTTTAATAAAAATGTACATAATGAAATAAATTTATTAAGACTCTTGTCATAGTTGATAATAAAGCTTGCCTTTATTATAATAAAAAATAAATAAAATGAACTAATTATTATTAGACATATTGCTAGTACATTGTCATGCTATCATACGTGATAATTAACTTTTTATTGAACACCAATTACCGACTATCAAAATATATCTAGGACGAATATTTTATTTACTACGGAAATTATGTGATTCATCAATATTACTATATTGTTTTAACGAATTACTGACAGAAAAGTGACAATTACACATTTACATTGGAAAATCGTACGTCAGCGACTTTGCCTGGCATGTGAATAGTCTCGTTTTCTTTGCGCACAACAAAATAAGATTATCAAGCAGAAAGTTGAAAACTCATTTGAAACAAATGAATTTTGATTTGATAAAACTTAAAATATAAAAATATATAAATTTGTTTTTCGGCATATAATCTATTTGGATGTTATAAAGAAAAAGAAAATACAGTTGTCTATTCAAGCGTGGCACATGCATATTAATATACACTGAATTGTGTCCTTGTCCAACGTCACTGATGTATTCTGTTTCTAAACATGGAGGAAAACGCGTAAAAACTTTAAATCGAACAACATATACACATTTTACCAATTGAAAAAAAGAAAAGAAATAGATTTCATTGTGGGAAAAAATGTATTGCTCATCTTTTCACAATGCTAATTCATTCGTAGGATGATCGAACACCAAACAATGAAAAATGATTTTGTATTTTGTCATCCTTGAAGGTAGACGCTTTTTTTATTCTTCTATCAATCGATACATACAATATTAATCGTTATAGTTTCTATTTTGTTCTGTTTTTTTTTATATATTTACTAAAATAGATCAAAGTTGACAAAAGTAAGACAACTTGTTAACATAAAAAATGGTTCATTTTAATCCTGATCAACCTTTCAATGATCCTTCGTTTATGGGAATGCCACCTAATTTTAATTATGGAAATGGAATGTTTCTATATCCACCAACCGATATGAGATTGATGCAACAACAAAAAAAACCGCTACCACCAATTCTTTCTCGTATACCTAGTCTTCATTTGCCTGCAATTATTTTATTTACTTTCTGTTGGATACTGCATGGAATAGCAACATTTCTTCCATATTGGTCAACCTATTCTGGAATATCTGATTCTCGAGCAGGTTCTATTTTCAACTGATTTCTCGTGAAATATTTCTATGTATATTTTTGCAAAAAAGGTCTTTGGAATGCTCGAAATTTCAATTATTCCACAATACAAAATTTTTATTTTCCAGAAACAACTGATTTTCCAAATTTAACTAATTCAATTGATTTTTCCACTGCAAACACAAAAGGTTATTCATTTCTTTTTAATGAAGAAAGGCATCAACTAAAATTGTATCTATCTTATAGGATATTTAATAACTGTACAGTTTTTAATGACATTCAATTTCTCGTTGACGCCAATTATACTTGTTTTATTAATCGTTGATTATATTTTTTCTCTAAAATTGACAAGTAAAAGTCGCTGTTTTCTTATCCGAGATTATAATACATCTGATACAGCTATTAAATATGCACTTCTTCTCTATATTATTTATGTATTCGGTATGAGAAACATCAAAGATTTACTTTAATACAGCTAATTTTCTTTTTTCTTACTTCTTTAACTAAGATATATTTGAATTCGCAGCATGGATAACATATCTTAGTTCACGACATGATAATAATTGGAATATGCATATTTCATTTGCATTTACTGTTATTGTTAGTGCATTGATGATAATTGTTTTTATTATGTATGCTATTGAATTTATGAAAACCTTTACGTAAACAATTTTATTTATTTATTTATTTATTTATTTTTACAAACAACTGTTATTTACTTTTATACAGAAAAAGTCGCTTGAATTGGGATCGTTGGTATGGTCCGTATGCAGAATGGGCCTTTTTCGTATTTCTATCTGCATTACTTTTACTTCTAACTGTGATTTGTTGTCCTGAGTGGGCTTATGCAAAATATGATCCATTGTTTGTTTTTGCTGAAATCGGTCTTTTCAAACAATGCTACTTATCATCGTTATATAAAAAGACTATTTCAAGTAAGATTTGTACATTATCTGACCTTGCAAGTAATACATGTAAGTTAACATTGTTGCTATTTTGCATACTTGTATTTCTCACTTTTTCTTGTTATAATTAGCATGGGTTAATGCAACACAAGCATTTATGTTGATGGCTTATATTTTCGGCATGATTATACTAGTCGCTATTGTTTATTTTCGAAAAGAATTTCGTCATAAAGAAAATGGCTATTATTCTAAACGTTGTAAACAACCAACATTTACATATATCATCGCAGGGTTTATACTCTTCTTTTGTTGTATGAGAGATATTTTATACTGTGCTTTAAATATGAATTTTATTCTTTATTTAGTTATTTTTTCGTTGATTGGCGTTGCAGTATTTGGTGGTAAAGTATTTTCGTTACCATTGAACGTGAATTGGGGATATATACTTGCTGTAATTGCTATGACACTTTTTCTTGTTGCTGGCATTTTATTCATTTTAGATGGCATCCATAGTGGGAAACAGACAGCGTATGTTTACCTGGAAACAAAAACAAATTAAATTTTTAATACTTCATTTCTTAGTAAAGTAGGTTTTTCAACGGCTAGAAAGTTAATCTTTCCAGCACCCTTAAACCATCGTGTATTAGCGATGCAACCATTACTACGAAAAGAGCCTACTGGCTCACTAACAACACCGTTTTCAACCATTCCACCATTACAGTTAAATGCAGTAGCTCCACAATTTTCGCAACAAATACCACCATTTTATTTTCCTGAACAAGCCATGTATCCTATGGTAAATTTTGATAATACATCATTCTATTCGCCAGAACAAATGGCGATGATGTCACCAAATTATGGTATGGGACCATATTCAGCAGCTCCATTCACTCAAGCAGTTCTAACTGAGTATATTCGACAAATGGAAAATAATCCTCGACAATCATCATTACCAAATAATCAAGGTCTAATGAATCATTCGAACGGTAGACCGTCGCCATTGCAAAATAATATTTCTAATGAGAGCAATCTAAATGGTATAGTGCGTCTACATCTTTTACAACAACAACGTTTACATTATAATCATGAGCGTCTACTTGAAAGATACACTCGTGTTCTTCAACCACGTTTATCTGAATTTCGTACATTCGGTACAAGTTCTTTACATGGTCGTAATTATGATGAACATTTGCGTACACTACGCAATGATAACTATCATGAAGATTCATCAATTGCAATGTCACGAGCAGGTATTGGCTCATCAGATGAAATATATCGTTGGATAGGTGATGAGTCGTATGAAGCTCTACCTAGAAATATTGATTCAGCAATACAATACACTCGAAATGAATCTATGCCATATGTTAATGCAGAAAATTTTGAAACTGTTGAAGTATCAAAATTCAGCTTTGATTAATATTTTTAATCAGACCATGACTTCATCACATCTTCGACAAGATAAATTGTATGCAGAAAATTTTTTCTACAAGTATTTCATACAGACTGTCAGAATCTTTTAGTACATAATAAAATTATTTTATTTTAAAATAAATCTCTTCATGCTATTTCATTCGATTTTTATCACAATAAAATTTATTCGTTCCTTTAAACATTTAGCATAAACTATTTTAATGGAAAGGCAATACTCATTCATCATAGGAAAAAATGATACCTATATGATGCTTCTAACTAATTTTTTTCACAAAACAAACATATTCCCATGGTACTATCATTATTAGCATTTGGCATTCCATCAACATCAATTATTTTATTTTCAAGCTCAAGAACAACATCAATCTCAAGTATACGATTAAGAAAAATGTATTAATAATGAATAATACAGATCTTGATGCATTAAAATCTGACACATCACTAATATCTATGCTATTTGCTTTTGTAAACAAGGCAAAAAGTGAAAAGTGCACAAATACGCATAAAAGAGCGATTTTCTCGCTCAATTAACCGTTTAGAAATTTTGCAACTAGATAGAGTAAAACTCATTATATACGCTTGCCTGCGTTGGATTATATTATGGTATGTTGTTAATTTCCATTTATAAGCTATTTTAAAACTATGTTTTTACGTCGTCATTGAATCTACATAATGGATTGAAAACTTTAATATTACTTAAATTTGTTTATTTTTAGATCAATTGCTATGGTTTGACACAAAACACTTTCAATTAGTTATAATGAACTTTTGATAATTATTTCTTCTCTTTGTTAGAAAAAAGCATCGCTAAATTAAAAAAAAAAGGAGAACGGTTTTGGTGCCATTGATCTTTATTATTAGAACATGATCCTTTTTTTATCTTTTTTACCAACTAATAATAATGATGATCTTATAGACCAAGAGCAGAAATTATATAATGCAGCATAAGCTGCAGTTAAAAATAGATTTTTTTAAATTAAATATTCACTTAAATGAGCAACAGCTAATGGCGATACAGCTCTTTATTAATAACCTTCTGATGGCAAAGTTTTGCATTCATACTTTTCTATTGTATATTTTAATTGAAAAAAAGAATGAATAAACTTTTTTATGCGAAAACAAAGTTCAAAAAGTATGTGAACATTTATTACATATGGTTTTTTAGACAAAATATCGAATACTTCGAAGATAATCAATTATTTTCTATGTAATTAAATATTCATTTATCACGCTATACTTATAATGTTTGGCAAATTTTTTATCAGTTTAGAAAAACACATTATTTTGTGGTGGAATGACAGATAAAATCGATTTTCGTCGTTCCCATTCTATATGAATTTGAAAGGATTCTATGTTCTTTTATACCAATCAGTATGGTGTGTTTAATTACTGTAGTGGTGGTGTCCTACCATAGTAGTCAGCCTAGTTGAAAAATGAGATTAGGCACAATTTTTAATGATCACAGTATTTGTCACCTTTTCCTTAATACAATATGCAAGGAGTATTGAAGAAAACAAGATAAAACGACAGGACACTTTGCCCTTACCCATTTCAAACGCACACAAAGTCTGACAGAAATCCTTTAGAACACATCTCTAACATAGTACATCATGATAAATGCTATTGATATACGATTACGAATTCTCTCTCTCTCTCTCGATAGGATCTGATTAGAACATATGAACTGCTTTCTTATTGTATTTCTAAAGAATTTACTGAAAAGAAGGCGAAGACAGTTATCCAAGAATAGAGAGAATAAAGTAATCTTTCTACAGCGTAGCAACAACACTTATATTGTGCTTGATATTTTAATCACACAAGAATTACATAAATGAGTTTTTTTCTAATAAATATTTATGTTTACAAAATTTTCTAGTATGTTGTGACATGTTTCCGATTCGTCATATTTACTAGTTTACTATAGATGATCATTTAGAATGATTTGATGAGAAATATTAGTTGGTGATTTAAAAAAATGAAAATTCTACGATTTTTATAATAATAATCTTTTCTAGAAAAAAAATTGCACACTAAACAAGAGTAACCCTAGTCAACTCTCTCTAGAAGAATCCCCAGGGAGTCCCTAGGAATTTCGTTCTTTTGCGGAAACTCCCTGGGGACTCCCCGGGGAGTTATCTGGCCAAAATGTATGAAATACTAATTACTAATAAATTCTTCTAAATTTTTTAAAATTAAAAAGAAATTAACAAGTGCTTTTTTAATTTTAAAAAATTTCATCAATTCTACCCAGAGAAATCCCTGGGAAGTCCCCCAAATAAAAAGTCCCCGGGGACTCACGGCAGGGACTCCCCAGAGATTTCGTTATTTTGCGGGGACTTCCCGGGGAGTTGTCGGGGGACAATGGATTAGAGATGTGTAATCGTGTTGTTCTAATAATTTAAGTTTTAAAAAGATAGAGTAATATCTCAGTTGAGTGCTAAATTGTATGGTTTCGTTGAGTAAGATGACGAATCTTAGCAAAAAATGAGATTATATCTAGAACAACAAAATTGGAATATAATAATAACAACTAAGCAAGTAAGAGCAATATTTATTCTACAACATCTATCATTAACTTTATAACTTTAAACTTATACGACCCTATAAATATGGCATGGTCTTTTTTTAGCATTTATCATAATTAGACAAAAAATACGGACGCTTTTAGTGCATGCATCTGTCGAAAGAGGAAGTAGGCTGAAAATGTACATGAAAACAAAACTAGAGCAGCTAGTCATTGTTACTTTTAATAGCTATTTGGCAGAACACAGCTACTGGTGTATGGTAAAAATGCTGTACACGATTATACTTTTATTTTATTATAGATCAGTGAAGAGAGTTAGGGCTAAAATAAGAAAATAATATTAAAATCACGATGGTATTCAGAAGCAATTGAATCTTAATTCTATGCTGTATTTTTTTCTTTTCATGATATTAAAGATGACATATGTGATACAACTATCATAAGTATAAGCCAGTATTGAAATAATTTCTAGCTTTTGAACAGACGGATGCGAAAAAAAAATAAAGTCAATAAATTAATAACATCCTCAAGATTGACAACCTTACCAGTATGTTTGTCAAAGGAATTATAGGTATTCAGAGAAGTTACGTTGCATTATTTAGAAATTCGTCTCAAATCATTGACGAAGAAAATTATGAGAATATTAGACGGGAATCCTCTAGAAAAAAATAAGGAAGAGCCTAAGTGAATAGAAAACTTCTAAATGTATATCTTTTACTTTTAGATTACATAGGAAAATAAATTCAAGGAAATAATATACCATATTATCAAATAATAAACTTTTTAGCATCCATGTAATTTCTGTTTTTCTCGTTCATTTGCATTTCTCTTCCATGTATATCGATATGCGCTATTCACGTTTCAAATAATTATTATCGATATTTCAACTTGATTTAGAATATTTAATAAAGATACTTCGAATCAGTATGAATTTACAGCATAGAGGTAAGGTTTGAAAATTTCAAAAGTGTAGTTTATATTCATAAATAAATTTCTATCTTAATTAATACTTGTTTAAAGAAAAGAATATTTTATAATTATAAATTGAAACATTTTTTCCCTATTGATACGATATAATAAATTATGATCAATGCAATGTATTCGATTTCATCTTTACTATTCTTTAGAAATCCTTAAAATAAATAACGTTTTGCAACATCGATGTGTGTATTTGACTTTGACAGATAAATTGAACACTTTCTACTCAAATTAACGTCATATTCTTAATAATATATGTATGTTTGTTCCTCAGATGGTGAAAAATAGTAGTAATAACAGGATATCCGTTCCTTGATGATTGCCCTAATTTCAATTGTGCAGGTCATTGAAGATGATTATGTAGGGAGCCCAGAATTTTCGGGCCGGACTTTCGGCCCATTATGAAATGAATTTGAGGATGAGAATGACCCAGTTTTATGATAAAAAAAATTTCATTTGAGGCCGAAAGTCCGGCCCGAAAATTCCTTGGGCCGAAATTCATGTAACCCGATTATGTATAGAGCAATAAATCACGCGCTGATGGAAGAAGCCCTACATAGCCGTATTGTGTCAAAAATCTTTTTTCTTTCTGTTTATATATATGAATTTGACAGTTAGCTCCTCATTCATATTCTATAGCAAATAGCGGTTCTTTGACGGTATTCCATTGTCGAATAATTGATGCACTCGATGTCCATCTACTGAAAAGCTTTTTGCTATGAAAGAAAATTGCTTTTCATTCAAAAGTAAAATTACGTTTCTTAAATGAATTCATAGAAGTCAAATGCTTTCTATTTTTTTATTCCTTTGACTTTAGAAATTAATTTCCTTTTATTACTTTGATATGGAGTTGTAGTAAAAAAAAACAATATCAATGGTGATAACATTTTATTGTACTATTTTTGAATGTAAAAGTAGAGCTCGTGTTATAGTCATAATTAATATCTACTCCTTTATGCAACCTATAATATAAAATTTAGCTTCTATCTTCTTATTTTAATAAATTCATAGTGCTATTCAAGAAAGAAGGATATTAATTTTTATGAATGTTAACAAAGAAAAGTATCCGTCAATCAAAATTACAGTACGCGGCAAGTCTTGCAGCATTCTTTGTTTGGCACGCCTCTGTTTTCAGGAACATGACACAACATTGGTCGTTCTTTCAAAAGATGTGCCATCGAATTCTCTACAAATTTCTATTTGTCTTACTTAAGAACAATAGAATTGAACTTTTTTGCAGGTGACACTACGATTATGTGAAATGATCGTTTGTCTCGCAGATTTGTTTCTATTTTTCCAATTTTTTTCCACATTAAAAATAGGCACCTAAGGGGATTTATTTGATCTGCTACAACGAAAAAGATGCTCTTGACGCCATTCCAGTTAGTCCTCCAGTAGAGTTGTTTTTCACGCGTTATTTGTCCTGCGTATAGAAAGTAAAATCAATTGCCTAAAAAATACTGCAAAAATGAAAACAGTTTAATAATAAGTGATATCTCTCGAATGATTTCTTTGAAACAGAGAAATCAGACATAAAAATCACGCTAATTTCAAAATATGACCATACGTCTAACTGAAGGAAAAAGCATAAACACCTGTGCGTATGTAAACAAGCGACTGAAGATTTCAAGAGCTGTCTAACAGTATAAACTGTTTTACGAGTTGAATTTTTACTTTCACGAAAAGAATAAAATACTGAAAAATGAGTAGGACAAACGATCATTTCACATAATCGTACAATGTGACCTGCAAAAAACTTCAATTCTATTGTTCTAAAATAAGACAAATAGAAGTTTGTAGAAAATTCGATGGCACATCTTGTGAAAGAACGACCAATGTTGTCAGGTTCCTGAAAACAGATGCATGTAAAAAACGAATGTCGCAAAACTTCTGCTACACCCGGTAATCTCATCCTACTGTACTTGTGATTGTGAGATCATAATCTTTATTTTTTTGAATGTTGAATTATTTTGTTGTTGTTTTAGAAAAATGGCAATATTTTTCTCTGATGTTTTTGTTTCATCAGTGCCAGTTTTATCATAAAATTCAACTAAGACTTATAACAGTTTATTTAATATTATAATATTTCATCTGTATTCCATAATCTGAATTATATGATTTAACTTCTTTTGTCTTGTTCATCATCTTAAAATTTTGCGTATCTTTTTTTTGTATTTCACTCTTTACTGATGAGATTGATACATAATTTAGAAAAATAATTAGAGAAGCATCAGGATATGCTTTTTGTTGTAATTTTGCGAGTGCTTCATAATGAAACCGAATTCGACCAAACTAGAAAAGATAGAAATTCAACAGCATAGCAGGCGTTACTTAGTTTTCTATCTAATTAAATAACTTAATGAACAATTCAGCTACAACGTCCAAGTATAAATGTCATATTTTGATTCTCTTACTCTATTCTGAAAAGTCGATTCTGGCTGATTATCCTTCCGCTTCCTGATGTTCTCTATGGATAGCTCCTAACAAAAGGTTTGAAGAGAATTTTTTTTAACTCTTGCGTATAATTTGATATTTTGATGATGTATTGTTAGACTTTGTTGGATTGAGTTACTTCTCGAATAACGAGTAAATAATATGGTATACCTCATTAAAAAACCAAATATACAATAAAATATGGTTTATGAAATACGCGACGGTAGAAGAGTTGATTCCTTAGTGGACCTGTTTTTCTTTTTCTTCGACTATTCGATATTACATGTTCTTCGAAATTTCTCCCTCAACATGTTTATTGTTACTGGTTTTGAAATACGAGAGGCGAGAAAAACAAGTTTTCTTAAATTGATCTTCTTTGCACTCTTTTCATTCAAATTGCATCGTTAAGTAGATCAATTAAAAATTTAAGATTATATCACTTAGACTAGTGATTTAGGATGCGAAACTAATTATTTTAGTGAATTTTGAAGCTTAATGAACCAGCTTTGAATACACGGAAAGTTATAATTATGTAAAGTGTACTCATCTGACATATGTCAGTCCAATTAGAGTTCATCAATATAAAAATAGGTAAAAGTATATAAACTTCGAAAGAACAAAAACTTCTACCAATCTCCGAGTCGAAACAGTGGATAATTTAAGTTCACATTATTTATTATGATGAAAACCCTCGTATTCTATATTTTAGAGAAACTTTGCACGTTCAGTTAAAGACTTCCGCTATACTTAAGCCGCGTTAATCCAGACATTTTGCAATTAATTTCTGAATAATGCACTATTCTATAAGACGACAGAGCTCAGACAATGAGTTTGAATTGTAGCTAACATTTCCTAGTATTAATGACTGAATTTTTCCTTTTCATACAAAACATAATCGAGTGACACAATACACCTACGCCGTCAAAGAGAATCAGTCATTTCGGTTGCCATTAGTAAGCATGACAAGCGGTGACAATAACTAATGTTATTTGTTTTCATGTTTTGCTATAAGCTTGCTTATAACAATGATAAATCAGTTAGCTAACAAAATATAATAAAAGTCTGTACATATTTTATCCTGCCTACGACCATTATTTGTATTCTTATTAAGATCTGTCGTATTTATTATTAGAGTTAGAATTTTTTTTTTTCTATTTTCTCGCTTTGTTCTTACTAACGAATATTGACTCGGTATTTATCATGCATATACACTCTGTACTTATTTGTTATATCAAAGAAAATCTAATACAAATAATAAGAGAAACAGCAAGAGACTTGATGAGAGCTTTTTTACTTCTCTTTCTCCTCATCTATCCTTTTTTCTCTTTAGTTTTTTCTCTCTTTTATTTTCATTCGTGAATCATTAACGGAAAAGCTCTTACACACAGATATATATATATATATATATATATTCGTTATAAAATAAAATAAAATATTTTATGACTTTTTATTTATTTGAGATATTTTCTTTTATGTCAATGTCAACAGCAACGACCGATAGAGCCAACTATGAAACATGTAGGTTTTTCTTAACAGAGAGCTATCTATCTTAATAAATAAGATATTTACTTTTTCTTTATAAACGAAAAAAAATCCATATTAGTTTTTTGTTTAATTGATACATTTAGACACTTATTATGATTTGGTTACAACGACTTTACCACCTATAAGTTTGTATGCATGTCAAAATGAAACATTATCATCTTCAGATGAAATCGAAAATCGAATCAATATTGTTGTACCATACTTGGTGATACTAGGTAAATATTTGATGAAATCGAGGGACAACTGATATTATTGTATCTTGAATATTAATCATGCTTTCGAACAGCGTATATTTTACTGCTTTTAGGTATAATTGGTAATGGGTTGTCAATATTAACATTTTCTCAACGGAAATTACGAACCTTGTCGTGCGGCTGTTATTTACTGTTGCTTGCTATATCGGATACAATAGCTTTATTAATTATATCTCGACCATATTTTTTTAAACAGTTTGGCGTTGAACATCATTTAAATTCAAGTATTTTATGTGGTTTACATTTATTTCTAACAAAACTTTTCGATGAATTAACACCATGGTTATTAGTATTTGTTGCTTGTAATCGTCTTGTATTGTCACGTTATCCTCGTAATCATCATTGTTGTCAAACATCAAATTCAGCATTATGGAGTACATTCTTCTTATTAATTATAATTATATTGCTTAACGTTCATCTGTTATTTGGCATTGGCGTTGGCTATTCTCAATTTCAACCATGTAAAGCAGTTTGTGGTCCATTAACAAAATCCCCAATTTACTTATTTTTCTATAAAAATGTCAGCCCAATAATTGATTTCCTTTTTAGTTTAATTATACCATTTTGCATTGTATTTATTGCAAATATATTTATATTAAGTAATGTACGACGTGCTAAACGACGTGTTCTACGTGTTCGTCGTCGTAAAAGAGCTAACCGTAATGCTCGTTTAAGCATTGTTTTACTTGCTGATCTTATTACATTTCTCATTGTGAGCTTACCGGTTTTATTAGTTGAATGTATATATCGATTTACACGTGCCATTGAAGGCAACGATCAATTCAATGAATATCTATGGATAGCATGGTTAATAGCGAGCAAAATATTCTACTTAAATTATTCATTATCATTCTATTTTTATGTATTAACGTCATCTTATTTTCGCCATCATTTTTTTCTTGCTATACGTTGTAAAAAATTCAGTGGAACTTTTTTCAAAACAACTAAAGGGAGAAAACATCAACAAATTTATCAAACAACTGATATTATGTTAACCTATCGTCCTAGTCATACATCAGTATCATCGAAAATAAACAGTAAAACATTTGACTTTAATTTTTTATATGAACCCTATCCACAACAACAACAACAACAACAACAAGAAACAACAATACATGTATCAACAAGTATAAGTGAATCAATAACATCACCCGAAAACCAACAAACCCCTACTGTTTTATCTCATATTTAAAATTATTTATAGCACATTAAGCTTTGCAAATATGTATATTCTATCTTAGTTTTTTTGTAATTGTTTAAAAACAATGAACAGGTGAATAAATTGAAAAGAAAAATTAATCAAATTATTTTTCCTAGACTAAAAGTTATTCATACTCGTGATTAATTACATTTTAACATAAAATGTGTCAAGAAAAAAATTATTCTTTTTTTTAATGATATACTTGTGCGGAATATATGTCACTTAAATGCAAGATGGCCAAGTCTTATTAATAATTTTTAATGGATATTTCTTTTAACTAATAGTACAACTGGCAAGAAACACTTCAGTTCCAACGAAGATAGTGCGACTTTTTAGTTGATCTGAATTTTAACATGACTAATAACTAATACATTCATTGATAAGATCATAATTAACTGTCCTCTCACATAACTACATTAATATTCATCACTTATTTTGATCTTACCCAGGTCAAACAATCAGACTGTAAGATCGTACATGATTCCTCAAGGTCGTATCGGAACTTACTTCATGATCTTATATGAACATACGAGATCGTACAAAAATCGTATAAGATCTTGTATGATTTCATACAAATATCTTAAAGCCAGCATTTCTGATAAAATCTTACTGTACGATTCTTGTATGATCGAATAGTATTCTTGTAAGATCTTACAGAACCTTCGTATGCATCCTATAACGAAATCCCGTTCTCTAGTTCCTTCTCTCTGAGTGATATTTTAATAAAATTGGTTTTCTCGTGCTATACGTATATTTATTGCATCAATGTAATCAATTACAATAGCATAAACGTACATATATGCATAAAAATATAAATAAAAAAAAGAACACTGCTACTAATAATCTATTTCCATTAATAAGCCATTAGCGCATTGCTCGTAATGTGCTTCAGTATTTGTACAACGAAGAACTGTTGATAAAGACGATAATTGTGGTTTACGTGGTTGCTACTGTTCTTTTTTGTTGTGAATCTGTTTTATACTTACAACGTACATCGCACAACATTCGCGTTAAAGATCTATGAAGGCGTAATAAGTGAAGAACTCGTCCCAATATGAGTTATTTATGTGAAAACGAGCACACTGCATCTAAAATTGAAAAAGGAATTAATTGACAGTTTGAATAAACAGTTTTGACAAAAAAACTTTAATCAATCTAAAACAAAAGCAGATAAATAAAACCAAACAAAAATTTCTTGAAAGAATAGTTGTTTTTGTATTATATTATATCTTGAATCAGCAGTGCTAGATAAAAAAAGAAAAAAGCATTTTTAATAATAATAAGAAAATTGTCTTACCTATAAAAATTCGTATATGATCCGGATCAAGTTCGGGCTTGACACAAGCCGAATTAGTATGAATAATTGATTAGCTCATTTCAGTCGACGAGAATAAAATTTTCATAACTTTTGGAGCAACTTGACTTGACCATAATCATCAGCGTCATAAATACCTAATAGATTTTGACTAAAATATTCCTTAGCATACGAAAAGACAAATACAAATAAATAAGAAGACAAAAACGTCACTTACTACTATTCGAGGAAATGTTTCACCATCACGACGATATTTTTCTCAGCTAGAATCGATCTAAAATAAAATGTATGAATTTAGGAAATTCTTTCAAAAAATGTGCACAAATCCTACTATTGTTTGATTAATTTTTTTCGAAAATTCTTGAATTGTTATTCGACTTGGTCTGATGAGTTTCAACACGATTAACTAATTTTGAAATAGTATCGGCTAAATCTAAAAACATATTAAGAGTAGGTTAAAAACAATTACAAAAAGAATTGAAAACAAGAGAAAAATGATTAATATAAGTGTTTCAATTGGGAATAAAATAAACCTTTTTCCAATATTCGTTGAGTTTATTTTTAGAGATATATGAATCAATTGATTTCTCAATAATTTTGATGTATTACTTCTATCAACATACCTGTACGTAATTGATTGAATTCGAATTGAAAATTCTTCAGTGGGTGTTCATTTGTTCGATAAGCCATTCTTTTTGAAATATTTTCATCATTTGACACTAAAAAGTAAATTATTCGATAGATATATAAAAATTAAACTTTTAGAATGAATCTTAGAAACATTTAGTATCAAGAATTCTTTGTTCTACAAATCGAAACTAAAAAAAGTTGTCGTTTTAATCTAAGAAATTTTCGCGTGGTATTGAAAAACTATTCGTTTCTTATTACCTTGTCATCGTTGATTAACATCACAATTGCCATCTTCATTATTATTTTCAACTTCTTCTTTTCGTTCTTCGTCGCTATCATCGTCATGTTCATCATTGTCATCAAAATCATCGTGTTCACTTTCACTAAATAAAGAACAAAAGAAAGATGTCGCTGGCACAGGATGACATTGTTTTATTTACTAATTTCAACAGGTCATTCGTCATCGACATCAAGAATCTTCGAATTCGGTGTTATATTTGTTTCAAATAAACTACATTTTTTATTCAAACTTTTAGCTGTACTACATGAACGACGACGATATGTCCCGAATTGTTCTACAAAATACGAGAAGAAGAAATCATGAAAATTCTTTCTTTATTCAAAAGGCAAAACTTTGTAATAAAATTTATTTATGATTTTGCTTAACAGAAAAATAAAAATACGGATAATTTTTATTGATGAAGAGGATTCAGATGGTTGAAAAGGAAGATACTTAACGACTTTAGTATTGAACAGAGTGATCTACTTACCCTGAGTATGATGTTGTGATTATGGATCTTCAGAAGGACTTCGAATTCTATTGTTTGATGATGAAGGCAGATCCGAACGAAATTAAATTTTTTTGTCCATAGCATTATATGCGAATGCACAAACAAATTAATTTTTTCTTTGAGATAAAATAGAATACATACTTGATTGTCCACCATTTTGCGTGATGCAATTTCTTGAATACGGATCAATATTTTCTAAAATGAATGGTGAAACTTAGCAGATGCTAGCAACAGTGAAGAAATAGAAAGATTGCTACCGTTAATAGGATTTTGGAATTTTCTGGATGGTAGAATCGGTGTCAAAATATAGCGAGCTGGTATTTTGTTTTTTGTTGATCGATGTTTACGTGTTGATGCATTTTTATCGAAATAATCCATAGTATTCGTTATCTAAAATAGAAACTTCTTTCCATTATCAAGTAATTCTGTTCAAATTGACTTAAAGAGAAAAAATAAAGATATTCTTCTAATTTTGTGTCATGAAAGTGAAAAATCATCGCTTATGAAAATATGACCACTTATTGATATTGTCTTGAAATGCTAGAATATTTCAGTTAAAATATTCATCGCATTATGATGGATTTGTTTCTTTCGTGAGGCTGTATTTTTAGCACAGCAGCGAATTTGATTGGTTAAATCTATCTGAACAGTGGTGCGATATCTTGACAAGTAAACAACTCTGTAAAAGATGTATTTCTACTCAAAGAACGCATAATATTTTAAATTAGATCAATTTTTAGTGTCTAAAAATACTTTTTAAAATAATAGAAATTATCACCATAAAGACTATTTGTATCACTGGAACTGGAATCCTCATATACGACCTTATCAGATCATACAAGATACCGACCGTCTGATTTTGAAAGAATCTTACAGTAAGAATCACATAAGATTTATGCTAGCATCTTACAGCAAGAATCATATGGAATCTTATGGTATGACTTTTGTATGATTATGAAAGATCATACAGTAAGAATCTGATGATATCCGATTATCTGTAAGATCTTGTAAGATCATATATGATCTGCATACGATTGTTTCACCTGGGTACAGTACCATTATTGATTAGATGCCATGTAACTGGAAAGAGTATAGATACTCTATATAATGTGACAAATGTAAAAGTAATTGTTATGAATCAAGATGCATAAGGGCTTTGGGGAAAAAAGTAGCATTTACGTTATCAAAATTATGATGTTTTAAACATGAAATACTTAGTCACGAAAGCTTTATTATTAGCATAGAAAAATTGAACAAAGACGTCGTGAATGAGCACTGGGTACTAGATGTAAAACAATTGAATTGGCAAACACTGGATGATATTTATCAATTGACAATTATAAAATAGAAAAAAAGTTCCATATAGTATTTGCAATAAATTATCATGTTACTGATTGACATTTACGTCAAAACAAAACAAAACAAAAAAGAATTGGTCATGAATGCATGTATATAAATTATTAAATCACAATTAAATGAAAAAATAATTAGACAAGCTTCATCTAGAACAGTTTCAATATGATTCTTCACGATGAATAAAATTTTGATGAATTGACAAGAAACATACCAATATGGTATCATTGAATATAGATTTCAGCAAATGGAACATTACCAATTAAATTTTACATTTAATATTTTACTGTAAAATAAAAATCTTAATCCGAAAATTTCCTTATAGACGATGCGTTGATAAGTTTTGAGAGAGCTATTTTTAGTGCAAATATTTCTTAATATGATACGATAAATATGAGTGAAACGTTCTATAGAAATAGAATAAACTCAAGGTACAAGACAATAAGACATTTAATTATTTTCTTTTCAAATAGATTTTTAATGATGTTTGCTACATACAAAACTACAATAATCATTGTGGTCTTTGTTTCCGATTAATTTTATCTAGAACAATGTGAAGAAATTCCTGATTAACTTATGATAAAACAACAAAAAACAAAGTACTTTCCATCAATAATAAGATAAATTCGAGTTTTTCGATGATATATATGACTGAGCAATAAATGATTAGTATTCATCATAGCTATGCTATGAATTACAACTATTTAATCGAAGATAAAAAAATCCTTTTTACACGAGAAAAAAATGCGTCATAACAATAACACTCACATGAAGAGCTAGAATAACATCACTCGAGACAAAAATAAAGAATATAATTCAGTAATTATCAAACTCGAGGAAATGATCGACCTTAGTTATTATAATATATATGTTACAGGGGATATTGAAATGTAGGGCTATTTAAAATAGCCCTTGGGGAAATTGAAATTTTGTTTTTTTTCCGGGCTCAATTTATGAGAAAAAGTAAAGGTTTTGATTTCAAAACGTACTGCATTCATATCCACACTAATACTAGCACCCATACACGCACCTACACCCACACCCTCATGTACACGCTACATCCATACCCACAAATAAAATAAGTGTCTTTTGCGCGAATTCAGGTATTTGGAAAAGACTGATGTGATGGAACTTGATAATTAGATGTCAATGTTGATGTGGGTCGAATGTAGTACGTTTTGACGTCAGAATCTTTACTTTTTCTCATAAATTGAACCCGGAAAAAACAAAATTTTAATTTGCCCTAGGAGAGATTAAAATTTCAATTTCCCCTGTAACATATACGTAGATCCAATAATAGCTCAAGTTGTTGACTAATCTAATGAGGTGTTTTGCTTTCATTTGTAAAAATCAGTCGATAAATACAAACCCCAACTTCTATTACTATTGCAACGCTACGTTCATAGTCTGTTTATATGCTAACTAATTAACAAAGCAAGTGGTGTTTGAATTATCTTACAAGTATGTCTCGTAGGAATAGATACGTAGTTGGTCTGGCACACATGCAAATAAAAAGAAATATAACGTAAATCTTCTCTTAAAATGGAAACGAGAAATGAAAGTGGCGATATAGAAACTCCATAAGCCTTTTAAATCATGCTAACTGGTTTTCCACACAAGAAAAACCTGAGAAATTAATTTTTGTAGAATTTCCTCAAACATTTTTGTGTGCAAAGACAAATTTTAGTTTTAGAACAATTTTCTAATCTATCTTCACAAAATCTAATCATAATATTCTTTTGTCATCAGAGAATTTATGTACAGAGAAATCTTTTTTGTATGGTTGCAAGATTTCTCAAACTGCAAAAATTCCCATAACAAGTGTAATTTGAAGTAGAGTAATCTACCAATTATAACTTGGTCTAATGAGATATAAATAAAACCTTGATCGTTATTAGTGCACGCAAAGCTAGCAGTGTTACTACTAGTGAACTGTGTTATCTTTAATATTGTTAGCGTGAGTTATATCCAACATATCTACATGCAGATAATCATAGACATTTACTTGATACGTATACTGTCTTTATTATTGTACTGCATTGCTTTATTCGTAAGTGTCAAACACATGCAAAAACGAATGAGCTGACTAATCTAGTGAGTTGAATTCATAATCACCTAATCGATCACGATATGGTATTGATGAATTTGTCTTAAGATTATCTTCAAACTTGGTACAACGAAAACAGCCATAAGTATTTGAACATAAATGAAAAATGAGTTTGCACTGGTATCGTAGAACTAAATGATACAAAGTTACTACAGAATCTTTAGTGCAATACATATCGTCAGAATACAATAAACATTGTTCTAACAGTTATCTCGATTTAAATTTAAATTCTATATGCTTTATAGATTACATAAGACTACTACAGGTGTGTCAAGCATATATCTATAGTATTCTAGGTCATAGAAATCAATAGATGAACCATCGCGAAGTACACGTTACATGGAATCTTTAAACTATTGAATAGATACAAATCTCAATTTGTCTACTGTATAATCTTTCACTAGCTGTTATTTTACTTTATGGAGCTAATAGTTGCAGAAATTTAATCTACTAAGATTTATAGACAATTTTATATCAAATAATATTGATATCCACTTACTAATGCCCTTGATAATTATATCTAAATCATACATAGTGGAGAAAAATAATTTATAGTAATACATTAGAAAACATAAAATAAAATATTTTCTATTTGACTTTGTATACTATTCCTTAGAAGAATTCAAAGTTTTACTTGAACAACCATAGATTTCTTAAGAAAATTTTCCATGTCATTAAAATGAAGTAATTTCATGATTGAATATAATTAAATGCATATTTGCGATAAATTCAACTTTAATACTTCAGATCTAATTTTATGAATATCAACGAATCGTATAAAAATTGATAGCTACATAGTAGTAGTTCATTCTTGTTATTTAGTTGCAGATAGATTAGGGAAAAAAGATTTGTGATAGTTTAAAATGAAGCTTAAGTTTTTATATTATACAAATTTGACTAGAATACTTTCACAATTAAATATCATATGATCGATTACGTGCCAGAAATCGATTCTTAAAATACTCGATCTTCAACAACGATAAGTTACATGTAACAAAAATGCATACCGTATCGTATCTAGAAAACAAGCTGATCGATAAATGTTCAATTATTTCTGTATGATCATCTATAAATATAAATAACTCTCCATAAAATATTTGATTCAACGTTGGTCATACATCATTCGTTCTTTGCATAACAAAAGTTTATTATTGCCGATAGAAGAACTAATGATGTAACATTACAACAATAACTAAACTTAGTCGCACGAACCAATCATCAGTTCGCTTTATGAATAGAATACAAATTATACGGAATGCTTGCATGTTTACAATAAAAAAAAGTCTTCTATATTCTGCAACTTAGCATTGACTATTATAGTCTTTATTGTTATTATAAATAATAAGCTTCATTACTCAAGTTTCATTTTTTTCTTTCTTTCAACCTCAATTGAAAAATCACTTTACAATAGAGAACAACGTACTTCAGTTGACTTGCAAACAATGTAAATTCATGGAATGTGACGATCAAACTAGACGTTATTCAATAGTAACAAAATTAATACATTATACGGCTGCATTTAGGGCCGATAGCACTGAACGAGTTTCGATTTCACAAGCAAGTAGAACATCTCAATTGTTTTCAAGAAATGAACGACCCAATTCAGTTCTCGTCACGTCATATAAGTATGTCTAATTGCTATTTTAATCTATAGAGATGCTCTCTTGAATGCTACATGAAATCTTAAAGTGGCAAATTCTTCTTCATAACAGTCTCTTTTCTGATCATTTTCAAAATTCTTCATTGCATCAAAATGCGTTAAGAGTTGATGTCTATGCTCTGCATTATATTACATGTCTCATAAAACAATGTTAACTAGTGTCATCTATGTTGAATGTAAAAAAGTGAAATTGAATGGATTTTGGGGGATTTTGCCTTGCCACTTTCTTCGCAAATGGTTACTTTATTAAAACTATCGATTAAACAAGTTTTAATAGTCTGAAAATTGAATCTATCGAAAGTAATGATCTATTCCCTGTTTGAGTAAAAGATAAAAGATAATAAATGAGCACTGCAGTAGCATCAAAAACAGTCGGTGCAGGTGTAGCTCATCAACGTGGTGATCAAGCATCCAGGTTTAATAATTAAAGTCTTATTTTATAATTTCTGCATGCGTTTTATTTTTTAGATCAATAGAAAATCGAAAATCTCGTTTAGCACCATTATGGCCAGAATGGAATGAGACTGATGTCAATGCTGAATCATGGGATATTGGAAGTGGAAAAAAGAAAGAAGCTGGTGCGGGTAAAGCTCGTATTGATATCAAATCAGCTAGTTCGGCCGTAAGAAAATAAGATTCAAACAAAATACCCGATAAAATTTCACTTCGTTTAATTAGGGTACACATGGTTTTGAAGACCCTGAAGGCAAAGTTGAGCTTCCACCAACACTTAAAGTTGACCAATGGAAAAGACCAGTTGATTTTTTGCCACCAGATAAAGTAAGAGAAAATACTGTATTTAAAACAGATCAATAGTTATGAGCAATCTAATAGCTACCAGTAATTGTTGATCCTGATCTTGGCATGCAAAATTTTGATTTAGTCACATCAAATGAACATTTACATTACAGTGAAGTAAGATCATTGGGTTGCCAGTGTTTCTTTTCATAATAACTTTGTTTCTTTAATTTCAATGAAGACAATGCGCAACATTATTGGTCAAATTACAGCATTGTGGGATATTTGTCGACAGGATCGAAAAAATTCTAGTGCATCATCTGAATATATGACAGAATCCAATCTAGCCGTTCTCAATGGACGAACATGGCGTCCTTGGGTTTGATTATTTTTCTATGTATTCTCAATATATTCATATCTTCTAAATGTTTTAGGAACACATATATGCATTGAATAAAGTCTCGAGACAACCTTTTATCTCACCATACAATCCTGCTGGAAAATATGTCGTTCGACTCTTCTTTTTGGTTTGTATCTTAGAAATCGAAACAATTTGTGAGGAAAAAAGAAAATGTTATGTTATTCTTTCAATTAATAGGGTACTTGGCGAAAACTTGTTGTAGATGATATGATTCCATTTGATTCTAAAAATCGATGTCTTCTACCACAAACAGCATTGCCATATGAACTTTGGCCTATGATTTTGACCAAAGCTTTATTAAAAATCATTGCGCTCGAGTAATAAATACTTTTTTTTTGATAGTTAATGTTTTTCTGTTGATGCCCCTTTTTTTATGGAAATCATAGTTTCCGTTCGTCAAATGCATATAATGAATACAATGAAACAAGTATTATTCATGCACTTACTAGTTGGCTACCAGAGCCGATTCCACTCAAGTAAATCTGTGATGAAGAAAAACATTTAGATAATAACTATTTTGTTTTAGATATACTCATGCTACAAAAGTATGGGAATTCTTGCGTTATGATCGTTCCAATAGACTTGTAATTGAAAATGATGGCGGAACAAATAAAACGGAACAACAATCACCAAGTCCATTGCCAACATTTGGTCCTGTACCATTATTTAAATGGCCTGACACAAAAGGTGATTCACATGAAGAATCAACATCAATTACTGTAAATCTTTTGTTTCATTGGATTTTTATAACTAATTTTTTGTTGATCTCGTTTTATATCGTAAAGGATCCATCGGGTCATCAAGATGATACTGTAACAGAAACGATGACTAAAAAATCTGATGATAAAAGTGCAAGAAAAGGAGGAGCACCATCCAGTTTAGCAGTACCTAAAGATTCGGGTACAAAATCAGCAACGGGAAAAGAAACGCGAGCAGGTTATAATTAAAACAATCCATTGATTAGATAGAAAAGCATTCATTTAGGTGGTGGCCAAAATGTTGTTACAGGTAAAGATGTTAAAAAACAAGGTGGAGTCGCCAGAGGAGGAACACTAGAAGATTCAGGAGCTCTTGGTGACGATCAAACAATACCTGAAGCACCGAAAATAATTGTATTTGCTACTATACCTCATTTACAACGAACACGCATGAGTTCTTACGGTGAAACAGCAGATAGAAGTGAACGATTAAGACGCTATAATTTAAATGATACATTTTCAACGTCAATGTTGCTTACATCTATTCGAGATCTGCCATTAGAACCACCGCCAACGCCTGAATATGTACCTGCATGGAAACGTATTCGACCAAAAAAACCAAAACTATTACCACATGCCGAACCGGTTGGTAAGTATACTACGTCAATAGAAATAATATTTCATTCAACATTGATTTCTATTTTTTAGTACCACAAGAGCCGAAACCTGATCGTTGGATTGAAATAGCTTCTCCTTATATTAACTACCCAAGTGCCAGTGCTCTCAATATGTACGTAGATTATTTTATTTATTTTGTTTCACCATTTCATTTCATATTTCACAACTAATACAGAAAACCAACGATCCGACTGCATCCGATTGATAGTTGTTTCACGTAGGAATTTTAATAATTTAGCCCAAATTTGTTTATACTCTGTAGTTATTTGCTTTGATTCGCCTTCAATGCTTTTCTGTGCTTAGATTTCATTTTTATTTTATGTTTATACTATCTTTTGTATTATTTAGACGTTTGAATAATATTTTTATAAACGAATGTATTCTATCTATAGGAATGTCAATACACCGGCTCACGGTGGAGCATCGCGTTTAAGCCATTCAGCAACACATTCAACAGCAGCTGATGTACCTGAAATAATCGAAGTAGACGAAGAAGGAGATATTGAAAATGGTGAATCAAAGCCTGAAATAGATATTGAACATGTTCAAGGTGATGCAACTCCGAATTTACTTAAAAAACATGAAGCAGCATCACCTAATAAAGAGGTTTGATTTTAATTGTTGTATTTTGTTCAGTACAAATGTCACGCTTATCGTGTTTTAGCTAAATTCTATTGCAACACCAGACGCACTCGATGAATATGGACGTGCTGGTACAGCAAGTAGACTAAAACGTGAAAAATCAGATGATAAAAGCAAAGTATATTAAATTTGTGTTTGTTAATTTCAATACTGAAATAAATATAAACTTATAATAATTATCATAGGGAAATAGAAAATTAGCTGGTAGTAAATTGGATATAGCTGGCACAAAAGCACCATCAGATGCTGTTTCTGTTAAAAGCAAAGGTTAACATTTGTTTATTTTCTAAATAGAATAATTGATTTTACAATTCTTTAGTAGGTGAAAGTGAACAAAATTTAACGCCAATGGATATTCATGCAACTGGAAATAATACAGAACATCAAGATTCTCAATCGAAAACAAATGAAATTAATTCGATTCCAAATATAATTCAACCAATGAAGAAATCTTATGTAACACCAAAAATATGGATGGATTTCGATGATTTCTGTTCATGTTTTACGTCGATTGTTGTTTATCATAATCCTCGTGGTTATCAATATATACATAAGAATACCGAAGTTAAGGTAATATAAATTATCATTAAAATTCTTTGCTATTTATCATTTGAAAAAAATTAGAAAATAATCTATGCATATATTATTTTAGTTTGTTTCATCCCAACAGGTAATTTTCATATTGGAGTTATACAAAAGAAATATTTATATGCTTATCGCTTGTATATACGTATACACATACATATGTGCATTTACTTATATATATAGCTCTTTGTCAATCTAACTATTTGAAAAAACAACTAAGTTCTGTCAATGCTAAAAACAAAGTTCTAATTCTATGAGAGGATGTCACCGTTTCACCAAATTTACGTTTTGATAGAAAAAAAAGCTTTTTTTTACACGTGTTGAAATGGCATCTAAGCACAGTTTTCTCAATAAAAATACAAGTTGGAATGTTTTGGTACTTATCAAATAAGGATATTCATTTAAGAAGTGTAACTATGTAGACAGAATTTTAACCACCGGAACGATTATAATGGTAACAATAAACACAAAGAATAAATATCTTATTACAAAGTATTATGAATAGAAGGATGTTTAATATTAACAGAATAAGCACATAAACACAATTGTAGATATGAATAATATCCCCATGAGGAATGACATCTATACTGAAAAACATCTCAATTTCACAATCATTCTCACATTTTTAATGTTCTGTAGAAATATTAGTTTATCTGACTTTCACACTAATTCTGATATTTATATTCGAATTCATTCAGTTACACATCATACTTATTGTTTTTTAAGCATTAATGATTTGTTGAATGAACTAGTTATTTATTGAGTGATCCTAAAAAAAGAACTTCATATTTACTTTTAATCTTTTGATCTACTTAACTAGTCGGTATCGACCGTTGTTCTGTTGTTACCATTACTCGTAGCCATCGTTTACAAAATCCTTTCTCGAACTAAAATTGAGAATTAGATAGAAAAGATTAGTCTTGTTGATTTCTATAATAATAATTGCTTTCTCAGGAGAAAGAAAGTTGAGAGCTTAGTCTTTTGAAAAAACTTTCAATATTCATGCTAGTAGTGATCTTATAGAAAGTTTTACATGGATTCATTCTTGACATCTCCACCTTCGTAGACAATTGAAACTTCTGGTGTCATTTCTAGTCTAGATCTCTACGATTTCTATCATCTTTCTGAAGATAGATTTTCTTCAATATTAATATGGTCTTTTTTTAAAATCAACAACAGTTGTGAGGACTTCTTGCTTGTTAAAAAAATATCAAATCGAAAGAAAACTATTTAATAAGTTTTATTTTATTAAGATTTGATACTGCATAATGTTACCAGGTAACAAATAACTAATCTCCATAACTAGAACCCTTTCAATCTAACTATTAATTACCAATAGAGAATATATTTTCTACTACCCCATTGAACATACTTGAGTTAAATCATGACTTACCTCTATACCTACATGTGTCATTTTTGTTTCTAAATTGACAACTATGTTTATTTATTTTTAGCCAATCGTTGCTTCCGCAACAAAAGAAAAGAAAAAGGAGGTGAATCCACCGGCATCTCAACAACTACCAGTAAGTGTTACTATCTATCACGTTGATCAACATTTCATTTAATTGTATAATAGATTTTACAAGATGACAAATCACCATTATATTTATTTGTTGACAGCCCACGAGATAGATTAGATAAAAATATTGAATTAATTGTTAGCTTAACATCTCTATCGCGATGGATTGATACGGGTTCAAATGAAGGTACAAGTCCGTCTGGTTTAGCAATGCCAACAACAATCGAGAAAGCTGGCCGAGGTACAGGTATATCAGCCGATAAAGCATCTGCAGAAGTTAGCCCAGCAAGAGGTATAGGAAGTAGACGACGAACAAGTACTATTGAAACACTTCCACAAACACCTGCGCCACATATCAGTCTGCACGATGGAAGTGTTGCTGAAAGTAAAGAATATTATTTAAATGAAGAGAAGTAAAATTTATGTTTTTTGTTAATCTGTTTATTAATAGTGGCACAAAAGGAAGTAATTCTACAACCAAGTTCACTCATTGCCGAAGTCTATTCTTGGAAATCACTTTCAATGGGCCAGCCTATTCTTCGTCTTCATACTACAACTACTAAAGCTGCTTTGCTTACACTACCACCAGGGTAAATTTGTTTTTTTTTTAATTTTTTTTAATCTATAATTGAAAATAATTTAGACGACATGTATTAAAATTTATCGTTGTATGTCCACTAGCTTCTCATCTTCAAATCATGTCTGATACCAATGATTTTACATTTGGTGATGAAGATCAATTATTATCGAAAATTGTTTCAGTACCAGTAAGTTCTCAATGTTTTCAATAAGATATTATTTTTATATTTATTTTAAAGGAAGACGCTGAATTTACAGCAAGAGCTGAGGAATTATTTCTTGCACTTGATGATGGTGTACAAAATTTTAATAATATGGATCAACAGGATATAAAACTCACTGAATTATTTCGTCTTTATTGTGAATATGCATCGCCCTTAGCGAATCTCACACTTCTAACATGTTGGAATGGATTTAATCAAGCGCTTTACTCCACTCTACGTACAATATGCAATGGATCTGGACAACCACTCAATGCGGATGCTCAATTTGCTTGGAGATGTTTTACAAATGATCTGTCAACGCCTGATATTATGGGCGTGTATGATGCAAGACGGCCCAGTAAATCATTCATTTTCATTTTTTATCGCTGTTATATTCATATTTTTTTGAGGTACTTCAGGTGCAAGTCGTAATTCAGCTCGAGCTGGTAATGCGCCAGGTGGAGGTGGAACTGCAGCTGCAACAACAGCAACCGCTACCGCTGGTAAAAAAGGTGCTGGAGGAAAAGATAAAAATGTTGATGATAAAGCTGCCAGTAAACAACAATCACAATTAAATGCTTCATTGTCTACAGCAGAACTACAAGGTAAACTTTTCGCTCACTAATCTATACAATAGCAGTTAACAATACAATACAAAAGTATTTGTCCATATCAATCATAAAATTTAAATCTAAATAATGGATTGAATAGTCGCTGAAGTTCTGTAGTTACCAGATTCCACACGGAAACATCCCAATTTTCAAGTCTCAGTAGACTCAATAAAAATTAATCTATGATAATCTCGATGACCAATATTCCCATAGTATTGTGAATAATACAAAACCTACTATATTAAATTTCTTAGAAAACTTCTGCCAGCAAACCTTCTATAATAGTGTTAATGCGAAATGTATTTAATAGATAACTTGAGTTTTTATTCAAAATATAAAATAAAATTTGAGTTTGATAATTAATTAATATTAAAAAGAAAAAGACCTGACATACGTTTGTAGTATATGTTTCACTAGAAACATATTTTTTATTTTGAAATTTTAGAAGAAGCATTACCTGATTGGCTCAATCGTGACATAACGGTAGCTGAAGTCGAGTCCATTGTTAATATACAAAAGGTTGCTCGAGGTTTTCTACAACGACGCTTATTACTTGCTCGTACACCTGGAACAGAAAAAAATTTACTTACTCAACGAACATTACAATCAATAATGACAATACTCAAAACTGATGTTCCAAAGTCGTCCATAATATTATTTAGGTAGGTAGACTTTTGTTTTGTTTTAAAGTTGAATTCGTGATTTATCTTTGCCTTTTGAATAAAAGAAATTTAATGGTAAGTAAACCACAATTAATACAATGTTTTCAATTTCGTAATGACGATTGGAATATGGTCACATATCGAGATTATCATGGGCAATATCAAGAACAACAAGCAAATTCTTGGTTCACTGTATTTCGGTATATAGAAGATTATTTTAAACAAAGAAAATATCTTCTCTTCTATTTCGATAGGGAAATTTTTTATGTCGTTGAAGAAGGTTTTCTTTCTGGTAAACTTCTTGCTCATGCACAAAATTCGCTTTTACGTGTTATTAATAATGATACATATGAGGAAATGACACTTATTTTCAATCGACTAGCACCAACGATATTTACGAAAAATAAAGTAAAATTAGATATTCCAATTAAAAATATTTGTTTAAAAATTTTGTTATCCTTCGTGATTTTTTTCAACGAATAGTTTGGTTACACATTTTTTGCTGAAGGAATATCACTTGATCAATCCATTCCAACTGGTCGTTTTCGTCTTCGTCTGTTGACATCTTACACGCATTTGCCTGAGCCACGCGTTGAACAAATAACATCATCATTCATAACTAAGGAAATAAAAGATTATTATGTTCCAAATAAACAAACTGTAATATGCAGGTAAAATCTTTTCATAAAAAAATTAACAAAATTAGAAAATCAAGTCACTTTTTTGTTAGATATCGTGTAACTGTTGCGGATGATGTCAATCAAACTGGTCGTAATTTTCACTTAGCTAGTGTTCAGTTTAGTACATCCAAATCTGATGTTTTAATACGTTTGACTGTATTAAATAATAATGACGAAATAGCCAGTGTTGAGGGCAAAGGCAGTGTTGTTTTGCCTGCATTTTTATTCATGAGAGATGTTATTTACCCAGCTACATCAACTACAACAAATCAACCCTTATCACGACCACCTTCGAAAACAGGAGGTTCGTTGATTCCATGAATATTGTCATTATTACAGAAATAATATTTTATTTTTATTTTTAAGGAGCAACCAAAAAAGATAGTAATAAAAATGCTGCTGGAAATACACAACGAGGAAGTGTTGCCGAAGCATCAACTATAGGTAGTGGTCGATCAGACAAAGACAAGAGTGGAAGCGAAAAGAGAAGTGTACGTCTATATAATTCTATTTATTAAATATAAATCTATATACGTATACATATTTATTTATTTATTTATTACATATATCTTTATTTAGTTACCTAACAGAAAAAAACGTATTCCAGTGAATGAATATATTATCTTTTTCTGTATTTTTGCAAATATTCTTTTTATTTCCTGCATGTTATGAAATCCCTTCCATTTTCACAGATGAATAGTTGCGTTTCTCTTTGAAAAATAGCATATTGTTATATTTTAGAGATCAAGCAGCCGAACAGGACTCATGGGAGACGAAGAAGAAAAAGTAGTGATATAAACTTTTTTCCTTTCTTTCTTGGAGGCATTGCATATACATGCTATAATAATATTGTTTAGATTCATAAATATGTTATTCAAGCAACAGTTCTTCGTAAAACATGGCCATTGACACCCACTCAATGGCAATTCGTTGAACAACTTAAAGAACAAGAAAAAAATGAATTGAAAAGTAAAAAGAATATTTCTATTTTTTTGTTCTATTTTTTCTATCAGTGAATCGATCTATTTGAATCTAGTATTTAATCGACAATCTACGCCAACTAAAATGGATGGAACAGCGGCAGGTGGAGCAGGTGCCGGTAACAAACGAGCAGGTCAATCAAGCACAGGCGCAACAGCAGCAGCTGGAAAAGGAAAAGGCGCTGTAACTGGTGGTGCCGCTGGTAAAAGTGGTTCTACTACATCGGCTCGACCGAGTACAGCTAAAGGAAATTCAGAAAAAACGATTGATACGAACAGACCTCATTGGATATTACGTGTAGTATCTGACGCAGACAAAGCGGTATGAATATTTGAGATAAATACTACAGAATCATACTTAAATGTTTGACTATTTTTCCCTGATAGGATGAAATAATAATTAAAAAAGATACTGAACGAAATGAAGAATTAATCAATATGAAGAAAGCATGGGAAACAGTAGAAGCTGGCCGTGCTCAAAAATCCATGAAAGCAAGACAAAAGTTTCTTGAATCTTTACAACCGAAACCCGACGAACGACCATCATCGAGTGCAATAGATGGCACAACAAAACGACCCGACAGTCGTACTGGCGAAGAAACACTCGATGCAACTACTACTTCTACGACTGCGCCAGCTACTGACCAACAGCACGCTGCTAAACAAACGTCAACTGCAGCAGCAGCAGCAACAAAGAAAGGTGGCTCGTCAGCAGCAAATAAAAAAGGCGCTGCTAAAGACGATGCATCCAAACAAGCTGAATCAACAGCAACACCACAAGAACCTTTAATACCACTGCCCGTAATCGATGAGCCTCTTTTAGATCAACCACCACCAGCGAAACCTAAAGTTATCTTACCTCCACTTGACATTAAATCTTTTATCAAGTGATTGAATATTTATTTCTTAAATAATAAAGAAATCAATTTTTTTAATTTCAATTTTAGAAATAAAATGCTTGCTGAAGAACCAATTGTATTAGATCCGTTATTCGAACAAGAAGATTTACGCCGTCGTCAGGCTGAATTTATGGAATATGCTAAATATACAGACGAAATTCGTCACACTCGTGAAGAAGATCATCATAATAGATATAAAGAAAAAATTCGTCAATTAGAAGAATATATTGATTTACAAGCGAAGATTGATCAATCTCGTCGTGCTATTAATGAACCACGTGAAGCATTTCGACAACGTTTTCTTGACATTGAACGTAAACGTCTTGCAGAATTAGCTGCTCAAGAGCAAGAATTAATTGCAGCAGCAGAAAAAGCTAAGGCTGCCGCACCTCCAGCCAAAGGTAAAGGTTCGGCTGGAAAGAAAGGCAAAAAATAATGTCATGGATATGTAGAAGAATGTTTTTTTTTGTATGATTATTTTCATAAATTTTTTGGTTTTTCAATAAAGGCATGAAACATAAATAAGCTCAATTATAGAAAAAACTCTATTCTATAATGTTGCTTACTAAAATATTAACTAAATACTTACACTAGAATCTTGTCAAGTTCTTCCTACCAATCGACCTAATATGTTTCACTTAATAACTGTTGAATGAGAATATACTAAATCATATCCCAAATATCTGTAGTAATAATAGTTCATTTTTCATAAATACTTTAACAAGGAATACGATTCTTTTACAATGATCTTCACTTTACGCAGATAGAACATGACTATAGAACTCTTCTAGGATTCTAATTAATCTTATGGACTCATATTAACGAGTAGCACGTTAGTTATATATTGGTACGTTTTTTAACTTAAAAACACTTTTTTGTGAGATAGATTTTGCCTTAGATCACTATGATCAAATAGTCTTAATTTATAGCTTAGTAAATCGAGTTCAAATTTAATTTTTTTGCAGCATATAATATCACAATATGCAGATAAATTGTATTATTTTTGTTTTTCTCTTCCTTTATTTCAATGTGCTTTTATATTAATTATTTTTCTATTATAATAATTAACTAGTTAATCGTAAGACGTTTCGAAGATATCTTTCTCCTACTTCAGCTTTATTTTATTTGGTGTTATGTTTTTGTTTTTACTATTTACAATACGTATGTAACTATTGTTTTTCTTTCTCTTTAATAGTGGAACGGAATGGCAAGACGGTAATATTGATCGATAAAGCTTATATGTTTTTACGTTCCGTTCCATTATTAAACAAAAAGAAAACGAATAGTCAGATACGTATTGTAGATAGTAAAAACAAAAACGCAACACCAAATAAAATAAAACTGCAAAAAGAGAAAGATATCTCCGAAACGTCTTACGATTAAATAATTAATTATTATAATAGGAAAATGATTAGTATAAAAACACATTGAAATAAAGAAAGAGTAAAACAAAAATAATATAATTACAATGACCTTTCTCAACACACGTTATGTGGATAAATTATTATGAGTACTTTAGTCAGCACTAAACTATTTCAATTTGTAAATCACGAATGGTGAAGCTACTGACACAAGAAATAGAGATGAAATCTTCTTTTGAAGAATTACAAATAACTGATTGAAATACCATATTTATGTAAAGTCATTAAAACTTCTTTAGCAGTATTATTCACGCATGTCTAACAATGCTTCTTAGCGAAAAGTATTGAAATTAAATATGTTTTTATTTCCTATAAATGAATCAATTAATTATGAATATACAAATATATGTGTAACTCTTCAAAAAAAAATACATGTGATTAATTTTTAATATTTCAGCAGATCCTATTGGTGTGGCTCCAAAGAAGTGAGCTCTTGAGATTTTTTTAAATTGTATACAACTAAACGTTAGATATTTATTTCATTTTTTAATGAAAGCAAACATTTTCAATTCACTGTTGGTTTCGGTACAAACATGTAGTAAAACATGGTAGCACTATAAGACTCTAAATTTGAGAATAGTATTAGTATAAGACGTATTGTTATAGTAACAATTTTATCTGTACTGCATGTCAACAGAAAGAAATAGCTCTAATTTCATTATGTTTTATCATTGATAAATAAACAATAAGCTTACTGTAACTCTTATGTGTATTTTTTGTTTTAAAAATAATTATACTGAGTCAAATTTTCTTTCAGTTTATTATCATATGCTCATCACTACGAATTTAGACTTGCTACTATGTAAAACAGTAAATTGCTTCATTGTTACATAAATAAATTCCATGCTAATTTAAAATTCAATTACTTGTACTTTTTCAGCTTTTTAAAATTGATAAAGATGTTTTTAAAAGTCGATGAATCTGTTTGCCTGGAATTTGCAGCAAATGAATAGGCATACTATTCTGCAAGCTGAAGAATAGTGAATATTAACCTGACTATGCGCTATCATATTTTTTATTGCAAACTTGCTGGTTTTGAGTCTACAGCCTCCTTTAAAGATAGTTATTATCTTCGTTGGAATCTATAGGTTTATTGTAAAAGAATTAGTATTCATTTTTGTTCAGGTAATTTCTTAAATATAAGTTGAACAAGTAGTAAAGGCTTTCGAAATTCTACGAGTAAATGGCGAGAGTCATTTCTTCTACTCATTAAACGTATCTGTATTACTTTTACATACGATATCACACATAAAGCATGACTTGAATTGAGTAAATATTTTCTATGACATAATTAATACTTATTTAATAGGCTTAGTCATAATGAAAATTCATCATATTTTGATAAAATTTCGGCTTTCTCGTAGCGTTATCTCAAATATAAGGACATAATTTATTTCTTCATTTTCAGTTTCATTTTCTTTTTGACAATAGACTATTCTCAACAAACATTCTAACCTCTCACAAAATGATTGACGTCATCACTTTTCTTGAGCCTGTCTCGAATATATTGGCGTCATAAGAAGATTTTGATTTCTTTCTGAAGAAAAAGATATTTATCTTTTATTCAGAAAATACCGTAGAAGTTATATTTTAAAAAAATTGTAAAGGCTTCCTGTAGGAACATATTTTCCTTTCTCCAGAGATATTATTGTTAGTCTCATTGTACAATGTCCAATATCAGCAATTCTACTTTTGTTGATAATTCAGCTTATTGTAGTACTTTTATCATAATTCTCAATCGAAATATATCCAGATATGGAATGGGTCTTGTTTGACTTATTGGGAATTTCGGGTCAACTACTAACTGTTTCATCTATTGCCAATCAACGCTTCGCAAGAATTCATGTGTCATGTACTTTCTAGCTTCTAGTGCTGTTCGATTTCTAACCTTCAATTTTACTCTTTTCACACGGATGCTTCAATATGGCTATGATATTCAAACAATTAATACTTCTCTGTTGTATTGTAAAGTTCGGTTTTATTTTTTCTATGTTTTTGTTGCTGTTCCACGTTATTATATTATTTTGGCATCGATAGATCGTCATTTTTCTGGTCCATTGAATATTCATTGGCATTAATGGAGCTCACCAAAGATTGCTGCGCGACTGATCATTAGCAATGATTTACTTTGGTGTTTGATGTACATTCAAGTTTCTGTTTTCTATGAAATTCAACAAGATGGCTGTTCCTTGAGAACAGGTATTTATAGCACATTCTTCAGTGTCTATTTATTGATTGAACGTGGACTGATTCCACCATTGACGATGCTCATTTTTGGACTTCTTACACTCACTAATATTAATAGAAGTAAACGAGCAACAAGACCAGTACCATTGTCTGATGTTGTACAATCCGCACAATTCACTAAAATGTCTAGAAGAGATTTTCAAATTTGTAGAATGCTATTTAATCAAATATGTCTTTGGGTTTGTTTGAATATTATTAATCCTTGTTACTTTCTTTATCAAGCAATAATAATACACGATTCGAAATTACCTCTTCGTATAATAGTTGAATTGTTCATCAATAATATTGGTTATTTTTTATTCATCTCGAGTTTTCTTCAACATTTTTCGTGTACTCTTTATCATCACCATTATTTAGACGTGAATTGAATCAAATTATTTTCAAGGAAATATTACGTCGCTTTCCATCAAACCCTGCCGTTAGACATGCCCTATAAAATAGATAATTCTTCAGATTACTAAAACTGTCTCATTAATTTATCTATGATTGCGTATCGACATATTCGAAAAGAAAACGTTGAACTATATATAAATTCAAATAAATTTCTGTTGTAAGATTATCGATGATGCAATAAAAAAAATGAGGCAACTAGAAGTTTTTTTCTCCTTCGACAGCTTGGTATTAACCCTGATATAACTATTTTTAATGTCACAAGACATGCATCTGATAATTATGTTATCTACAGAGAAAACTATGTTAATTATTACATTGAAATATCAATGATGATAACAATTGTATGGTGAAACTTTAAACTAGTTCGCATATACCTAACCATTACTGGCTAACCTTTGTTTGTTGTAAATTTGTTTGAAAACGAGATGTCATTTTTGTATTGAACTATTATTTATTAGACAATACGAAGGAACAGAAAATTAAGTTTTCTATCTATGCGAATAAAAATTTGCTATGTTAACATCGTCACAACTTCTCCTATGACATCTCGGGGTAGATTTCATGTTTTTTGTATCGACTAACAGTGGTAATTATTATTTACTGCAGCAAAAATTTACATAGAACTTGTAGTTAAATGAGGATAGAATGTGATTGCGCTCTGTTTTAAATTATATTTGTAAGAGTTGCAAATACTATGTTGTTGGCGGCATACAGATAAACAAGTAATCGAACAATACAATCAGCTATTCTTGTTTAATTAAAATTAATGAGAGTATATAAACTCTTTTCATGCTAAACAATACTATTTAATGTATTATTATTGATTTGTCACATTGAATGCATCAGTTCAAGGAATAGTACGAACTGGCCTTCTAGAAATATTTTGTTATTTCATAAATGAAAATCATGTGTATAATATTTACTTAAAACTCTATAGTATAGAGAGCAGAGTAAACAAATCAATTTTTAACACAAAAAAAATTTATCGAAACAGATACTAGTAAATTAAAAGTCTTCATGTAGAAAAAAATCAAAGATAAATACAGCAGTATCTTTATTATCTCGTAATAATATTGAAGATTATAGACATAGACTCAAATCACTTGAGTTTTTTTTTTGTTGAAATAAGAACATGCTTCCCTAGAGACTGGCTTATAGGAGATGACATTTTTCTGTGGATAGAAATTTCAAATAGGTGTATAATAAATATTGGAGAATGTGAAAAGAGGGACTTCAACAGTATTGCTTGTCTATATCCTAGAGGAAATTTTTAAAACGTAAGCTGAACAAGTGGACGTTATTTCTTGTTTGCTCTCAATCTTTTACATAAACATTATTCATGCTTACATGTTTTACAAAACTTATTCATTTAAAGTTGTATGAGAAACAACACATCTAGATTGTATATCATCAAATTTACTAGCATAGTTAGCCTCAGAGGAATCTTGATTTCAATGCGATCTAATCAAAAACAAGATAACTCACTACAACGAGCAAATCATTCCAGTGTTTTCTTGTGTTTTGTGTTTATTGTTTTCTTAGCAAGTATAGTAAACTCAGTAGATGTTTCAATTCGAATCTTTCTTGTATCACTCTTCCAAGATGACTCTTTCTTCAAAACTCGTACGTAGATAGTTTATCGGTGGCTAATGATGACAGAGATTTACTATGCAAACGATCAGTGGACGTATGACCAAAAGAAGAAAAGACTTTTACAAAATAGATACATGTCTTTTGTTGAAATTGTTGAACGAAAAAATCTAATAAAACACTAAAATTCTGCTGAAGAAAAAAGAAAATTTTCCGACAAGGAAAGGATCAAAATAAACCCTGTTACCCAGAAACATCATAGATACAAAAAAAATCCAAAGTTCGCGAATACAAATTATGGTAATCACCTCTCATATTGAAATATGCTGTGAGATGTGATTACAGTTGCTATAAAAAGACAAGAAGTTTATGAAAGTGAATACTACATATGATATAACAATATTAGTTAATAACGATGATCAAAATATTTCATAGCAATTTTGAGAAATGCAACAGTTACTTCAACCACATCTCAAAGTGATATTGATTTGCAAAGATATAAAAATTGTACAAGTAACGCATAATATGGGATAAGAGGCATTGAACTTTAATGCAAGAAAAGCCAAATATGATTTTGAATTGTGAGTTCGTAGTAAAAAATGCGTTGAGATCACTCATATCATCACATTAAAAGATTAATTTACGAATCTTTTTGACGAATGATTTGATTATATCCGATATTCATTCAATTCTGCCAATAACAACCGTGTTTCCTTATATATTTCTGAATGATTGATTGAACCGATTTTTAAAAGGTCAAAGTGCTATTATCTATCATACTTTATAATAAACTTTTAGATTACAAGTGTCTAATGAAATGAACTAAGGATCATGTATCGCTATTCATAAGCGATATTGAATATACAAGTATATTGACTTCATACGTTCAATGTGATTATAACAGGAGTTTGTTGTCTCTTATTGTATTCCTATTGTTTTTCAATGGCAAGCACATGCGCATGAATTCTTTTGTTCTATTTATTAAAAAGAAGGTAGCTCGGTCTGTTCTATAAGATGTTTGCATCTCGTAACCATATATATTACTATTTATCTACGGCTTTTTCCTTTTGTTTTATGTCCATATTCATTTTTTTTTTCTATGCCATATGTGCTAACTTTCTATTCTATTGCTTTTCTTTTGCTCCTCGTGTGATTGTTTTTTCTTATTCTTATTATTGATTTGATTGCACTTCGAAATTTTAACTGCGTTATCTTTAGTGTTCTTAATGGCATCGATAACAATTCTATTTGGGTTCAATGAATCGGTTCATATTCTATAGAACGATTGAAAAAAATTTTGAAATAGAATCCATAGTGTTTTTCATTTTGACTAGATATCATAATCAAACATACTAGTCTTATCAATTTGCTATCTTGATTATTTAAAGTCGATTAGTATTAGCAATGTCTCCATCGAACTATAATATTTTTTATATAGAACAAGTAAAACTATCCAAAGGCTGAACTTCATAGGTAATTCTACGCCTCTTTTTTTTACCTGTAATCAATTAGCAGTTCTATTTAATCTTTTTATTCGGAAGAGCTGTCGGTCATGTACTACACCACGAATGATATAATGAGAATCAGAAAAGTGAACGTGTTAATAATATGTTTGATATCGCTTTTCTGCTGATTGCAGTAAAAAGCACGTTTATAACTCAATAAAAATTTTATACACTTGAGAATAATTGATTTACTCTTTTTCATTTAACAGTGAAAGAATTGAAGCGATGAAGTCAAGTGTCCTCTTATACGTGACTGCTGGTTCTTTTTCAAGACAATACTTTTTAATTTTCTCTCCGTCAACTATTCTCTTACTATTAATCAAGTAGATTGTTTAATTGTTCTTTCAATTAATGAATATGTTTTTTTAAACATGTGCATTTATATATATATGTGTATATTGGCATCCTGAAACAGGCGCCCATTGAAGCAGACTGACTCAATGTGTATATGAGAGAGCGGAGCTATGAGTAAATGTTCGTTGTTTAGACGACAGTCAATATATGTGTATATATATATATAGAAGAGAACGAAAAGAAAAATGAATCGTTCAAAGTACTTCGATGTCCGAATATTTCCTTTCAATGTTTGTTTGCCATCACAATTCTTTACTTTTTCTTAGAGGTGTGAATAATAGAGCTTAGTGTTATACACTTGATGAAGCCAAGTAGTTTCATATTTAACTTATTTGTTATTGGGAGTGTCATATCAAGTTCAATATCTAATACTGGTAAAACTGTTGTTTCGTAATAAGAATCAGTATTTAGCTCTTTTAATTTAGACAAATGTGCTGGTAGATGGCAAACTACTGATCAATTAAATATCAAATTCACATTAGATTGGCAAATCTTTCCAACGACAAATCTAATTGTTATTGAATTTCGAACAAATCTTTTGGAGAAAGGTTTCTGGTATGCTTTTGGACTTTCATCTTCTCTAGATAATCCAGTATGTAAAATAAAAAACATTGCATTCATACTCTTTTAATGAGAAAAAAATACCATATAGGCAGCAGGACTTGTTTATGCTCTTCGATGGAGTGAAAATGATAACCAAAGTTTTTGGGATATATACAATGTGACGGAATCAAATATTACTATTGTAAAACAAAATGGCTCATCTTTAGTCAGATTTCAACGTGTGTCTTCATCGGGTATATTAACTGTACGGCCGATATTTGATTTCACCTCATTGATTAACGAGCAACAATGTTTATATTTTGTGTATATGCGAGGACGTTTTTCTGGTGATATACCATTAATACCAAATGAAACTGTATTCAATCAATCGTTATGTATTACATGTTCACGTAAGTAATTTTTTTTCTTTTAAATAATTTTTATTCGAAATTTTATTTAATTTTATCAAAGAATATGAATCGGCATCAACAAACGTTCATGCAACTACACAAGATACAACCACTGATCTTACGATAATTCAGAATTCATCGATTGAATCTATCGATATTTCTACAACTAATGATTTAAACTTATTGAATGAACAACTTTCAACATCAACCTCTTATCTATCGTCACCATCGAACTTAAGAACAGGTTGAAATAAAAATGAACCTTTTCTTATTGCGAATTATGCTTACTAAGTAACATACGTATTTTTAGAATTTAAATTCTTATGGTTCGGTCGAATCATCAATCGATTATGGTCAGATGATTACTCTAATCTTGATTCTCGTTTAAGTCTAAATTTACGTTTTAATCTACAAGATCTGGTAGATATTCTCTTTCAAATTACTTTATAATTTTGAATTTTTATTTTGGCTTATATAGTTTTTGTCTTTAATCCGTCATAACTCGTCGTTCTCTTTTCTTTGTAATCAATTTGAATTGTATTCATTACAGTGAGTGACTAATCCTTGAAAAAAAGACTTCACTTTTTCCTTCATCATCTCCTTGTGGCTACAGATCTGGTTCCATACTTTTTGCAAGTAATATTACTCTTATTTCAAGTCTATCAGAAAATCAAACAATAAATATAATCGAAAAACTAATAAAAATAGTCAAGGATGCAGAAGATTTTAATCTTAATTTTGATTTATCGGCGCATCATATAAAACGAGCAAATGAGATCTTACAAATCGATGAATTATTTAAGAAGTTTTCGGCAATAGCACATCATGATCGTGTAAAACAAGCGGAAAGTATATATTCGTTTTTTTTGCTTTTTTAAATCTATAGTGATTCATTTTTTGTTTTGTTTTTAGTCGATACTGCATTGCATTTACTTTTTGGTTGTATTGTTAGTATAGGCTGTTTAATAATATTAATAGCAACTCTTCTATGTCTGTATGGGTATTATAAATGTCGACGACGCCAACTTCGTCTTATTACTGAACGACAAACATTGAAATTCAAACATGATACTAATTCATATACATGGCTAGGACAACAACCATCGATCAGTTCTTCTTCTCCATATCTAATACAGTCAACTTCTATTTGACTTTCTCTTCTCTTTTATTGGCCTTGAACTATACACAGAAATAATAACGAAGGATTTTATTCCAAAAGTAACTCGTTATATGTATATATATGTATGTCGTTGGCAATTATTCGAATAGAAGTGATGCTCTAAAACCGCATATATACACTTTTTTGAATGTATATGTGTGGTTGAGTCAACAACTATTGCAGATCGGCTCTTTTTTTTTCTTCGTTTGCCATCCAAACTTAATTGTTGGTTGTTCATAATTATCACCATCTTATATACTTTCTCGATCGCATAACGCATGGTTATGTATTTCTCTGATCGTGAAGTGTATTGAAATAAGATCACATTTCCTTATCATTTAAAATCTATGAAAAAAGAAACGTTTGGTTAGATCCGTTTATATGGCCAATAGAAAATATGTCTTCGATTCTTTTATTTTTCGATAACCTTGATGAAATATTGGTAACACATATATATGTATATATATATATACATAAATATCTATGCTTGTCGTCTGTCTTTGTTTTGTTAGCTTCATTTTACTATTGAATTTGAAGAATATATATATATATATATATATATGTATAATATACAATCATTGAAGAATGTGATCATACAGATTGTACTATTATTGTTGTTATTAAAGTAAAAAAAAACTAAAAGGACGAAGAAATGACGCAGCACACCAATACGAATAGAATAGACACACTCGCACATACGTAAATACCTTTTTATTATCAACATAGTTGAAGTGGAATGAGGAGTAATTTGAAACCATGCATATGCATTCTCTTCGTCTTTGTTGCAATACCTAATTCGATACATTTTCTCAGTACAAATCCTTTCGTATTGTGAAATTTATTGATCAGCATAGTAGATGACGTGTTGTAGCTAAGCCGATTAATAAAAACTCATAGATAAGAATTAGACTTTTATAAGAAAAAAAAGGTGAAATAATCGAAGGTCATTAACAAGAAAACCGATTTACTATTTTTGACACCGGCGGGAGTGTGAAGAACTTAACTAGCATAAATTTTTGGCTATATTAAAAGGAAAAGATCAACAAACAAAACACTAATGTGTGCAAAGAAGATCACTAAAAGTTAGTAGAAGAAAAATAAAGAAACCAATATCATCTTTAAGATAATTGTAATTCAACATCCTTAGTATTCGAATGATAAGAAGGATATGTAGTATGTAATTGATATATATATATATATACGTATATACATATAAGCTATATATATATATATATATATACGTGTATACTTTCAATCGTTCGTTTGGCTACTTGATCAGTCAGATCTAATCCCGTCGGAGAGGAACCGTGTAGTAAAAACTTGCTCTCCATTTATTTGCCTCTGTTTCATTTTTCTCTTTCCCTGCTGCGCAGGTTTGTGTCGTTTCATTTAAATTATAAATACATGCATGTGAAAAAGATGAAAGAGAAGAAAGAAAGAGAGAGAGAGAGAGAGAGAGGAGGGGTTATGTGACGAAGTCTCTTGACAAACGGTGCAAGGCAAAACTTTAAAAAAAAATACTAGCGTCGTTTGTCATCGCCATGCAGACAAATCACTTATCCTCGAAGAAGAAAAGTGCCTTCGCGTGTCTTACTATATGCATAATATGATTTTCATATACTCTCACATTTAAGTGTGAGTAAAGCAACATATAATCATAAATCTATCTTTTACTCATCATTCTTTCACTTATTATATTTATTGTGATAGGTGAAATCGAGTTATTTTACTAAAGAAAATGTCTGCAACTATATTCAATCAACAAACTAATTCTCCTAGTGTAATACGTCGAACACCAATGTCTAACGAAGATACTAGCAATAATTCACAACGTGCTGCTAATCGACGTAGCTTAAGTGATAAACTTCGAAATTTATTTCGTAAGGATTCTACATCACCAAATCGTTCAGCTAGTAACGATAGACGTCCGGTAACAAAACCGGTGCGTCAAACTTCGCCATCGCCTGAAGCACCCGGCCTACAAGCACCAACGGTCCACTGGCCATTCAGCAAAAAGAAAGCGAAAGTAGCAGCAACGACAAGTACATCTACAACTAACAAAAAAAAGACAAAAGATGGCCGAAAGACAAAACAAACTCCAGCAACATCTATGGAAATATCAAGTCCAATCTATGTTCAAGATAATCGAACAGCAATATATGGTCAAAATTTTGTTCCTCGAACTCCAGAACTTGTACATGGCAGTTATGAAGGAATACAAACATCAACAAATTACGATGGTAAAACAACAATAGAGCCTCGTAATTATACAGTGGTAGATGAAACTCGACAATATCAACAAGTAAGCTCATTAACAAATAAATCGTTTCTATTTTGTTTTGTTTGTCGAAATATTTTGCCTACATTCTTCCATCAAATCAGTGAATAATTTGTATTGCTATTAGAATAACAATAGCAATAACAACAACAATCAACATCAATCGATCGTCTACCTAATCTTTCAATATTGATTGCTATCGAATGCCGAATGTATATGCGCATGCGCGTGTGTCTTATTTGCACTTTATTTGTCGTTGTCTTTCGAATCTTTTGTATTGGCATTTCAACATGACATTTGTTCGAATAAGCGTCTGATGAAAGAAAAGAAACGAACGAAATTGCTTACACGTTAAAAAACACTTGATAACTATATATACATATACATATATTTATATGGTTATGATGAAAAAGCTGTTTATTTAGTGCAGATCTAAAAAATACATTAGACTTGAAGGGGAAGTTGTAAATGAAATACCTTTTTCTTTCCTTCTTATCATTTGTCTATTCCATTTTCTTGACAAAAGAATAAAAGATAGGAGGGAATCGAAAAAAAACACCCAATCAAGATCATATTTGACTTAATGTTATTATTTTTATTTTTATTTTTCGTTAAAGGTAGTTGCACCTGATGTCGACGTTTTTATACCTTCAACATATACATCTAACCGTAGTCCTTCGCCACCAATGAATCGTCAACGTTTACCAAATTCAAATAGTGAGTATCGCTATCAAAACGATAGTGTACTGCCATCAATTAAAATTCCATTGGCAGACGTTGAAGTTATGCATACACCTCAACGAAAACGTAAAGTAGGGGATACTCCACCATTGATGAGCACTCCAAGATTAGCTGAAAAACCTCCCGTTTTCCCTCAAACATCATCTCGGCCCCCATCAACATATAATAATAATAATAATATTAATATGGATACACGTGCGGCAAGATCAACATCGAAAGATAACGATGCTCCGAAATTGAATGCTCCTTCGATAAGTCTTGGCAGTACACCAAATAAGAAAAAAACGAAACGTACAAAATCGCAATCGCGTGCTGATGAAATAAATGGATCATCATCAACTATTAGTAATCTGGTAAGAATAAATCCTGTACAACCAAATCGAGCATGGTCTAGTACATATGGATCCTTACCTGATGCTGAAATTATTCCGGATAATGGTTTTAATTCATTCAAACCATCTAAAAACACCTGTAAGCAATGGTAAATTGCATATAAATCTTAAAAATTTTTCTTTTTCTTTTTCACAGCAAACAAATATCCCGGATTGAGTGCTATTGTTTGGCATCATATGCGCCCTGCGCCTATCTATCATCGTGAAATTCCGCCTATAACAACAACAACAACAACTCCTAAACGAACACGACGTTTCGAGACATCAACTACTACATTGAATGAATATGGCCAAAATGAACCATGGACACATACGACAGCGAAAGATACATCAACATCAACTTCTAATCTTCAACGTTATGACGGTTATATTCGACCAATGTCTCCACAACAACCTATTGTTTCAGTCGATATCAGTGTGATTCAACTAGATGCTGATGACTTACGCGGTGTACCATCTCCATCTCCAGTGCGACCATTACGATATGAGTCTCCTGAACCTCCTGGAACTTATCGTAGTTCAAAAACAATCTATACTCGAGACAGGAAACATGTTGGCTGTGGTGAAATTCGAACATGGAGTTCTCAAGATATTAACACTAATGATAATCGTCCGGATATGTATAAAAAACCATATTCGTTTGTTGAAGCTGAACGTACAAGTGAAAAAAGAAAAGATGAATATGAGCATCAAGTTGTACCACCAGAAAAGAAAAATAATTTTGATGAATATCGGTACAGCCCACGAGCTCATGAACAAAATCTTTATGAAAAACAACAGCAAATACTTGATGATAATGACCAAGAAATGGAAGAAGAAAGATATGAAGTATCATATGTATATGATGATCAAAATCAATCTACATATGCAGCAAAAAAATATTATCATGAATCGCAATCGGCAAACCAATATTCTCGTAAGATAGAGAAATAAAAACATATTCTTTTTCTTTTCATTAATTTTCTTTCATTTCAATAGATGGTATTGGTGGTATTAACAATTTGGTTTCTTCAAATCCAATAGCAATAATACAATCATCGCCCATACCCGAACGAGGCCAAACTTATGAACAGTCGTCTCGTTCATTTATGTCTAATGAATATGCACAGGGTAATAAAGCTTGTAATGTATAGCAAAATACTTACGGTTTGATATTTGATGTTTCTACAATTCGTTTTTTTTTGCCCCGAATAAAAAATCAATTTAAAAACTCTTCTTTTTGTATATTTAGAGTTTCTTTTAAAAGCGGCTCCTGTCGAAAACTCTAAACAAATTCCATATACTTGTACTTTAAAACGTACAGATTCTTATGATGGTCTTGGAATATTAATTTCCACTGATACTGAAACACGTGCAAATCATTTTATTCGTGAAGTCGAACCCAATTCTCCTGGTCACAAAGCTGGCTTACGTCCAAATGATCGTATTATTAGTATCAACGGTGTTAATGTTGAGAATGCTGATTTTAACAATGTTCTCATACTTATTAAACAAGGCTTAAATAATGATAACCTTCAGTTTTCTGTCATGCACGAACTGGACTTTATATGAACAAGAAAATTTCTTTTTTTTTTCATTTAAACATTTATTTCTTATTGTTCTAAGAGTTTATATCTTGTTCTTTGTTTTTTAATCCATGTACAAATTAAAATAGAGAAGAATCTTTTCTTTTATTGATAAAAATTAGAAAATATATTATTCTTTTAAATTAGTAATAGGAAGAAAAAAATCAATAATATGTTTTTGTTTGATATTTTATTCTATTCTATTCTATTCATATGTTATCCAAAATTGATTTCACATAAATGCATAGATTCAAGCGTTTTGTTCTTGTTCGAAAATATGTAAATATCTAAATGGCAATATAGTTTCTCTTCATTTTAAGTATCTCTCATAGCTACGTATAGATCATTTTGAAGGTAAAACTAAAACAAAAAGAACGAAAGAAGATCCAAAGAACAAGAAGAGAGCAGATGCTAATGATTGATAACGAGAAAACGAGAAGAACTAATTGTCATCATTTACTATCCCGCGAAACAATTATTGTGTGAGCGTGCATTGTAGCAGACAGTAGCTTTTGTTGTTGTTCCTGCTCTTGATTTCTTTCTTCGTTCGATACCTAGCTATCGTGACTAGTAAGATGGCTGCTATATTTCACAATCGTACTGTATCGATGATTGTAAGTTATATCTTTATATTTAAAACTAAAAAGAGATTAGCTATTAAATTTCTTTTAATTACAGCTCATGATTCCTGATATTACAGTCAGAACACCATTATTATCATCATCGTCATCATCACCTGTCATTGACAAAGTCAATCGAACAGATATTGATCAATCATCGAACATTGATAGTACTTCTTCAATGCCTGTCTATCATGGATCTATTGTTCGTATTGAACAACATATTGATGATGAGAATACGTCGGATTTAATTATTCGTGTACCAAATTTTCAATATTTATCACTTCCGTCATATAGTACTGATAATAAACAGTCAACTATAGTTAAACGACGTGCTCCTATATGTCCTATTCTCAGTAGTACTAATCAATTCAATAGTCTTGATTTGTCAAATACTACGAATAATGTGAATAAGTCAAATTTAAGTCAAACAAGAGGAGTAACAAGTACAAATCGTTTAGCTACCGGTTTACGCAGTTTAAGTCGAGCATTTGCCTATAATTGTAAGTCGAAACGATCATCTACTATTGATGAAATAAATATTCCGCCAACGCTTCCTGATGTTGAAGTAATGAAAGAAAAACTTGATTTACCAATAACATCGAAAAAATCTACAGAACATGAAAATTCAACAACATCATCGAGACCAAAATTAATTGCACCAAAAATATTATTTATTAAAGGAAAACATCTTAAAATAAAAAATCAATCATCATTATCACCACCACCAATTTCTATCGATACACAAATCGATCATCAAAATAATCGAAAAATACCATCGGCAATAATAACAACACATTATTCTGATGTTAGCAAAGGTCATTCACCCAAAAAAACATCATTTATCGAACCATTGATCGAAAAAAATGGTTCGATTAGACAAATAAATAGAATAGAACGAATTGTTGATAACGAACAACAAAATAAGTCAATTGAATTAAACTATGAAGGTATAGTTAAGTAATCAGAATTTGGAAAGAAAAAATTTAAAAAAAAACGCTTAAATTTCATCATTATAGTAGATCAACAGTTGGCAGCCATAGCTCAACTTATTTCTGATATTCCATTATCATCTATCGATGCTGACTCATTGTCAACTCATCGTTATAGTACGATTTCTGCTATGTTACCTGATAAACAAAATTCTACAACAGATAATGATACCGAAGAAGTATCCTTATCAGAGCAAATAGCATCAATCTTATTTCCAACGTCAACTGGAATTTCATATGATTTTGATAAGAAACAAACAGCATCAATTATTCATGAAGTTTCACCAAAACCTCATCGACCATTTCGCATACAAACAAGTATTCTTCAGCCTGATATAAGTGTTATTCGTGTTGGAACGTCTAATTTAACAACTGGAACCGATCGCCCTTTACCTGGTGAACAACTTTTTAATAAAGAAACCGACTCTATAACAAATAATCAAATCGATATTGAACAAATGCAAAATGATAATAATCGAATAGGACAACATTCATCTACTATTATTCATTCCGATGAAGAAACATTTACTGAATGTTATGAAGTTACTTATCAAATCGATCCACGATATCAAAATCAACAAGAAGAAATTACAAGTAGAAATTATGTATGACTATATTTTCAAATCAGTGTTTTTTTCTTATTATTATTAGATCAAAAATTTGTTCCAATCGAAATTAATTTTGAATCATATGAAAATAGAGATCCAATGTCAACAGTAACAACATGGTTACCATTTATTCCTCAAAATGAATACGAACAAATAAAACACGACAACTGTACTAGTCAAAATGAACGAAAATATCAAAAAATTGAAAAAACAAAGCATAATTTTGAAAATTTAGACACAAGTCCAGCAGAACAACAAATATTAACAAGTAATATTCGACGAATAAAATTTCAGTCCATTGATGATCTATCACGTACTAGTAATGATCAAACATCCAGTATGAAATATAATATGATTACTTTTTGTTTTGTTACCTTAATCAATTTTTTCAGCATACCAATCTGAATCTATTTATGCTTCATCATCTTCGGAAAATTCCTCTCGACATTGTACTCTTCAGCGATCAAATTCTTATAATGGCTTAGGTATTTATGTTAGTACAGATATGGAAACACATCGTGAACATTTTATTCATCAAGTTGAAGAATTGTCTCCAGGTAAACACGCTGGATTGAAAGAAAATGATCGAATTTTGTGCATTAATGGTACACCAGTCATTGATGAAGATTATACTGTTGTCTTACAACTTATACAACATGGCTTACAGACTGATACATTAGATTTTGATGTTATTACAAATAATGCTTATGAAGAATTTAAATCACATATTGATCAACTTTATCAATGAATTATAGTAAAAAGAACAAGTTCGAACAAATCATTGAAAAATACACATGTTTTTTTGCATATGTTTAAAGAAATACTTTCAGCTTTCGATAGCTATATATATATATACCATAGAAAATGAATACAATAATCATTAAAATTGGAATTTCTTTTTCTTTTATCCTTGATGAAAAAATGAAAAAATTAACAAGTGGCAAGAGCAAAATATTACAAGGATTGTGCTATCTAGTTTCTTTTGAAATTTGACTAGACCTCATCAGTTTGTTTCGCTCTCAAGTTTTAATGATTAGTCGTAGAGCATAGAGAAAAGAAAAGGAATAATGATAGAATCAAATAATTGATTAGACATAAAAAATATAATTACTGAACGATTCATATGGATTGATTTATGTATTTGAAGATACATAGATTTTTATATTGATTGAAATAGTATGTAGAAAGAAAATGATACTCTTGAAATATTCAAATATCAAAATATGGTAATCACTAAGACATTGACGATTGATCGTATCTTATAATTTTGGTCATTATTATCAATTTGGAAAGAGTTGGTTCTAGTTATACATTACCAAAAGATTTCAACGTTTTGTAAAACTTTTTATAGTCTGAAGATAAATGTCGACAAAAAACCTCTTTTTGACATCTCTTTATTCAGTGCTAGCTATTCAGATAGAGACACTTTCCAAGACTAAATATTTAGAAAAATTTATCATATTTGCATGTTCTACGTGATATTTTCAACACGAAAAAGTAACACATGTTAATTTTATCCTCTTTCCAACTTAGGCATCCCAGGTCGAACTCGTACGGCAGGAAAACACCGGACATCACTAGAACGTGGAAGCAGTATTCCGGTCGAACATTTTTTCCTGTGAATTTCAAGCGATTTCCTCTGCTTACAGGCGGGAATCGATTGGAAAATCACCGGAAAACAACCGAAAATTTCCGGTCGGAATACTGCTTCCGATTCTCGCGATTTCCAGTGTTTTCCTACAGGATATGGTAGGTTTTCCCGCAGTATCCGCTCTCCGGAATCATTGACCTGGGATTAGTCGGAAATTCTAAGTTTCTTGTAATTATAGTAGTATAGAGTGCAATGCTATGCATTTTTCAGTTTCGGATATTTATTGATCTTCAGCATTGTATTTTATTGATGCAAATGTGAGCACAAAAAATTGCAAGACAATTCTAATTTAACTTTTGAACGTGATAAAATTCTTCCTCATTTTTCTGAGCAATACCCGAATACGTTTGAATTATGAAGAACTTGCTTACATGCATTTTAAAATGCAATTGATTAAATTTAAATTACATTATTTTAAAAATAGTTTTAAAAATTTTTTCAACATGAAAATGAATGGATACCTATATAATAGACTGATCTGCGTCATATTATCAAAAGATGTCGTTGCTAATTTACCACCATGTCATATCAAAAAGAACGTTATATTAAACCAATCATAACGTTTGACTCAATTTCCTCCATCTTCCATGTTTTTTGTCGGATCCACTATTTCGAGAAAAAAAAACAATAGTAAACATCCATACAACCATTGTATTCGAAGCTTTGTCTTTCTAGTATCTATCGAATATGGCCGAAGCTTCTAGTGAAGATGTAGACTCTAATACCAATGCTCCAGTTTCCGTTCCAATCAATTATCCAGGCCCAAGATCTGATGTTCGTTATCCACTAAATACACAATATTGCGGCGGTCAGTTTCTTATTCTTTCGATTGTAATGAATTACTTATTCGTTCAATATATCCTACAGAATGTACTCTGCCACTCGAATATTGCGAATATGGACCTGGTAATTAATTGAAATCTTGTACTAGTTTCGACTAAGTTTATTTTCTTTTTGTTCCAATCTGATTTTAGACCCTGAACGATGTCGTGAATGGCTTGAACGAACATTACCAGATTTATTAAATCAAATGCAAGCTTCAGGTTCTGGAGATGATAAGGGCGGTGAAAAGAAAAGACAAACTCGCGGCGGTAAAGGCATGCCAAAAGGAAAGAAGAAAAGTGAAGCTCAAAAAATTATACTTAATAAACAGCAAAGAAAAGGAAATAAATTTGTCACTATTGTTCAAGGTCTCGCTTCTAATGGTACGTAGAGAAATTTATTCTCTTCGTTCAACTAATATCTAATTATCTATTTCTAGAAGTTGATATAGAATTAGCACGGAAGTTTTTTGCACAAAAGTTTTCATGTGGTTGTTCGAAGTCGGGCGATGATGAATTAACAATACAAGGTGATGTTGTTAGTGAACTTATTGATTTGCTGCCAGAAAAATGGAATCAGGTATTTGAACTGTTTTTTTGATTTATTAAAAAGCAAAATTCTTCTTTTGCTATTTATTGTTTAGATTAATCCTGAATTAATTGAAGATAAATCTTGAATATAAATTGTTGTATTTTTGTTGTACGATGAGACGAAATATTGTTGTTATTTATGTTCTTGACTTTTCGTGCAACATTGTACACATATTTCTTATTTGATTTTAGATATTTCTTGTTATTCATAGCTTTTCATTTTAAGTTACTAAACCAAACCAATGGCTAAAAGCAAAAACCATACCAATCATAATCAGAGTATAGAATTGAAATGTCACAAAAACTCAATTATATATTATTTTTTTTATTAAATAGATAAAAAGGATCATCGTAATGGAATCAAGCGACCACAATCGCAACGATTTCCATCCTTAAGCGGAGTATGTGCATCGAAAAAGAAAAGTTTCATTTGAACTTAAATTTAACTTTAGGTTGATCCAAAATATGTTCGTAATTTAAAATTTACTAAACATCACAATCATGTTGCACGTAAAAATTTACTTAAAGTACGAAAAGCCAAAATAGCCAGTGGTACTGCTTCAGCAGGGAAAGTAGTTAAACGAGTTGCTCGTCAAGTTGAAGTCAAGAAATCATCATCATGGTCACTTGCATCATTATTGAAAAATGTCGCCAAATATTTTCCTGGTGAATCGACAAACGCTGTAACAAAGAAACGTACCAAACGTACACATCCAAAAAAGAAATCCGTCAAACCAGCTACAACTGCTAAAGCAACAACAACAACTGCTAAAGCAGCAACAACAACAACTGCTAAAGCAACAACAACAGCTGCTAAAAAATAAATGTTCAGTTGTTTTGATTTTGTGTATGAACATATCATTCCTTTAATGATCATGTTAAAGCACGTTTGAAAGAAAAGAATATGATAAAAATAATAAAAAAACCATCTACAAGAACAACGCTTGTTTCTTTCTTTTAAGTCGATTTGTAGATAAAAGAAAATGAATACAGAGATATATCCACAACAAAATAGATGCTCAATATGTTCTCGTATTTGTAAGTTATAGTTTGAAATGAAAAAGGGTCAAAACAAAGTCCTGTTTTAGTTTTAAACAAAAAGATTACAAAGCGAAATCCTTGCGAAAAATATTTGCTACAGTTCTTGATTGACTTACAAGAGAACATAGGCGATCAAAATAAAATTGATGAACATTTTCGTAATTCGATTTTTGATGATGAAGATGATATTAATCAAACATCTTGTACTGGTTTAACATTGATGCATATTAATATTCTTGGTGGTGAGTGTGCATGGTGTTGACCACTATTCATTCGGTCCGTAGAGTTTTTGTTCTACAAATATTTTACCTTGCATGGCATATTGTGAACTATATCAATAAATTGAGAAAAACACTCGTTTGCTTTCCCTAATTGATTGCTTGTTCTAATATTGTTGAATTAAATTAGGTCGAGAAGATTCTTCTATAAATGAAACTGAACAAGAAAATAATATGTTCACTCCACCGTATGATGAATTGATAGCATTTGATATTTGTCAAATTCTTTTAAAACGTGGCGCTTCATCAAATGGCAATGGCATTTATGAAATGCGTCCATTGCATATTGCTATTCGACGACAATGGACACGAGTCAGTCGACTTCTGTTAGAAGCAGGTAGATTAAATAAATAGTAGAGTATAAAATATTCAAGGGGTGGCTCGACAGTCTCTGTTCATGAGTTATTTTTGATACAAACAAGATAGAGAATCTCATATTTCAACGTTCAAAAGATATTTCAATAGTCAGTCGATTGAGTCACAATCCAAGTATCGGCCTATGGACATAAGAAAGATACTCATTTTCGTATTAAGATCACCAATATATTGAAGCTTTCAAAATAAACTAAACGTATATGATTTCAACCAACACATACTAAAACTTTATGTTGTCATCAGTATTAGAAATGCAGACCTAAAATTAGTCACTGAGAATATGGACATGGATTTTTAGGAAGAAATTTTAATTAGAATTCAGTAAGTGCTTTTGCAGAAGTTTCACTGACTAACGGTGTAACCATCAATAAATCTATATATTGAGATAATCTCTGTCTGGCGTTGAAGGCGGAGATTTTCTACCAATAATAGTCCACACAACAAGACTAGTGAACGACTATTTGGGTGGTTCGTGTATGTCGAACATTTTTTTGGTAGGTACCAATTCAACTATTCCTGAGAGAGATATATATGGTTCTCGACCAATTGATATTGCCGTACTCAATGACGATCCAGAAATGATTGAAGTACGTTTTTTTGTTTTGGATTCCTTTTTTTTTCTATAGTTGCACATTATCAACATTTTTCAATATACATAGTTACTTCACAAATATGGTGCATCAGTCAATGGATTAGAATCAATGTTCTATCTCTCACCACTCTCTGAAGCATTTATTCGAGGATATTTTGATGCATTCAAAATTCTACTAGAACTTGGTGCTAAACCAGTATTAAGTCTTGATCGAAATACACTGCGTTCATTCAATACACAGTTATTTGGTATGGGTACAAAAGGACGAAAACATTTTATACAACTAATGTATGATCATGGTAATACTGACTGAAGAATAAAGTGTTGCAGATAGATACGAATAATATTTAGGAGGCAATATTGAAGCTCAGTTCAGATTATATGCAATACGTTGTGAACCAGATGGAATTCTACTGCATGAACCTCGTCTACAATTTAGCTGTGATATTTTTTGTATTGCAGATATTGATCCACGAATATTTCAAAGATGGATTTGTAAGTCATGAATTTATTATCAATCAGCATTGATTGAAGTACTTTATTAGGTGAATCTCGTTCATTAAAAGAACTTTGTCGTTTAACTCTTCGTCGTTATTTTTTCAATTCATTCAACGACGGTTTTAAACGTCTTTCATCTCTTGAATTCGGAGGTCAATTAAATACTCATTTGTATAATTTTATTATGTTTAATAACAAAACATAACTCTTTTCCTTTTTCGTGCGAATATTATCGTATTTTACCTTTTGATTCATTCATTTACCTACTCTCGAAATTTATACAATACATCCAATATTTTTGTTCCTAGTTATTTTTTTACGATAGAATCTGAACAATCACGGTTGAATATAGATTTTTTATGAATTTGGATCATAACAAAGCTAAATAATTCATAGAGAAAATACCATATTGTCGATTAAAATAATAAATAAATCGATTAGGGTGAACACAAGGATGGCTACCATTTTGGGTGGCAATCGGTTTTTGCTTTAAAAGCTATTACAACAACATTTTAAATAATTTTTTAAACCTAATAAAATTAAATACCTAAAACCTATATCGTGTTGAAATCAACAGGTAATGATGATATCTTTTTCTACATCTTTTTGCATCAACGTCTGATCGTTGACATAATACTTTTATCATAGGGTTATATTGTTCAATTTTATGCAACTACTGCTAGAGCGTAGATCATCAACAGTTTAGTATCCTTAAAACTTGTTTCTCGTATAAAATGATTTAACTGACAACCTTCATAGTAGTAGATATTCAATAATATTTTAAATCAAACTATAAGTGATACATATTCTTTCAATGAAACTATATTATTATCATACTTATGTGTTCTATAACGTTCATCTTATAGAATTAACTACTAATTCTGAACAAGCGTTGAATGGAACACGAAAACATTACACAAATATTCATCATACAATGCTTGTAAAAATCCTGAACAAACAACTCTTGAATTTTATTTTTACGTTTTCTTATCCAAGAACTAATACATGAAACAATAAGAGATAAATGAGAAAAACACAAAATAATCTAAGTATTAATCTCTATTTACACAAAAAATAAATGATCGGAACATTTTAGAATATCAATTGCCAGCTGTATCTTTGTTCATAATATACACAGTAAAAATGGAAATAATCTGACAAAAGATAATCACATAATTAATTATTTTGAGTGTTGGCAAGAGCTCGGCGGCGTTCTATGTATTTGGCAACATTCCACTCTTGACTCTTTATATTGACATCACCGTTACATACAAATAATAATTTGATTTTTCTACTATATTTAAGATTTGGCAAAAGCTAAAAGTAAAAAATAAAAATATTGAAAGAGCTACTCAAATTGATATCTGTTATTTTGATTCATATGGACCGTAATAGAGATGCTCGGCTAAAGTTAGACAAAATTTTACAATTTTCATTGGCGATGACAATGAATGTTGTTATAATTTGACTAGGCTTGCTCAACTATTCTTATATATTCAGCAACAACTCAATAAGCAACTTTCGATTCAATTAGTTTTCTCTTACTTTAGGTGAAAGTAAAAAGTATTGTGAATTAGCTTTATCAGATGAATGTCTAACAAGTAATTCAAAAACACGTCGTTCATTTGTCGGATCCATTCCCTTAAACATTAAAAGTTAAATAAAGTAATAATTAAGAAAGAAAATTTACTTGATTTATTTCATCAACACATCGAAATGGACAGATTGTCATATTTTGTAATGCAATCATATATAACATAACTGATACACTTTTTTCTCCTCCACTTTGTAAAAATTCGCTCTTAAAAGTTATTAAATTAAATTAGAATTATTTAACGGATTCAATTTTTTACCATTTCATGCAATTTTTCTCCATCACGAAATTGTACCTTAATATTAACGCCATATTTTTCAAAATCTTTCTAAATCGAAAAGGAGTGAAATCTTAAAAAAAAGTAGACCAATAAAAGAAAGTCTTACTGCGGATTCAGGAATGTCTAGACAAACTTGACCTTTACAACCCATGGTATTAAATAAATCAACGAATTTTTCATTGATATCATGAATCATCGTATTAACTTCATTTAACCATTTATTTTTACTTGTATCAGCTGTTATTTGTCCTTGTTTTATTTTAATTTCAAGGTCATGAATACGATTTTCGAATTGAGTTAATTTCGCTTTTTCTAGTTGATATACACGAATAACCTTTGAGAAAAAGGAAAAGAATATCACTAGCCAAATAAAAATACATCAATTTTTGTCACGTACATCATCTTTAATATTTCCTTGGCAACTAAGTTGAGCGTTAAAATTCATTATTTCAGATTCTAAATCAGCTAAATTTTTTGGAAAATCAGCGAATTTTGTTCTTAATTCTTGAATCATTTTATTTGGTAGAACAATATTATCAGGCGGAAGAGTTTTATCTAATGATTTCACAACTTTTTGTGCAGCAAGTCGTGTTGATGCTTCACTCATTTCTAAACGTTTTTTCGAGTTGATTGTTTTTTCCTAAAAAAAAAAGAATTCCAGTTAAAACAATAGTTTTAATCATTAATCACTGTTTTTTTTTGCTAACATTAAATATCTAGCATTGATCTATCCAGACAACAAGACAATCAAAATCATGATTATATTAGTATTTCTGACAAAATGAAAGAGTAATTTTATAGTTTAATGAAAATCAAACAGGCTTAATTAGAGTACATAAAATATCACGAATATTTCTGTGTATCCAATGTTTAGATTCTCAAATAAAAATTTGAAGATTGTCTAACACATTTTGCATGATTTGATCTTTATGTAATGTAATGTTCATATCATTCAGAATAAGAGAATATATAAAAGAAACATACTTTCAATTGTGTTAATTCGTCATTGTATATTTCAAGTTTTCCAACAGCTTGAAGATTTTGTTGTCGGGCAAGAGCTACACGACCGCTATCGATTATCATAAGATTACATTTTTTATTGAAATTCTAAATCGATAAGAAGATCTTTTTATTGTATATTTATCGATTGATTTTATTTATTCATATAAAATCACCTCAAGTTCTTTCACTTGCGCATTCAATTTATGCATTTTATCTTCATGAATTTTCATTTCTTTTTCATGTGCTATTTTTTCTTCTTTTTCAATATCAATTTGTTTTTTTTTATACGTGTTTAAGCTAAAGAATAACGTTCAATATTTTATTTCTTGTCTTTTTTTTGCAATTATCATACGTATGTTTTTTTTCTTCAATTTTACGTTCTAGTTTAGCTTTCATATTACGTTTATCAGTAATTGCAATCTTAAGAAAAGAAAAACAAATGCGTCAAATTAGTATTACTCGTCGTATTTTACATGAACATATATTTTACCTTTCGTGCCTTAACATCATCAAGATTGCGAGAAAGACCATTTTGTTCTTTTTCATATGCTTGCTGAGATTTTTGTAATTCATTGCAACGATCTTTCATTTGCTTAAAAGAAAATATTAAAAATTTATGAAGAAAATCTTTTATATGTAGATCTTAGCTTTTGATTAAATATATATTTCAAATTGATATATGATCTTTTAAATATCTTCTATTAGAGAACTAAAAACAACCCTAACATTTACTCAAGATTGAATTAGTCAATCACAATATATTTATAAATATCAACTTATGTAGGAAGTTGTACAAATAAATTAATCTTTTATATTTTAAACAATATACAACATTCTGCTAACTCGGAGTCTAATTAATTTATATTTAAAGAAATTTGAATCTTTTCGTTATCCCTATTGTCAGATGCGAAAGCGATCAAGGCATGTCATTGGTATAGCTCATAAAGTACTGGCAAATTTGATATTTTTATTCCAGTTTAGGATCAAATGAAATGATTTTAGTCATAAAAGAATTCACTTTCTACAGACTTCTATGTTTGAATTTAAAAACTATCTTTCCTATTGCGTGTAAGCAGAACTACAATCTTCAGATAGAAATACTACTAAGAATTCGACATTTTCGTAGCAATAAGATAAGAAATCTAGTTGTTTTTCAGAATACTAGTAATTGATTAGAATCTATAGGATAAGTATTATCCCAATGAAAAAGTAAGAAATCTAATAGAAAAATTCTCTCCTTCCTTGCATAGAGTTTAAATATTTTTGAATCAATATCTTCTGATGAATTTGGCTCAAGTGTTGTAACAGCTGTTATCTTTTTTCCAAAGAATATTCTATCTGACTGAACTCATCAAACTACATAAATAGTCTTATTTTCAATTAAAAACAAAGATTTACATTTAAGATTTTTCCTCTCCAGTTAATTATTTCAGTCATAAGAAAATTTTCATACCTGATGTTCTTGTTCAAGTTTTTGTTTTCGATCATGACTAACACTATCCGTTAAATATTTTTCTTTTTGTACATGAACATTAGTCGTCGATGGTTCTTTTGTATAATATGAAATCGATAATGAATACTGTAAAACAAAATTTTTATCATAAAATCAAAGCTAACTAAATAAAATATGTGAACGTACACAAAAATTCTTCACGAAAAATCTTCGAATTTTTTCATCTTTTGTAATATCATCCATTTTCGTCATAGATAAATCATTAGCAATAGGTAATGTATGTATTTTAGTAGTTTGACATAGATAACGTAAAATTGCATCTGGTCCTTGTACTGCATCGATAACATATTGAAACATGCCATATTTTTTTAAATTATCTATTGGTGTCGCTTCACGACGGAATTCTTCTAGTGACATGACTGGAATGGCTGAACCGTGTACAACTAATTTCTGTTTTTCATGGCATTCTTTAATAAATAATTCCATATCATCTGTATCCTGTTTTTGAATAAAAAGAGAAAAGCAACGAATAATTGAACTGAATCGAATTGAAGTTTCTTTTTACTTCAAAAATAAACATTGCTAAAAGATCACGTTTTGGAATAACAAATTCAACATATTTCATCATATTTGGCTCATTAACATTTAACGACAGAATCATTGGTTCATAGACTGTTTTTCGAAAAAGCATTTTATTTTGACGAAGCCATTTAACAGCTTTCCATGCATCGGGATTTTGATGTTGTAAATTAACTAAACGAGTTTCTTGAACATTATTTATATGATCAAGTTCACGTTGTTTAACTAAAAATAGGATTGATTTAGTTTAGTTTACTTCCGGAATATCCTCGTTGAGATTTACTTTGTATATCTTGTTGAATTCGACGCACTTCATCAATTACTTGCTGATGTTTATTCGATAGTTGTGCTTGTTGCTCACTAATTCGTTTTCGTTCTTCTTCTAGTTTATTCCATTCAGCCTAGAAATTTAAATTTAAATTCAACTAATGAAATTTTATGTATATGGATCTTTTTATTCTAACTTGTAAATCTTCTTGATCTTGAGAATTAACGTCCATTGAATCAAATTGTTCTTCGAGAGCATTTATTTGTTGTTCAACATCTTTACACGATTCAATGCGACGTTTTTCTTCGTCTTTCTTGTGGCGAAGTTCATCACGAATTTTTTCAATCAAATCATCACTTTGCTCAGATATAGCATTTATGTCTTTGTTTAATTTATTTTTTAAATCAACTGATTCTTTATACTAAAAAGAAATGAAAAATATCTAATTTTCAAAACAGAACCTTTTAAAAAATGGATTCAAACATGATAATTTTTTGATTGAGATAAAATAAAATGTCTTCCCTATTTATTATTGACTAAAGAATTCATATAATGTTTCTGCCAGAATACTTTACTGCAAATTATTAGTTAAAAATGATAAGTCTTATTACATTGTTAATTGATAATGATTATAGCTTTATGAATGCATATTTACTTCAAATTATTTATGCTTTTATGCTAAATAAGTTGATATCATTTTCTATGGTCAATAAATTCATTGAGATCTTCTTCTAAAGTCTGAATAAAAGAAAATCGACTTATATTTTATCTCAGTTTTCTAATTTTGAAAAGATAAATATTTATTATCGATGACAGAAAAATATACCATATCGAACAGTGAACGCTCACACTAGATAAAATTCTAAATGCTGACATTTCTGTCGTTAGATGAAGAATACTTGAGTGAATAAAAGAATTTTTCAGATATAATTGAAAAATTATCGTCGTATATTGTTTATAGGTATGATCGAAAATATTGAAATACAAAAACCAAACTCTCGACTCGTTGATTTATTTCGATAGTAAAAAATGATTAAAGTATGATCGATACTTGTCTACGTTTTCTATAGATTTTATTCATTGTTACCAATCAATCATGTCAGTGACATAAGATTACAAACGTTTAATTTCTTGTATATTTGGTTTAATGAATCTTTTTTTATTATGATCAGTGATTTATTATTTAAATTCAACTGTAAACGTATCAGAAACACAGAACTCCATATGCTAAATATATTTGAAGACTAAACTTTTTAAGTTTTATCATAAGTGGAAAAATCTACTATAGCTAATGAAGCGACGATACCGGTAAGAATTTAAATAACAAATTACTAATTCAGAAATATAAAATTTTACCATTGGCAATACGAACGTGATCGCCTAAAGGATTTAACATTATAAATCATTTTATACTCATATGACATTTCTACAATTCCGTATTTTGCTTTGTGTAGCTATGCATCAATCGACAATATTTTAAAAAATTCTATGGAAATATCCAAGAAATCATTAATTTAACTTTCGCAATAAACTTAAATCAATTCGATTTAGTTAACATTTTAACTACTAATTAGTTTCATATACTGATTAGCAGCATGAAGAAGAAAGTCTATTCTATTACAGTGAGGATAGCGTCTATTTACTGAAATAAGTATACAAATAAGAATTCAATCTTTCTAATCATACTTTAGCTTTAAATGACGTTTGAGTTTTTTCTAATTCAACTTTTGATTTCTTAATTTGATCTTGCATTGGTTTTAATCGATGATTAACTTCTTCAACCTTTTTCTTTACAGCCTCAAATGCTTTGGTAACATTTTCATGATCATTAATTTTTTCTTCATAATCCTATTCATACAAAGAATATCATAGTTTTATATATGTCTATGACAGAAATTGTATACCCGAAAATATTTGCATTTTGTATATTCACCAATTTTAGCTTCAAGATCTTTTCGACCTTGTATTGCTTGAACATCTGGTTCCAGATGTTTTAATGCTTGTTTACATGTTGCTGCTTGATTAAGTGCTTCATTTAAATCGACTTCAAGAGTACGTGTTTCTTGCCCTAACGTTTTAAGCGATTTATGAAGCGAATAAAGTTCTTCTCCACCAACCTATTCATATATTAAAATAATATTTAAAAATCGAAATTCAAAATACACAAAAGCAAAAACTGACGCATTTTTCAGTATTTTCCAGTAAATCACATTTCGACATATTTGTAAATTCAGCTACTTTTTCTTGTGGTAAAAATTGGCATAGATTATCAACTTGTATATGAAGATTTTTCATTAAGTCTTTGATCTGTTCACAAAACAAAAAGTATAAACAACTTAATTGTGCTCTAGACAAAGAATATTTACAGCTGTTTCTGTAGTTGGTTTCCCATTAAGTGTCCATTTACTAGCACTATGTGTGTGAAGTGTTCGATTTACAATCCAATTTGAGCCTCTCTCAGTATTATTTCTATGTCAAAAAAAAAACAATATTCTCAGTTCATATAAAAATTCTAGTTTCACTTACAGCTCGATTTCAATCATGCCCTTTTCATTGCCTGTTTTAATGTAATCACCTATATTACCAGCTCGGCCAATAACTCGTGGATGACCAGCTAGACCAAGACAAATAGCACATACAATCGATGATTTTCTATAATTAAAAATAAAATAGATTAAATTTGAAAAAAAAACAATTTTTTACAGAACATACCCACTACCATTTGGTCCAATGATCACATTAAGACGTGGCCCAGGATAAAGTTCAACTTCTTTATATGTCCTAAACAAAATATTGATTAGTGATGTAATTGTCATGAAGCAAAATATTTTACATAAAATTTTCCAAACGAATTCGTACAATAGCACCATGAGAATGTTTGTGACTTGTACTTTGTGTTAGAGTTGCGGACAATGAATCATTTAGATTCGATTGATTTTGTGACTGATCTTGTGTCATCTAAAATAGAGATAACTGAAAAATAAAACTCGCTTATAAACGTCATATAGTGAATTCGTTTTGAACAGAAAGAAGAAAAACAATGGTCAGTCGTTAACAACTATATATTATATGCGTACGTGAGTGACATGAAAAACGAATATCATTGGGTTTGTATTCTATCAATAGGAGAAAGTTCGAATCCAAACGACACATGTTTTACAATGAATAGTTTCCGTCGATAAAAACAAACAAAAAATAATTGGATGAACTGAAAGTTTTCAGTGGAACTGTTTGGTCAGGAAATTCATGCAATTAAAACTTATTTTGTGTAGTACAGACTACATTTAAACAATGATTCATCTAATCACTTATATTTTCTCGAGAAATAAATTTCGTTACAAACAGTATTATGAATATTTCGTCTTTCATCATCATTCAACATAAATAGACTTTGATATATTAAGATTTTTTGTATATTTGCTGACTTGCTATGAAAATAAGAATCATGCACGTAAGTTCGATCAACGTTATTAAAAACAATCAAATGTTTAGAGAAACACAACGCTATATCGAAAGAACGAGATTGAATTTGTTTATCTGAAATAAAATAATAACAATATGCAGTACAATGGCTGGTACCTTTAGCTTGTGAAAAAAATCTAGTGTAGAACTGCTAAAGATATTTAACAACGCTCAATAATAATAGAGTTTTGACTCGATTTTCTTTCCAATTGTAGACTGTGAAAAGATAAGTTTTGAATTTGATGTTGATTCACGATCTTTATCTGTCTAGATTGTTATTCTAATTGTTTGTACGAAAAGTCATTAAGGAAAAAATTGAAACGAAATCGGTACATCAACTAGTTGGAGCTATGGTTTGTATCTATATCAGGATTGTGACTTGTACTTTACTTAATATGTAACTTCACAAGCAAACAGCTAGACAAAACAAATTTCTAACTAAAATAAATACGCGATTTTAATTTTACTACTTAAGGTAATACAAAACGAAATAAAAGAAGTTAATTTCAAGTTGTTGTTCAATTTATTATGACTCGTGAAATTTTCAACGTTGTTTAGTTTATCGTTTATTTTCATTTGAACAACAAAATATTTAGTATCATGAAATAAGAATATGATTTTACATTTAATCAAGCTGAAAAGACAATAAATCTTGGCATTGAAATAAACGGCTAGTTAATATAAGTAGACAAAACAATGATCATTTGTACACAAAAAAAAGAAGTCATGTTATTTTATGGCGATCTTTCACGGCGCCGACGATGCCGAGATTCTTCATCATCACTATCATCATTTCGATGTTTTTTTGAACTAAATAAATAATGTAAAGGCAATGTTTTTACGAATCAATTCAACTTACTGTTTATGACTGCTACGTTCTTTTGTAGGTTCTTCTGGTGTTGGTTTACGTTTTTTATCATCATCAGACTTATGACGATGATGATGTTCTTCTCTCTCTTTCTTTTTTTCTTTCTCTTTTTTTGGTGGTTCTGGTTCTTCAGGTTTTTCATCTTGTATAATTCTATTCGAAACAAATAATAAACCCAGCATGAAAATTCAATAGAAACAAAAAAATTCTAACTTACGTATATTGTTTACTAACTAACTCGGCTTTACGACGCTCAATTTCTTTTGCTTCTTCAAGTTTTTGTTCAGCTTTTTTCTTTTTATCATATTCTCCAATACCAAATGCTTCGCGTAATTTACGATTTTTTTCATCGTTTGCTTGTGCCAACTGATGAGTTTCTTTTGCGCTGATGAAATAATTCATTATGTTCATTACAAAGAAATAAACAGAAGAACCAAAATTTTGACTTACACAGGTCGACCAAATTCGTCGTATTCAATGTCTGTTTTGTCGTAGAGTCCTTCACGTTCAATTAGCATTGTACGAAATTTTTGCACTTTTTGATTTGTTACGTCTTCGGCATATCTTAAGAAAACAAATCGAATCAATTATTTTAATTAAAAAAGAGCAGCTAAAAACTAACCCATTGTTTAACATCATATCACGCATTTCCATACATTTAACTTCGATTTTACGTTTTTTTTCATGTTCAAGGATTTCTGCGTTACCTTTTTTCTCAATTAAAGTTTCAAGTTTTTTCATATCAGCATCTTTAACGTATTCAACCCGGTCACGTTTTGTAGGAACAAAAGATAAATTTCTTTGAACATAACCATTTGTACCAGTACCACGTGGTGTTGTTATGCCAATGCCGTTATACATGATTATTTATCTGAAAACAAGAAAAAAAAATTTAAGAAACAAAACAAGGATAACAATAAATTAATTAGTTAAGCTTTTTTTATTTTTTATTTTATCAAGATCACGCTTTTCTACAGCACGTTGTTGTTTCTTTTTCATGCGTTTTATTTTTGCTGGATTTTTAATCTGAAATTGACAAAAAAAAACATTTTTTTTCTGTTTTTAATTAGTGAAAAAGAAAGAATTTTCACTTACGATCTGAACAACTTCACCTTTACGGTCATTAATAAGTTGTCGTTCTTTATTTTCTTTTTGTCGCTGTTTTAATTTCTGTATTAGACAATAGACGTATAAGAAAGAAATAAAAAGCAAGATTTTAGTTTTTGCTTACATCGCGCTTTTCGTTAACAACAGTCCACATTTGTTTTTCACGATTGCGAATTTCATTTAAATCAGTTTTCATTTTAATACGCTCTTCGTATGACACCTTGACAGATTTTGGTCGAGAAATAGCAGAAAATCTTAACGGAAAAATGTTTCGAACAATTAAATTTTAACTTTTACATGATCGTATTTACCTTCCTTTATTCATTTTCCAAGTTCGACCACTTTTAGGTTTACCTTTTGGAATAGCATGTAATCGTTCTTTTTCTTCTTTTGTAGATATTTCTGGATCCATCTGAAATAACAACAAAATGCAACTTACTACGTCTTTCAGTATAACACTGATGATTCAAAAAAGTATCATTATTATTGATGTTAGATTTGCAATGAAATCAATTTGAGAAAAACATTTACGCAAGATTCTTTTTTTGAGGCATGTCTGTTTGCGTCGATGATGAGTGTTCGTCTCTTCATCCTCTGAAAGAAGTAAACTATTCACATCCAATAACAAGTACACATTTGTGAAGAGAAAAATCGACAGAGGCCGCTATGTTCTTGCTACGCTAAAGTACATTCCAAAATTTAAATATTCTAATGAGAATACTAACAATTAAGTATCTTGTGCTCCTACTGAAATTGGCTGAGTACGAAATTCAGTATTCTCTTCGCCTATATTCACACTGTAACCCAACCGACCCATACCTACAAGGTGCACAATACAACTTGATGGATGTCCACATGTTACACAAGCGGAGTATCCGTACTGTAACATAATCGACCCATTCCCACAACTTGGAATACTATCTTCAAGTATTCTATCTTAGTTGTATGATGTTGAAAACAAAGGCATCATCGAATAAGGTTTTTTTTAATGAAAGAACGAGCTATAATCGAGATTCTTTGTATGACATTCAACCAAAAGAAAAAAATTGATTTTTATAAAAATATGTATTTTTGCTCGTAAATGACTATTGATAGTTTGGTGATCTTTAATACATATTAGTATTGTATATCTTCATGTATTGTATAGTTGCATTGTAAAAAACTTTTAGTTATTAGTTAAGAATTTCAGCATCAATATTTGGCATATGTTGAAAATCGTACAGTTCTTGTGGTTGTTCTCCAATACTTTCAAAATTGAGCATGTGCTTCTCTAAATCTATTGAGAGTTCTTTCGATAAATCGATGGCCATGGTAAAACATATGCGAGCTACTCCTTTAACATCATTATTGTACCCTTGTTCAATATTTCTTGCCATTAAGTTAAGCTTATCCAAGCAGCTATCCATGTCTTCAGAGAAGAAATCAAATATATTGTTCACTTAACTGTATGCTAGCAAAAGACAACATACCTTGGCGTTTGTGAAACGAAAGACAAGTTCAGTATCAAATCAAATATATGTGCGATCCGTGGAAAAATGTACTAATATCACAGCGTATGTATTAAATGTGTTTTAGTGGCTGTACCTTCTTGTCTTATAAACTTGCTCTCTTGTTCCCCTCTCTCCCGCTCGTTCTTCAGTTAGATAGAATGAATTTTACCTATACGGCTACTGCTACGCCTACGTCTACATCTACCGTAGATTATTTTACCTATTCTGCAACAAAAAAGCACACGTATGACGCATCTTTCTTTTCTCTCTTGAGTTTCACCAGTAAATCCATAACCAAGTGTTACAGATACAATTCAACATAATATTAAACTTGAATATTTTTTCATCTTGTTTTACACATAAGTTCTATGCCTTCTTTTTCTTCTCTGTTTTCTCTTCATAATTCATAACCATGTGGAGAACGAATCTTTGAAACGCAAAATTATTAGAAGGTAATGTTTATCTTTTCTTCATATCGAATGATGCCATTAGTCTCAGTTAAATATAAATATTAGGCTGAAATTCAATTTAATAATCTGGTTTACTCAAATACTTTGGCCAGATACAATTATTTTCTAACATCCTATTAGTGATCTAAAATTTCGCTGCTCGGAAAGTCAAACTCTTGAACATCTAGAAATTTTGATAAACCATTAGCAGGTTCGTCGATAAATTACAGATTCGATATCCAATTGATGAAAAAATCCTGAATCGATTTATGTATCACAAAATAAATCACATAAATTTTAGCGAAAAACTGCGAACGACTTGAATTTTTTTCTCTGAATGTTCATTCTATATCCTTAAAACTAAAATTCAGATCAAGATCAATTTCACTAGCAGGTAATGTTTCATAATCGACTAAGTATAAATATATGATCTGCGATTTATTCAACCTCAATAAGACATATTATTTAATACAAAATAATGTATATCAGGCGTCATTTTGTTTTATATTGGCTAATTTTCGTTAAAATTCATCTTATTTAACAGACTAAGATCTGCATATTGGGTCATCATTTCTCCCGATTATTAAAATAAGTTAAGTGGTGCTTCCATAGGTTGAATAGATTTCGATAAGATACCTGTAACGCAGTGCAAATATCTCGTACGTTACAGAAAAATTTTGCATACCGTTTATTATATAAATAGTTTCTTTTATTTTCTAACGTTCAACAAGAAAGAAAATGAAGAGTTGGGTGAATATTGAATAGTTTGAAGAAAATCATCCTATAAATTGTGACGCAATTCTAAACGAATAACTTAAAAAACGTTAGACACTGAAGGAGTGAGTCAAACGCTTGTATTGAATATTCTTTTACGATATGATAATAAATAACTCACATTTATCTATGTTGTCCTCTCGAATGTCGTTTTTTTCCCATATGACTTACAATGGAATATCAAAAGCATATAGAAATGAAAATTAGTAAATACATGTTTTCTTTGTACTGTGCGGCTATACCGTTCTTGATTAAATTTATTTCAGCAGCAAACAAGCAAACAATATTTGATTAAAATATCTCGAAAATATTATTTCAGCAAAGAAACTATGCTAAATTGTAAAGAGATACTACGTGTTAGTATAGAATTATTTTGTTTTAATTCCAAACATATGATAGATTTATCTGAAAAGAAATTTAAGAAATTACGCAAGTTAATATGTTTTGGAAATTTTAACGATATCTTGTTTATCGCAATAAGACAACAAAACATCGATACAATAAAGCATAAAAATAACGTAATAAGCATAATAATACACATACTTGCGCAAATTATTTCAAAGTAACTATTATGCAGTTATTGCGGCGGATGTTCGTGATTGCTTTCTACTGGGTCGTCTTAAGCTGGAATGTATGTTAGTAAAATCATTCCTTAAGTTTTCCTTGTTTCTTTGTTTTTGAAAGATTTAAACATACGAGCGTCGTTCTTGTGGAACATGTCCAACATCACCAATGCCATAACAAATTACACGACCATCAGATGTAAAAACTAAATGTGTGATTGAACAATGAAAAAGATTAAAACGCAGCCAAGCATCAGCTGGTATTTGAAGTGCGCTGTAATAATAATAATAAGATTATATAAAAAAAACAAAATTCTATCGAAAAACAAGCCAATCTTACCGGCAAACAAAATAACGAATAACATTAGCATGGCATACAATCAGTTCATGAGAATCTTCTGTTTGACTCGTAAGTGGTCGATGAATATAACGACGAAACGCTCTTTCCATTCGTTCGGTTTCTAATTCGATACGACCCTTCATTACAGAAAAATTATTTATTGTATACAAAAGATTGATGAAGAAAAAAACTATTTCTTATCTTACTGTAGCAACACTATCGGCAAATCTACCAGCTGGTTCTGGAAGGAATGGAAATCTAGTAGATCAATAAAAATGACTCGATTGTAAAACATAGATTAATATATTTCTTTACCCTTCATTAAGATCAATATCTTGTTCAATTCTATTGAATTTGATATGTTTGTTAATAATTGATGCTGTTTGAACGGCACGAATTAGACCCGATTGTATAAATCGTGTAAATGGAATTTTCGATTCGGCTAATGCTAGTCCAGCCCAATCGGCTTGTTCATTACCTAAATAGGCAAGAAAATTCATTGAATAATCTTACTCATTCTTTCATTGTCAATATAAACCTAATTCAGTTAATTGTTTTTGATCTTCAACTTTTGTTTTAGTTTGATATTGCCCATGTCGAATAAGATAAATATGTCTTACAATTCGAGTTTTATTCATGTCTGAATGTCGACTATGAATAAAATATTAATCAAAATATAATAAATAAATTTAACTATCAGAGCTAACCCATCCCAATTCCAATTCCATGGGTCACTAGATTTTATTGGAGATGAAAGTGATTGTTGATCTGGCTGAATTATATCATTATTATTATTGTTATTAGGTGCTTGAGAAATAGTGGCAGCAAATAATACACGATGCCGTTTTTTTTCATCGATAAATAAATATGCTGAGGCTGTTGTACACACAACACCAACAGTTGTAGTGACTAATTTAGTTATGAAACGCATAATTAATTAACTCGAGAGAAAAAGTGTAATTAAGAAATAATTTTTTTATATTACTCCTATATATTATCACTATCTATACCTAAGAGTTAGTTAGTTAGTTAGTTAGTTAGTTAAATTAAGTTAACGATGGAATATCTTTTGATTGGCTTATTTTTATGCATACAAGACAACATCTACATCTGACTGCATTAATATATCAAACAAATGCATCTATTGGTTGCCATGCGTTTCAATAATTCCGATGGAGATTGTAAAGTAAAATCCTAAAACAAAAAGAATTACTTTTTTATTTCATTATATAAGTCAAAAATCGATTATGGCAAAGCGCCGACTTGAAGATGCAATTGTTGCTTCTCGTGCACTCACTGTTGGAATTACATTAATTGATAATTTTCGTAGTGCAACAAGTTTATTTTCTCATGATGTACAAATGAATGCTGGTGTTTTTTCATTGCGTTTCTCCGATGAACTTGATCAAATAGCAGTCGGTTATGGTGATGGTTCAATTCGTTTTTTCTCTGTAACAAATGGTAAACAAACAAATGAATTTCTTCCTACTAGTTTACCAAAAGTTGAACGTTTACGTCGTCTATCAATGGAGTTACCTATAATGTCACTTAAATGGCATCCACTTGCAACAAATCGTTTGTATGCTGCATGCGTTGATGGTACTGTGCGACAGGTTGATAAAGAAAAAAATGAATTAAGTGTTATTGCATATGAACCTGATAATGAATTGACATCAATGGATTTCTCACCTGAGGGAAAACGTTTTGTTACTGTCGGTAAAGATGCACACATACGTATATATGATAGTGAAAGATGCTTACTTTTACATAAATATAATAACCAACGTAATGATACGCAATTAGCACAAATGCGTGGCACACGAGATAGGAGTGGAGACGATCTAACGTGTACGACTGGTCATTACTATCGAGCATTTGCATGCAAATTCCATCCAGATCATAAAGATATTTTATTTACAGCTGGTTGGGATAATGTTGTAAAACTTTGGGATACTCGTCAAAAAGAAGCTATGCCGGAAGCTATTGTTGGACCACATATTTGCGGTGAAGGTATTGATGCACGTGGAAATGAAATATTAACTGCATCATGGACACGTCGTGATTCACTTCAAATTTGGGATTTTCGAACCATGGGTCTTTTAACTACTCTTAACGTACCGAATGCTGCTGATGATAAAGGGGAATTTATGTATTCAGCTCAATTATGCGACAATCGAACAGTATTGGCTACTGGTAGTGGCACATGTGCTTGTCATGTGATTAATATTGATACAAATCAAGAAATAGCTCGTTTACCATTATCAAAAGCTATCTACTCACTTGATTCAATGTTAGGTGGACGAGTTTTTGCTTTTGGTGGCCTTGACAAATTCAGTTTGGCACATATGAAAGATAGTTAAATAGTGTTACTGTTCTTTTTTTAATCTCGGTTTTTAATCTCCTTTGACGCTCTTTCAATTTGTGAACTTTTCTTTTCGTTTTTCTGATTATTAAAACAGCCTTGATCCCTTTTGAAAATCAGTGTGTGTATAGAAAAGCAGATTTTTTTTTATTTTAGATTTATTATGGCTTGGGTTGAACGAATGCTACCATCGTAGGTTTCAATTTCATTAATATAAATGTATACTTCAAGACTATCAACATACTTGCGGATTTATTTCAGTTCCTTAGAAAAAGTTTTTTAAAACAAGCTTTCCACCAATGTGATTTTTGGGCCAAAGTAATATTCAAGCTTTTTTTGATATTTGAACATTCTTCAACTGATATTATAATAAAAAGAATTTCGAGGAAAGATATTTGTGATGTCATGTGACGATAATATTGAATCAGATTTTGTTTTATCCATGTTGAATCTTTCTTCTTCTTCTTTTCATCTTTTCTAATATCGAATTGGCTCTTGACACATTAAGTTACATGTAAAGTGGTTACAGTAGAACGAAAACGAAATATAACAACAGATCTATGAAGTTTCTCTGGCTAGGTAATTCTTGAGATCTGCTATCATGTTATTTATTTTTGATCTTTTGACTTAGCCAGACAAAATCTAAAAATCAAAACAATTTCAGATTATTCCGTCACATTCTAAACAAGTTCATCGATTCTTTGAATGAAGTAGAATGTCCCAAGTAGTTCAATAAATCACTACATCGAATACAATCGAGAATGAATAGCTAAGACAAATATTTAATTAAATAAGAAGTTGATAACTTTTTTTCTATATTTCGATTTTGCACCAATGCCATTCCTTTTGTTCTTGTATACTGTGATATGTATAGACGTATGAGCATAATTGACTATCCAGTGATTACGTAAAAGATTTATTCCAATTAGCAATGTTCTTATGTTAAGATTTACACGCCGTGTATTATTTTGAAACAGAGAAGTGATTAACCATTGCTGCAAGCATGACATAGTCAAAACTAAATTCAAATAGAGTGAGTTTGAACATATGTGAAGATTGAAGCCTACATACATAATTACAAATAGATGAGTCGCCGATGACATTTCACAACGTTAAGATGAAATTCGTTTTGACATTTTTGCTTCGTTAAAAGCCACTTGATTTGACTATGTTGAATCTTTATCAAAATGTGAAACGATGATCGATATTATGTTTTTTGTAATTTATTTATGTAGTCATTGAAATTAGTGTTTTTGTTTCTGACTACATTTTAATTGCTACAATAAATACTAATTGGATTGTTTACTTTCTTCTAAAAAAATTCACTTACTGGCAAAACGTATAGATTTATAACAATATGCCCTTACTGAACTTTTATTGTTATGATATTAGTTGAAGAATAATCGAATATAATAGAAATAGGCAGTATTTGCTGTTTTTATCAGTCAATAGGTAGAAAAAGTCTTAAGCTTTGTAAAAAGGAATTAAATTATGTTCACTACTACTGATTCAATTGATTTTTCTATGTATGTTTTCGTCTATCATAGTGAGCAAGATGAACAATTTGAAAGTTGGCGTAAAGAATTTCAACAAGAACGTTTATTACGTATTGTTCGGGAACGAGAAATTATGAAAGAAACAGCTAAAAGATGCAAGTGAGTTTAATTTAATTTTTTGAATATTTTCAATTTTAATTTGAATAAATATGTTCATTTATAAAATAAAAAAACAGGTCATACAAAGTACGTGAACAAGAAGCTACGGATGCACTCGAACGAAAACGGCAAAATATTTTAGCACAACGCAAAGCAGCAAATGTACAAGCAACAATGAGATTTCAACGCAATCTACCAGGATTTACTGTCATGGGTAAATAGTTACATTAATTTTGCATTTTTTGAAATCAAAGGAAAAGCTTCTTTTTTTCCTAGATCCAGATAAATTTGATCGAGCTATTGAAACTATAACAGGCCGTCAATTATCTAATCGATCGACACCAAGACGGACATCAATTATGCAACAACAACAACGAGTAAAATCAAATACAATGCTACGACGATCTATTTCAATGGAAGAATTAGGATCAAGACAACACATATCTAACGTTGAACGCATCAATCAAATGAATCAAACAATATTGACTCGAACTAATTCTGTTACACAAGTACCTCAATATACAAATCAAGTTCAATATACATCACCTCTACATGAGGTTCAACGACGTGTTTTGAATGATTTTGCGGCGCAAGTTCAATCAACACTTAATCAAAATGAACAATTCAATGACGCAAATACATGGGATCGTGAAAGTGTTGATAGTCTTGAAAAACCAAATGATTATCATCCACAGCAAATTATTTCTCAACCAAGACTAACTGGTCCCATTGTTCGGCAAAATCATGTTGTAAATATTCAAACTAGAAAAACACAACCACTATTAACAAATAATTCTGAATTTGATTCCATGGCGAGTCCCGATCAGCAAGAATTATTACGTCGAAGTTATCATGAAAGTTTTTTTGTTAAAAATACGCCTGTTACAGGCGATGAACAAGTTACAGCATGGTTAGGTGCTAATAAAAATGCAACAATATCTAATAATAAACATAGCCATGTTACAGAAAAACCTTCATCACTTGACGAAAATGATCCAGAAACAAATGGCAGACGAAAAAGTATTCTTAAGCGATCACCTTCTATTGATAGTAATCCAATGAATTCACCTATGAATACAAAACCAATGATGGAAACAAGAGTAGCAAATATTCCACAAAAACGAACGACTAATGATAAAGTTGTTGTTAAAGATAGTTTGGAAGTGAAAAATGCAAAATTACTAAAAGAATTAGAAACACAGGTAAAGATTTTAAAATAATCTCATGATTTGCAAATAACAGTTGGGAGATCATCTATTTTGAATACATATTAACGTGATTTTTCTTCGAGAGATAATTCATACAGAATATTATTCGTATAATTACCAAAGATAAAGACTTTCAAATTTTTAGAAAACTCCGTACTTCGCCTTAAGAAAGAATATTCTACGTTTGTATGACAATATGTAACGCAAAGATTTTTATATAAACACATGGAGAAAACCGATAGATCACAAGTTTTCATCATAAATTATCAACAATTTCGGTTTTCTTGATAATATGAGTCTAAGATCGAATTTCATAATCAATTGTTATTTTTTTGAAAAGATTTTCACTTGAGAAATTCTGCTTCGCATCGCATTAAATATATCACATAACTAACTAGTCAATGGCACCAATTCACAGTTGTTTGGCAAGTAGTAAGCAATTCATTTTAGTACCTATCAGATAAATATTGAGTAATTAGTACTTCGTACTAATTTTTGGTAACAATAATGAAAAAATAGCACTGCAAGTGTTCTCATTTCTCATTTTAAGTAGTCATTTTAAGTTTGAAGTAAAGTCAAAACGACTCAAGATTTTATTCTAGAACATTTTCATCGTTTTAGAAATCTTACAAATTTCATAATAAGTATGTCATTTATTTCTTCATTTGCTTTTAGTTCTACATTAAAAACATATAATGTATCTCATTGCTTCTAAATTTTAACAATACTCTTTTTAAAAGTGAAGACTACATTTTTTTAGGTCATGAAATACTCTTTGTTTTGTTTTCTCTACGTAAGTCTTACAAACTAAATAGTTCATACACTATTGCACAAATTGGTTCAATTATTTTATGAACCTAATCGAAATATTTTATTTTATTCGAAATATTCTAGTTTATTCGAAAATGTGTTTTTTTCCATTTAAAAGAAAGAGATTAGAATATGTTTAATAATCTAGCTATACTACTTCAGAACTAATTGAGTGGTTTAACTAAAACAAAAATAGAAAAATTCCACTTTTTTCCATTGTTTCAACACATGGAAATCTAATCATCTAATACTATTTTATAGACTACATCCATGCTATGCCTCTTTTGAACTGAATTTCAATCATTTACTCGCGAAGCTAAACCCTTACTTGATTGTAATTATCACTAGAATGATTCAATCAATTGACATTTGATAAATTGTTCTTACAAGAATTCTATCGCATTTAGAAATTGTAATAATCAATCTTATTTTACAAATTTATCTTATTTATGTAGAAAAAAACTGTTCGCTTTGCACAAGACTCCACTAATGAACGATGTGCATCAGACACACAACTTGTTAAACCACCAGAAATCGGTACAGTAAATGAAAACAACAACGAAAAACAATTTCCTATAAAAATATTTAGGTGATCAACAAACGTCACTGCGTCGTGTACAATCAGCTGCATTATTAACACTACCGACTCGTCCTCCAATGAAGTAAGTTTTTTTTTTTCTTTCTGTTGTATATAAATAGATATTTAGTCAAGTAATTTTTCGCAATTCCATTTGAGAAAAGCAATAAGTAAAACAAATTGACGAGGTTTTTTTTTATTATTTTGATTTTTAATTATTGGCCGAAGACGATATTGAGTAATTGATGCTGGAATTAAAAATGTTTCAATATAATTATATTGTCGTAATTGTTTTTGTTGATCATTATCAATAGTATTAAATTCTATTTCAATAGCATCACCTTCAACTAACATACATAAATGAAAACGATTTTCTGTTGATCGAACTATTTCAATAGATTCATCTGATTGTATGATAAGACGTTCTACATCATAGAAGTGTAAATTGTGCGTGGGCAAATATTGTTCTTCATATTTTTCTTGTTCGAATTTCATAGTGATGGGTTGACAACGAAGTTGTTCACCACGTCGATCAAATTTTAAATTTTTCATTCCACGTTCAATATTTAATGGACGAAGATGTCCATCAAGACCTAATCTTAACCAATCGTATAATTTAAATGTATAAATATAGGGTGTTGCTGATATTTCAAGTACAACTTGATTTTGACCAGATGCATGAATTGTTTCATTTGGTATTAGAAAAAAATCATGCATATTCGATGGAATAGATTGTATATATTTTTCAACGTTCAATTCTTTTTGTTCTCGACGACTTGAAAGAAGAGCTTGATGGAATTCTTCAGGATCAACATTATCCTGAAAGCCAAGATAAACATGAGCCGACGCTTTGTTATCATTGTTGTGCTCTTCTTTCCAATGTTGTTTTGTTTCGACAATATAATACGTTTCATCTTGTGTTATTTTTTCTCCGAAATTCGTACGCATATATTCTAAATTCGGATGACATTGTATAGATAAATTTCCACCATCCATCGTATCAAGAAAATCAAAGCGTATTGGAAAATCGTTCGAACCACCGAATAATCGATAATGTTCATAATTTCCAAGTATTCTATTTGCTTGTGAACCATAGAAAAAATCCCAAGAAAATTCTAAAAGATGATGATTCTCATCTGATAATATAATGCCATTTTCTGGTGTAATCATTTCGAATGACCATGCATAATTTCTCGATAATTGCGATAGATTTGTACAGATTGATTTAAGCCATTCACCACCCCATGGACCTGATTCAAACCATGGCCGTACACGAATAGGTACATTGGCAAGATGTGAAAGTGCTTGACGAAATGTATGACCATGAAGCCATGTTGGACAATTCGGCCGTTGGCCATCAACAAAAAATGTCATTCGAGATAAAAGTTCTTGTTTAAGTTTATTGAAAACTGGATAATCAAGAAAGTAGAGACATTTTTTTTCATACATATCTTGTGTTAATTCATAATCGTCGTTATCATTAGATTTTGACGACGACTCTTGTTGAATTATTTCCGTTGGTTTTAAATATGAGCATGATGTTTCTGCAGCAACACGATAATAAAGTTCATTTTTTGGCAAATCAATATAAATCAGTGGACTTGTATCATTTATAAATGATGCACCTGGTCCAATAATAACACATGGATATGAGAGATTATTTTTTAAATAGTTTAATTTATTTAAATCGATAAAATCTTTTTTAAAATCTAAATCTGTTGCTATTTTACCAAATATTGATTTAGAATACTGAAGATATAATTCTTTTTTACTATTCAAATCCATTTTTAAAAATGTTCGAGTATCATAAAAGATTAATGATGTTGACATTTTTCTCTTTGCTGTTTGACTATAATACTTATTTAATTCATAAGCATATTCATCAAAATATGTGCCAACAAATCCATCGATTAGTAAAATTTGATTTTGTTCAACTAAACGAAACATTTCTTCATTCAATTGTTTATGTCCGATACCAATAAAGCCAATAGGAATATCATGACATGGATATAGATCATATTGATTTGAATCGATTGTTTTAATAGCAGGTAGCAAATTTTGACAAGTTTTACGAAAACAACTATTTTTTGATTGAAATAATATTGATAATTGTTGTTGAACAGCACCTAGACAAATGGATTTTTCATGTGCAAGACTAAAATACACTTCAGTGTTGCAAAACTTCTTTATTGTTTTATTAAGTTCATTTTCAATGAAATGCCAAGTCTGTGCGAGACCACCACCAATCACAATCAGATCAGCTTTGAATTTTTTTATATGTGGTATCAAAAAATTTCCTAAACATTCAGCAAATATTTGAAAAGCTTTTAGAGCATTTTCATCACCATTCGATGCTTGTGCAGCAAGAGAAACGCCATCCAGTGTATTCGACTAAAACGATATTTATATATTCATTGATAAATATAATTTTTATTTCTATTAAAAATAATTATTACCTTATTGTTAATATTAAGTATTGGTTTTTCTTTGTTTATTGACATATGCGAATGATTATCTAGAGATTCCTGTTGTAGAATTGTATTATAGATATTAATTAAACCACGCGTTGAAAACCAATCATCAGCAATAGATTTGTCATCATACGGATAATTCCAAAGCATTCCACCAGGTGGAACATCACAGCGATTTTTAATAATTTCATATTGATCAATAAATGTTGAACCAAAACCAGTACCAAGTGTTAACGCAAGAATACGTTGATAAGCTTTATGTTGAATACTCGTTGCTTCACCTACAGCAAAACATGTTGCGTCATTATAGAATGAAATTGGTATGTCAGATAATTGTTCCATGATGGACAATAATATTGCAGAAGAATTTTCAATTGTTATTGATTTTTCTGTTGAATTTACTTCCATATTATCAAAATTTATTTGATGAGTTGAATCATTGATTTCATATTTCATATAAAAATCGGCATCGCCAGATCGACCACAATAATTTTTTGTGTCTTTTATGGAAAATTCTTCTTCTTTAATTTCTTCATTTGGTGTTGTTGCTGCTACGGTAAAATTAAAAGTATCAGATTTTACTGATGAAATTGTTGCTATTTGTGTTGTTTGCTGTAAATTTTCAGGATTAATTTGTTGTTTCGAATATGAACGCGTACTAAAACTTGATGATACTGATAGTGTATCACATTTAACATTAGACTGGTGTTTCCAACAAGACACAAGTTCTCTAAGACCATATTCAAATGATAAACGTAAATTAAGTCCAAAAAAGTTATTACATTTATGTAATGTTGATGATTGAATATAACTTATGCCTCGTTCATAATCCATTGGTCCCGGTATGCCACAAGCAATACCAATAATAGTGTCATCTTCTTTCAATTCATCAACTAAATCACGAAGAAGCTCATGGATACAATCAATCCAAGTAGAAATAATTAAACGTGGATCTCTGCGTATAGGTTGTTCGTATGCCAATGAATATAATTTATCTTTTTCAATAGATAAAACTCGATTTGATAATTGTTCAATACGAACTAGAGTTGCAGTTATATGACTACCTCCTATATCAAGTCCTATAACTAATGAAGACATGATGAATGATGTTTATGTAAAAGAAAAACAAAATATGTGTTCTTAGTCAAATTTCGATGCAAATGTAGAAGGTATTGTCTTATCTTTTATTGACTCTTGGCAATAATAGTAATATATTTGTTAGCATTTATTTTTATCATTGACGGCGAATTTACTTCATGTCTGTGTTGGTAGCTATAAAAAAAAAAGAAAAAGTAATGCGTATTGTAATAATCAATAATGACAAATGGGAACATTGAAAGTTACATACTTCATTGAAAGTCGATACACTTTGAATAGAAACAACATTGTTCGTGTTTTTATGAATTGTTAATTGAAACATAAATTCAATATTGAATTGATTTAAATAGCTATTTAAGAGTATGAACAAATTATAGGATGAAGTCTTGTTTTATCATATCTATGATACAAAATCTTTTAGTTTCTTTAAAAAAATGATGATGTAGAAATTCGATCATACGAGTATGATAAGTTTGATTTATTTGCAGTGAAAATTCTCTTTCATCGACTCTTCGAGAGGATTTTGCGGTTGATTTGTAGCCTATTCATTACTATCCACTTTTTTAGATAGCTTTATTTGTATAGCTATGAGACTCCATTTCGAGCCATTCTATCCAAAACTTTTCTAATAGAAAACCATATAATAAAATCTTTTTTTCCAGCATCGAAATTCCGCTTAATTTTCAGAATAATCAGCAAATTTATCGACAAACCTCATGGATACAAATGAATTTTTTACCTTCTGAGATCGAAAATATCACTGATCAAGCTCACAGATGAAAACTCGAAATCGAATACTTCATTATTGCAATGAAATAATTTAACTGACTCAAGGATTGTTAACTTTTCAGATATTGACTTGAGAAAATAAAGTATTGGACATTGAACTTCAATGATAAAATCAGTTTCAAGTTTTAATCTTTGAGCTACATAAATGATAAATACGATTGCAAAACAAACCAAGTTCATATGGATTGGTGAGACCTTACCATACATTTCTCTATCCTCGAAAAATGGATTTTCATATGAAAATTTGACTAACATATGATGTGTTACGTTAGTGAAAATAAATTAATTGAATATTTTATAGGAGATTTCTGTGATAGAAAAGCTATGATTGATTTTTTTTATCTAGTTTACTAATTCTTCTACTCTACTGAATACCGTTAGTTAAAAACTAAAGTCATCTCTTGAATCGATGATTGCTCAGTTCACCAATGATTCAATCAGAGCCATAAATATTACACAAAGTATAATATGTTTTCAGTGAAACCAAAATTAATAATACAAATTGATATGCTCTAATAAAATTTTTATGAAAATCAAAGCTTAATTAGTACGACTATATTCATCACTTATATGTCTATGAAATAAAGTTTATCGAGTAATATTTTTATATTATTATAGACAAACATCGGCAAATGATGATCGTGCCTCTGAATGTTCATCAACAACTAGTTCTAAACCACCTATATACCCTTTAACACCAACAGGCCAAGGGCGGCATGGCTATTCAACAATTGGTTTAAAACAACGTGACCTGCGAGCGAAACTGCACAAAACACGATATGCACAATCATTAAGACAAACAAATACATCACCAACAATGTCAGATTCTCCATCATCACGACGTACACCCACATTATCACCACACCGGCCACCGCTATCCATGGTAAGTAATGAATTAGACATTATAAAGCAATGACGAAACGATTGTATGTATTTCTAAATTTTTTCAGCCAATGCCACCAAGCAAAAAGGATGAGCCGAATAGCGAACGAAGAAATTATGATGACGATGAAAATGATTCACTTTTTAGTGAACTACGTATGAGTTCAGTACCAAATAGTAATTTTAGTCAAAGTGATGCAAGATTACCACCACCGTGAGTACGATGTATATGATATTGATTGCATGAATAGTTTCTAGTTTTACCGATATCAAATTACGATTTTTCTTTCTGTTCAATAAAAGACAACAATTGTTTTCTTCGTACTTAAATTAGTGTACCGTCGAATATTACAAACAGAGTTCCGGAATCAAAACTAAATGGAAAAAAAAGTAAATAAGTTATTGAGAAGTCGTGTAGTTTTTATGTATTGATCTAATCATTATTTTTAAAGATTCTAATTTACCATCAACAACCACTCTATCACTAGAAGAGCATCGAGTACAAGAATCACTGGATCGACTTGACCGACAATTGAAAGGTAAATATTATTAGAATTGTTTTGATTTCACCAAAAAAACAAATCATGTTTTTCTATTTCGTTCAGAAGTTCAATCAAAAGTTCGATCTAATTCTAATTCAAGAGTACAAAAGTAAGAATTGCTTATTTATCTAAGATGATTGAAAATGTAAAAAGAGAGCGTATCATCCATATACTTTTCTCTACAATGTTGAGTATCTATTAGTTCAAATACAGATAGCGATTTTAATAGTCAATTGATTCGTGTATCGATAAAATTCTATAAGCAGATTTTCTAGATGAATTATGATAGTCAACTTACTCGTATTCTTTTTAATGGCGTGATCTTTACAGTAGAAGCGCCAAGAAATAGTTCGAACAAAGTTGTCAATAATCTGAAAATTACTGTTTGTCTCTCTTTAGACCCGATCTGGATGATTAATATTGCAGAAAAAAAGATGAAAAATATTCTATTATTAATTATGTTTTTCCATCATTTAATAATACTGTGATTTTTCTTTTTTTGTTTAAATTCAATTTCTTTTCTACTTTTAGAAATCAAAAACGATAAATCTTTACATGGTGTTTTTCTTTTGTACAAATATAAATACATTATTTCTTGTGGTTTGTTTTTCACGCCATTATTCATCTAAATACTTTTTGCTTGTTTGTTTACTTTGATGGCAATAACTGTTTTAGAGGAAAAAAACGAAAATCACAAAAGGAAACTTCGCCTTGCTGTTACTTGCTATTCATGTTTTTGTTTCGTTTTTTAGATTTGTCAATAATGCTTAGATCAAAACCGCCATCAGTAGTAAAAAAGAAAACTGATGATGTTGTACGTTTAGAAAATATTTATTTATTTAATTTATTAATCTCTATTTCTAAATTTTTAATTGCTCATAGAATCGATCGGATTCAGATACATCATTGGAAAAATATTATCACGACGAGGATAATATGTCATCATCATCAACATCAACAACATCAAAATCATCTCGTATGAATGAAAAAGCAATGAATAAAAAATGATTTTCGAAATTTTATTTTGTTTTATTTTATTGATAGCTTCATTAGAGCCAAAGAAAATGTTTCTTAAAAAGCCAACGGCAAAAAAAGATGAACTCAAAGTATAATCAATTTATTTTTCATGTCATATTAACATAAATCTATATATTTTAGTTTGGAGATGAGATTAAATTAGCTTCATTTAATGATAATGACCCCTTAAGACCTGGTATTTATCCCTCATTATCTTGAATTATTATATTTACCTGTATTTTTTTTATTAAAAGGAATAAAAAGACCATTAAATCCATTAGCAAAACCAGATATACAACTAAGGTAAAATAGAATCAATTTGATAATAAATTATAATTTTATTTATTTATAGTTTTGTTTCTGAGTCACTTGGTAGTACAATACCTGCTGAACGTAACACTATCTTGATTTTAATGAGAAAGTAACTAAGAATTATGATTTTGATAGATAGAAAAGATGAAACACCTATGTCAACGATGAAATTTGGCTCCGATACACTTGATGAAGAGCAAGAAAAAGCAGAATTTTTTCGAGTAAAATCTTGTTTTTTCTTTCGATTAAAATTGACAGAAGATTGCTTTTTCAATTTAGAACTTTGAAAAGACCAAAGGCGAAAAACTTATTGATTATGGTGAATTGAATCAACAAATTGAAGTCGATCTATCACCAGCACGACATGGAACAGGTAAAATATTTTCCGTTAAAAGTCAAATTAGAATAATATAGTAATAACAACGAACAACAGTAATAGATTCATTTGATAATCAAATTCATCAAGTGAGTACACCACTTCATCATAAACCTAACCACAGTATTATTAAAGGTAATTATAAAAGTTGTCGCGAAAATGTTTCACAAAAAGAAGCAAGTTAACTTTCTTTCTTTAAAAGAATCTATATCGAATGAACTTGATCGTGAAATTGAACATGAAGAACAAAAGATGAATGCAACGGCAACAATCAAACATGTCACTATTGTTGAGCCTTCAATTCGACCGTCAGCATCAGTAGATGATTTTAGTCGAACAAATAAAACAATTTCAGGTAAGCTGTTCTTCATGAGCCATCAGTCATCAATAGGATTGCTAAAAAACCTTTGTTCATAATAATAACTGAGCAATAGTACCATATCGCTATGGAATAAAAACAAGAAAAATAGCTTGATTTTAAGTGAAACTTCATCTATTTCCATTCATATTATCTGTAGATATTTATTATAGATCTATTCAAGTTAGTTGATAGTAGTGTTAATTATCAATGACCAACATTTATAGGGTGATGATGTATTTCTACACGCTTATCTGTTAATAATGTATTTTCTCATATTAAAATCAATAAGATTCGACGCTTGACCTATCCAATATCAAGAGATTTAATTTTTGTTTAAAAGCTATCACTTTGCTATGTTGGAATCGAACGTCATGCGCTGAATTTTGTTTATTTTTCATCGTCGAAAAATGTTCGAAACAGACTAAGAACAATCTCAACTAATTCGTTTTGGCTCTTGTTTTATGTTCATGTTAGTAGACATATACAATATTCGATCTTTGTATTCTTCTGACTGTGAAAGAAACACAAAAATTATTAATATAGCCTGTCGAACGTAACACACTGACAGATTTTTAATTAATATTTTCGTATGCAAATATGAATTAAAGTCAGATGTGAAAATTGATATTTGTATGATACTTGGAAGATTACACGATGACAACTCGAGTGAGCTAATTGATGTTTGATATAATTGATGCAGTTGACGTTTGAATATGAGGAGGCTAGTGATTTCAATATTATGGTTAGAAGTTCTTTTTTAAACATTTTGAGTCACTAATTATTTAAAGCATACTTAAAGTAGAGATATCCGATACTGTAGAATCGTATGGCATGCTCACGGAAATTTTCTTTCTAACCAATTATACTAATAATAAAGTTGCGATATGTCAAAGAGTGTTATCAACTGTTTTAAAGTTTTCTTCTTCTTCTTCTTCTGAGTGCACATAGATTACCTTCTCATATGCAGGAGACGCAATAGAAGCTAGGAAAGCTTTTAATTCAAAATGCTTTTCGCACGTAGATCTGTCGACGAGTGAAATCTTCACTTGAATTTCATCCATCTGATCTATTGATGTTTCACTTTGGATTTCTCCTCTATTCGTTTCGCTTCGCTGTTGTTCGCTCATCCAATAACCGACCATGTTTGTACACATTAAGACAGATGTCTTGTTTATCTTTAGTATGTAATATAGTAAAATTTCATATATTTTGAAGAGAAAAAGTTTTTGTTTAAATAAGCAGCATACTTTGACACATCAACGGTCTACGGTTATAATAACACCTGAAGTGAGATGAAGTAATGTATAATTGTAGAGCTCGATTGACGAGACCAAAGCTATAGATAGAAAAAAAATCTCTTCGAGTCATTGTTAAACTTCAATATTATCGACACTATTACTTTTATTGCATCCTAATTAGTACTACAAACGATGAATACAAGTGAGATAGGAATGATAACAGTACGGATGAAAGTATTTTTTGCTTAGATTCGGTTCCTCTATGAAAAGTTGATAGTTCATCCAGTTTTATGTAATACAAGTATTTGCTAGATTGCTTTTCTTTGACGTTCAACATATCTGAATGAATGTCTAAATCGAAATTTGCCTAATAAATAGAATTCCATTGTTCAGTGTTGGCTCATTCGTTTTGTTTTCCTGATTTAACTATTATTACTCATTCGTTCGAACTTGTTGATGAAATATCATGATACTAGGAGTAAAAATTTATTGTTTCTTATGATTGAGTAATAGTAATAGTAATCTAATTTGTAATTCTTGTGAAATAGATCAACTTTCAACAACAAGTGAAACAGCACGTGATTTGAATATGTTACATAATGTTTATAAACAAAATCTAAACTCCGGACCAACAACATCACATTTATCTAAAGCTCAGAAATTTGATCCAAACAAGAAAACGCAACAACAAAAAACAACAAGTAACGAAATATATATATATTATGATAATACTTTGTGCATTGTCTTAAATAAGTGAATATAGAAATCCGTTTACAATCGAATATGTTCTTTGAACTCGACAGCTTTGAATAATTAATAAATAAGTGAAAATTTTATTCAATCATTTTCTCATAACAGATTACTGCCATCTCTTTTTTGAGAATTGTAGAATATACTAAAAGTTATCATAAACACACAAAAATAGTCTGGTACACACTTAGAAGTGACCGCAAACTTGATTTTATAAATTTACTAACTTATTTTTGTTCTTCCTCTCTGATGCAGAGCTAAAACTCAAAATTACTTCTTATGTCTTTTATTTTAATAAAGGCGCAAAATACTTGTGATAGATAGTTTGTTAGAATAAGACGAATCACTAGGCAACTTAATATTAATCTTACTAGAATATTCTCATGCAAGTTCACGATGAACATGGCGTGGAAACTGCTGATTTGATGAGCTTCAACTAGTTGCAAAAGAAGTTGATTTGTACAAGATTTAAAAATATATGCATGGCAGTTAACAGTTACTCTCTTCAAATCTATGAAAAAAGTGCTTATAAATGCTGAATTAACCTAAAATTTCTATTCAAGAAGTATTTTCATTTTTATTCAAATGTTAAGTTGTTTCTTGATCATGCAATCCAGTATTTTCTACAAATCCTTCTTCTAACGACTTAATTTTTATCTTTGCTTAAGCAAACATATTAGAATGTACCGAGAAACAGATTCTTTTATTTAAAGCTAATGCTAGTTTTTAATAAACAACAAATCATATAGATTTTCCATTAAGACTCCAGCCTAACCGAGAAACATTTCAAGCAACTTGGCCGTATCTAGCGTAGAATTGACCTATCAAAGATTTAATCTTCAATCATTTGATAAATTAATGAAATATTTTTTAGTAATTAAAAATTATACAAAACCAGCTATTCAAACACCAACGAAGAAAGGTATGCAATTTGGTAACTTCCTTATCTCGTTTCCATTCGAAATCATTCTCGAATAGGATCGCCAAGTGCTGCCGTTCGTCCAAAAACTGCACCAGTACCAACACCAACGCTCAAAGATAATAAAAATGTATAATATTTAATTAACTCTATTTACTTGTTAATTTTTCCATTCATTTTCTTTCAAATAGAATGATTCTGCATTAATTGAGCAACTAAAACTTGAGAATGAATCATTAACAACAAGGATGGAATCATTGAAAAAGACTCACGACGACGAATTACGTAACGTTAGACAAGAAAATTTTACTCTTAAAGCAAAAGTAACCGAATGGTTTTCCATTTGTATTTTTATTTCTACGCATGAAAATATTTAGATTACACAATTAACATCAACGAGTACTGATGAAAAAAAAGAACCTATTCCACCTAAACAACGTGAAGTTCACGAATTAGAAAAATTACTTGATGGTTATCAAACAGAAAATGAAAAACTTTGTAAACAAGTTAAACAAATCGAACAACAACACAAACAAGTCGAGCAATCAATGTTTAATGAAAATGAAAAACTTCGTCAAGAATTAATTCAAACCAAAATGCTTCTGGAACAATATGAAAATTCAAATATGGGAGCAATTAAAAAGCAATCGTCGACGATTGTTCTAACAAATTTAGTTAATAGTGGTAATGATAAGACTAGCATTTTAACTGAAAACCAACAGCTCAAAAATGAAATTGTTGCTTTGAAAAATAAATTAACAGTTGCATTAAACAAAGAACAACATAAAGTTGAAGAGAATGATTCATTACGTTTATTAGATCAAAGACGTATTAAAGATCTCGAAAGACAAGTAAAAGAATTAGGTACGTGCTATATTTTTGATGTTCATAACTACATTAATTCCAATAAAAGGAATGCAGACAAGAAAATTATGTCGATCATTCCATAATGATTTTCTTTCGTTATTAGAACTTTGGTTTTTGTATTTACTACGATTTTACTTATTTTATCTTGATGGAAATAGTTTCGATATGACATTGTAGTATATTCGTGAAGAGAAGTCAAATAGAAATCGCATTATAACATATAGCAAAATAAAAATCTTGACAATATTTATTAGAATTGAGAATGTAGCAACTTTTTCGACTAAGAATACTGTCGAAACCGTATGCAACGCTTCGACATCATCGATATTAACAGTGTGTACATCTATTTGATGATGTTAGATTTAGACTACACGTAAAGTTAGATACGACCTTGGTGTTCGTCACAGAAATTTGGAGTGGAACTCGAAATAGCCTGTAGATTGATGTCAACTTTAATATTTTATTGATGAGCTGCAATGAACCATTCGCCATTCAATTAATATAAGCATCAGTTGATTAATTAAATTTATATTGTTACTGTCATGAATGATTTTAACAAAGCAGTTGCTGTCGACAAAAGTATTCCATAATCGTGTCTATATTCATTGTATTGTCCTATAATTCCACATATAGTGAACCTGAGTAGTCGAGTTCAATAAGATCAAACAGGATCAGATTTGGTGGTAGCTACGACTATCTTGAGATAATTAATTCAAAGAAGTAGAAGTCTAAAAGAAAGAACTGCACGCTTGACTGTGATTACTTTATTAGCAAATATTGAAAGATATTATCTATAGACCGAAGATGATTGAATTGCATGATAGTTCTAGAATTTTTCCTTTACTGCAAGAACCTTTCGGGTGATTATTTAAACATTCAAAACTGCCTCATCTACTTAGATCGCTTTGCAAACCGAACCATTCGATGTAAATACCAAATTAAAATCCGTTTTTGGTGCATGCCTATATTTGAACCATAACCATATGTGCGTTTGATACGACGAATATATCGTATAAATCTTAGAATCTTTAAATTTTGAGTAAGACTACTATGACTAGTTTAAGATACTTTGTAAAAGGAACAAACTATTTTCTTCATGCCATTATTTTTACTACATATATTGTTGAAATATACTAAGATGATTGATCGAAAAGAGATTTAGGCAGTTTCGATGTTGTCTTCTCAATCAACGAACTTTCTGCTAGACTCCTATTTGATAACGTCGAGTGCATCAAAAGATGTCTTTTATCTTGATTGATTTCTTAGAAATACTTTGAACTCTATACAAATATAAAAGTAGAATTGGATTGGATTGGTTCTAAAAGTATTATTGTTAGATTCATTTCCTATTCTTTTAATAGTATAAATTATTGCATTAGACATTGTGTCAAAATTTTTCAAAATTACTTAACCGCATTAACCGCAATAAACACTTCCCATCAATGTGTTAACATTGAGATTCAAAACTAAAATCTACTATTCTATTTTTACTTTCTCGAATAAAATCTTTTTTTTTCTATAGAATTAATCAATCGTCGTCATCAACAAAACTCAATCACTCAAGTAGGAATGGTATTAAATCCATTGGATGATAGAAATCAACTAGAAATTAAATTACATAAAACTGAAGAAGCACTACGTGAAAAACAAATAATTGAAGAAAAACTTATACACGAATTAGATGCTCTTCAAGAAAAATATTCTTTAATAAAACAAATCTATACAAATAACGGACAACAAACGACAGTAAATGATCAATTTGAAAAGCAACTTCATGATGTAATGACTAAAAATAAAAGTTTATCTGGACAAAATCATCTAAGACGCGAAAATGAACGCTTAAAAAATGAATTAGAAAAGTTGAAAACCGAACAAGTACCAAAACCAGCAAAATGTAAAAGTTTCAATGTGTTTTCATTAGTTTCAATAAGTTTTATTTTTCTAGCTTTAAAACGCGATTTAGAAACAATTAAATTATTACGAACAGATCTTGAACGAAAAAATGATGAATTAGAAAAACTTCGTGCTTTATATGATGCTGCTACTGTTCAACATAAAAGTCTTCTAGCTGAACGTGAACGTGAAAAAACTCGTTTAGCAAGTAAAAAATTTCAATTCGATAGAATGCATCTGTGTTTTGTTAAATCTATTTTTAGTCATGGGGAATAAACCCTATCAACCAGATCGATTCACACAAGTTCTGTCGCCTATTGAAACAGTTCATGAAGAAAATGAACAACTGAAACATTTGGTAAAGACTTAAATACATTGTTTTGATAAAATTTTGTGGCAGAATTGTTAAAAATTCGTTCGATGCATTTTTAAGCCAAGATCAAAATATTTATCCAATATTTGATAAATTCTCTGAGAGTAGGTCACAACTGTTGACTTTATGAAAAAAGAATTATGCTTACTAGTGCTGAAAAGAAAACTGTTTTCAATTCATAAAGATCAGTTAAGTAATGTTCTCTGTCGTTTTGAATTCAATCCTAGACGATTTAGATTCTAGTAATAGATTTATGTGAAATGCTCATAACTGCATATAAATTATTTATGAAAGCTCATAATATGTTTAAATTATCTTACAATATGCACATTGTTTATTTTTAATCCTTTGTCAAAGTCAACATTAGCTAGTTATTGCAAACACAGAAAATCTATCGATCCAAAATTAAAATTATGAAACCAAACTGGAGATAAATATAGCTAAAAACTAATGTATAGAGAGAGAGAGTTTCAGCAAATGAACATCTATACTGTTACTCTTCGTTTAATAAGATTGGATTAAATAGAAACTGAATACATGTATGTATACTGAAAATAGCTTTTCGTTCTATTTCTATATTCAATTTGTCATATTATTGTTTCTTCTCACGTGTCCATGATATAATCATGAGCAATGCTGTACAATTGAAATGAAAAAACAACATTGAAATCATCCTTGAAAAATTTTCTACCGACACTTGCACTGCTATTTTTCTCATTTATAATTTATCTTAAGAAAATATGTTACCTTGAATCAAAATGAATAATAATAGCTACGTGTATGAATGCATAGACACATGATTCATTTTCGTTAGCTAATCGAATTTTAAGGGAAAACCTATTTATAGAATGAAATTCAATGGAAAAATACATCAATAGTTTATTGTTTCATTTGAAATACTTTCAACCATTTATTTCGCAGGATTTAATTAAAATATTCTGTCAAAACTTGTTTGTTTTTGTTGTTTAGATAGAAAAATTAGAACATGATTCGCAACAACAACATGCTGAATTAATGCACTTGAGAGATGATCGACAAGCAGTCATTACTTTAGCAGTTCGAGAAAAAGAGGAAGAAGTAAAATTGAATTCTAATCCTAATCTCATAACTATTAATCTAAATATATTGTTTTCCAATAAAGATCTCACGCATTCGTCAACAACATAAATCAGAAATGCAAACAATTATTAACGAAATTACTAATAATAATACAGCTGAAACTCGTGTTAGTGATCTTCTTCGAAAACTTGAATTACAAGATGCAACTATTATGCGTCTTAAAGTAAAGAAAAAGAAACGTTTCTTTTTAAATTATTTGTCAAAAATAAATAATCATCTCTTTTTCGTATTCAAATAGAAATTAACTGAAAATACTGATGAAAATGCAAAAGAACTAGCAATGCTACGTGCTAATGAAGATGAATTGAAATCTATGATTAATCGACTTGAGCAAGAATTATCCGATGCCCGAACATATCACACACCTGTACACTGTTTTTATTTGACGTAGCTTATTATTAATCGATTTTTTTCTTATGTTTTAGGAAATGAAACATTTTCAAGAACTACAAAATAAAATAAATCAATTAGAACAACGTTGGCATAAACGAGATAAAATAACAAAAGATTATACAAGTAGTTTAATAAAACAACATGATTTAGATACAAATAATGATGTCAATAAATTGCATGCGATTATTAAACAAAAAAATCAAGAGATTGAACGATTTCATATTGAACTTGATTCAATGTTAGAATTACTAAAAACACTAAAATTTCAACAATTGTTACATAATCAATAAATCATGAAAATTTCGAGTGCAATGTTTGTTTTTGTTTTTTTCTAATTCATTTGGAATCTCACTTCCAGTTTGTTTTTTTTATTCTTGTAAAACGTTTGTCTATTTACAAAAACAAACAATAAAGAGATAGATGTTAAAATCTCTCAAAAGTACCTTGCTTTTTTATATAAAAGAGACACGTTGATGATTGATTAGATCAAGTTAACAAACATGAAAGAACGTTCTTGTCTTTCAGCTAAGTTTTTCTTTTGTAGGGTATTGTCTAGCAGTAGAGTCAATTGCAAGATATCTTCTCAACAATTAATGCTTGCTGTAATTTTGAATACAGAATCAACCTGAGCTTGAATAATTGCGCTTAATTTATTCAGCGGTTCACAGACAGGAACTAGAAAAAGAGCAGGTGTATATTACAATGAGGTTAGCATACAATTAGAAAATTCATTCGACACAATTAGTCATTGATAATTCAAGTTGAAAAAGAAAATTCTCGTTATAGAATTTTGTTTTAAATTTCTGCAGCATTCATCTTGCATATAACACACACTTACGTACAATAATTATTTTATAATTTAAGTGAAAAAGCATACAAACAACTTATTTGTATGCCTTCAGACATTGATTTACTGATATAATATTACTACGACAGAAAGTTGCGTTTATAGGTGCGTTTTATTTAAATTTATTTGAATATTTTTATCAATATTAAAAATTTGACAAAGTAGAAATGTCATTTAGAAGAATGAATCTTTTGTCGAAGTTGGGCAATAGCTGTGGTGTCCAAAACAAATCATTATTATATAACTTACTCATTTATTAGTTTTATAAATCTCAATCGATGTAAGTATTCTGCAGAGAAGATTAAGTCAGTAAAGTGAATACTGCAACGTGTAGATAATCATGAGAATACGATATTGGTATGCCAAACATTTTATGTCTCACTATTTAGATAATGATAAGAGAAAACCAGCAATACAAAAGCACGTGAGAGAATGTTATCGACAAATCAAATATACTCTTATTTTTCTTTCTTTTAAGATTATACACGCATAATATATACTTTCTAAAATGTTTTACTGTCTGTTTTATTGTATTTCAGCGAATGACTGAAGTTTCTTTCTTAGATTAAAATCAATTTTATTTTTGATATTTCCGTAGAAAAAGAAATGAACGAAGGAAGAAGTTCATAACTCACAGGAAATCGCAACTAATTTTTTTTATGATGCTTTAGCATTATTTCATAAAAGTTTTGTAACCATTTTACTCTTAAACACACAACAATATCACGGTAAAAAGTTAACGTCTCAATCTTTTATTCATCGAGATTTCTAGATTTTTTATTTTTTAACTTGAAATATAATATATAAAATTATGATCACTTCATAGGCCAAATGAATATCAATAAAGAAATTTATTTCATGAAATTTTATATTAAATGATTGAATATTTACAAATGTATTTCAGTACGAGTATTTGAAAAAAAATTGTATTCTTATTATTCATAAATGTTACATTATTTCTTTTTGTCATAGGATTTCACTGACGAAATCAATTTCAACGTTAAGAAAACCAACATAATAGTTTCTTTTCTCGTAGTATTGATGGATTTCCATGCAAGACACCTAAGCAAATTCACGTTCGATTTCTATTCAAAAAAGAATTAAATGGAAAAGTAATAGATTTTATATCTACGGAATTTTTCTACGTGCCATTTCCGATATTCGTAAAAAAAAGGGGGGGGGGGAGAAATTTTTAGACAGAACTGAATTGCACGATATTCTTTTACTTTAACG